TGACCAGACAAAGGCTGCACTCACAGCTCAGTGAGGCGCCTGCCCTGGGTCTTCGCCTTCTCTGCCAGGCTGCAGCAGCAAAAAACCAAGAACATTTTCAGTCACTCGGCTACCTGCAAAGCCTCTGAACTTTTCCTCTCTGAGGTTGGCGCTGGAGGTCTCTCCACCTCCTTCCGAGGCCCGCACCAGCCTTCTGGAAGGTCAGCGTGGTGGGGGCAGGAATGGCTGACCCGGGAATCACTGAAGATCAGAAAACACTGAATCCTGAACACTGAATCCTCAAACGCACCAAATCCTCAAACGTGGAATCCAAACACCGAATCCTGGTTCTGCTTCTTATGTCCCTTATGTTTTTTATCAGTCTCCACCCCAAAGTCCAATACTTTTAGTATTTCCCCTGGGCTATTATCTATCCTCACCAGCACCCCCTCCAGGGGCACCACCTGTAACAGTCTTTGGCATCAGCCATGCGTTACAGTACAATATGAGAAATTTTGACAAATGTATGAACCTGCGTGGCCAACTCCCTAATCATAACAGAGCACATGGTCACCACTCCAAAAAGTCTCATGTGTCTCTCTCGTCAACTCCCCCTCTCTTCTCTCACACTCTGCGCCAAGCACTGTTCACACCATCCCCACAGATGAGCGTGGACTGGTCTCTTCAGTCCTGGACAAATCTCCCTTCGCATTCGACACAACAACATGCCCGCCTCACCTTATCCCTTCCCTGCCGCAGAACGGGCATCAGCCAATCCTCCCAGGAGCTCTGGATCCAGGTAGAGGGAAGGGAATCTAGAAACCGTGCGCTGGGCGGCGAGTGTGCTCGTTGTTACTGCAAGGGGGCTGCCCCTGGCTTGCCCGGGATGCCTCCAGTTTTAACCCTGACAGTCCAGCATCCCGGAAACTTGGCCGCTGGCAAACTGGGCAAGAGGCCACTCGAGGGAGTCCAGGGTCTTTCATGCACAGAACTAGGAAATTCATTTTTAGGTTTTCAAAAGATGTTTAAGACTGAATGTGTATTTTCCATATATTGGCCCGCACGCATGTTTTCTACAATAGAACGGATTTTTATTTCTGGGTTTAGTTTATAGATATTTTGTTTAGGCCTTTTAAATGTCTTGTTACGCTATGCCTATAATTTTATTTTCTTGTTTGGTCTTCAATTTGCTTATTTTGTTTAAAAATGGAGGTACTGGGCCTCCCCGGTGGCGCAGCGGTTGAGCGCTGGGTTGCGAAGCTGCCCGCAGCCTCTGCAGCACCGGTTCAATCCCCGACTGCTCCCCGGCCACCGGAGGAGGGTCCCACGTGGCGTGCAGACCTCTCCAGCCGCCCGCTGCTCCCCAGCAGTGTACTTCGTCAGTCTGCCTGCTCTGCTCCCCGCTCTGGCTCTGGTGAATTCTCTCACCCTCCCGCGCTTCTGACTGTGCCCAGTGCTTGTATAAATAAATAAAAATAAATAAATAAATCTTTAAAATAAATAAATAAAAATGGAGGTACCATTGGTTACCACTTTCAGGAGTGCAGCTTGGCACTCCATAAATGTAGAGACCAACCACACCCACCTCCAAGTCCAGTGACCCTTCCCCTTGGTCCTTAACCTGCTTTACCTATTCCTCCTCCCCACTCCCCGCCACGGAAGTGTATTTAAAAATTCACCTGTCCAGGGCCTCCCTGGTGGCACAAGGAGTTAAGACGCAACCTATGAAGCAATCCGCAGCCACCGCAGCACAAGTTCGATCCCCTGGCTGGCCAAGGAGCAGCCCACATGGTGCAGCAGACCTCTCCTGTCTCACCCGCTGCTCCCCTCAGCAGTGTATTTCAGTTGATCCCCCGTTCTTCTCCCCACTCTGTCTCTGGTGAATCCTCTCACCCTCCCACCTCTGGCCTACACCCCAGTTCTTCTATGGAAAAATAAATTTTTTTAAAAAATTCATTTGTCCAAATCAATGTTTCCTATTTATTTTTATCATTTTTTTTAGATTTATTTATTTATGTGCAGGACAGAGATGGGGAGTGAGAGAATTCACCAGAGACAGAGTGGGGAGCAGAACAGGCAGATCTGCTGAAATACACTGCTGAGGGGAGCAGCCGACAAGTCAGGAGAGGTCTGCTGTGCCATGTGGGGAGCTTGTGGGGGCGGGTAGAAGGGAGTGGGGATGGAACCGGAGCTGTAGTGGCTGCAGATAGCTTCATGGTTGTGCCTTAACTCCTGCACCACCAGGGGAGGCCCCCATGTTTCCTATTTAAAAGCAACATTACAGGATGCTCCTGAAGTTCCCTGATCTTACATGTGTATCTCATTCTCACTCTGGAAGTGTTTGTGTAACATTAAAATGTTTGTTATCCCGCAGTACAGTTGCACAACCACAGTGACAATGTCACCACTAATTAGAAACCACCAGTTAAGCAGAGTACTTGGTGATACTCCTTCGTCCTTGGGATCCATCCCACCTATTCTCAGAGCCCCGTGTTCAATGTCCCACGGGAGTATCTTTTCTCTAACAATCTATTTTACTAGTTTGACCTAGAACTAGCTCATTTGCTTCAATTTCCTGTCAACTTTGGGTTACTTCCTTTACTTTTACTTTTGGCTTCCTAAAAACTTTCACAATTCAGAGAACTCTTGCTTCTATTTCTCTCCCCTCCACCTTTCCCCAGCGCCCTCCACAGGTAAGGATCCTGGAGTCTCCAGGGCAGCCTTCCAGGGTTCCACATGCCAGGGATGTGCCTGGTCAGCCAGCGCCTGGTAATGGGCATTTGGCTGACTCCGAATTTTTGCTACAAGTAATGCTGCAGCTGGTAATACCCGTGATATGTGTTTTCTATTTGTGGAGGTTTATTTTCAGGGTTAGTTTAGGATTATAAATGTAATTGAGGAGCCTCCCTGGTGGCGGAAGGTTAAAGTTCAGCACCATCAGTGATGGGGGAGTTCGATCCCCGGCCAGGGAGCTACCCACAGGGCACGGCAGACCTCTCCTTTCTCCCGCTGCTCCCCTCAGCAGTGGATTTCAGTGGATGCACCTGTTCTGCTCCCCACTCTGTCTCCGGTGATTTCTCTCAACCCCCACCTCTGGCCTACACCCCAGCTCTTGCATGCATAAATAAAAATAAATCCTTATGCGAGTGCGCTGGCACTCCGTGGGGCTCCACACAACGGGGCGCACCCTCCGGCCGAGCCGGGCCCTGGGGTGCGCCCCCCGCGCGGGCGAGGACAGGGGCCTCCGCGTGCAGGACCCTCCGCCCCTCTGTGAACTGCCCGAGTTTCTCCTCGTTTTGGGCTCCGTCCCGGGGATCCCCGCGGCGCGGGCTGCAAATATTCTCTGTCCCGACCCGAGCGAGGTCCCTGCGCGGGGCCGCTCCTGCTGGCGCCCCGACCGTCCTCGGGCGGCAGTTCTGGGCCCCCGCGGAGCAGATCACCCGGGGCCCCGGGGAGCCTTCGCCGCCAGCGCGGCCCAGGCGGCGTCTACACCCGCAGGAGCCCGTGTTAGCGGGTCACGAGGCCGCGGGGGGGGGGAGGCTCCCCGCGCTCCCCCGACAGCCGGTGTCCCGGAGCCGCACGAAGGCGCGGCCTCTCCCCGCGGCACCTGCTCCGGCTTCGCCCCCGGCGCCCGCGGGCAGCACCCCGGGGGGAGCGGCGGCCCGCGCGCCCCAGGAGGCCCCGCCGCCGGCCCGCGGACGCGTCGGGCCGCCGCACCCAGCGCGGCCAACCACGCGCGCCTTCGCCCGGATCCTTCCGCCACAGGCCGCGCCGCCGCCGCAGGTGGCCCGGCGCGCGCGTCCGCCCAGCGCCGCCCAGCACGACCCCGCCGCCCTTCCCGTGATTCCCCGCGGCTGACCTCCGACCTCGCGGAGCCCCGCCTTCCGTCTGGCGCCCTCCCGCCCCCACCGCGAGCCGGGGCACCCGCGGCCGCGGCGCAGGCCGCGCAGGCGCAGCTCCTCCCCGAGCGCCTGGAGCCCGGGGTCGGGCGCCTCAGCGCGGACGGCGCCTCTCCTCCCCGCGGCGGGCCCGGGGCGGCGGCGGCGAGCGGGGGGCGACCCCTCGGTGAGCGGGCCGCGCGCGCGAACATGGCGGGGCGCCGGGCGGCGCGGGGCGGGGCGCGGCGCGGGCGGAGCGGAAGGGGGTGGGGCGGCGCGGCCTCGCTTCCTCCCTCAGCGCCATTTTGTGGCAGCGAGACCCGCAAATAAAGGGGAGCGCCGGGGCTGCGGCGGGAGGAGGAGCGCGGCGGGGCCGGCGGCGGCGCTCGGGCGGCCTGGGCGGCGAGCGGCCTCGGCCTCGGTGACGGGGGCGCCGGCGCGGCCGCCCTGTGGCGAGGTAGGTGCGGGCCGCGCGCCGCGGCCGGGTTCTCCGCTCCCGCGGCAGAGGCGCGGCCGCCCCCGGCGGGGCAGGGCGGGCGGGCCCGGAGGGCGACCCGCGTCCCGGCCCCGCTCCCGGTAGCGCCGCCCCCGCCGCCCGAGGCCGTCCCGCCGCGCTCGCCGGGCCAGGGGGCGCCCGGGAGGCGGGGGAGCCACCCCAGGCCGCCCCCTGGGCGCGTCCGGCGCCGCCTCGGCCTCGCCCGCGGCCCCGCGCTCCGGCCGGGAGGCGGGGGAGCCGGCGCCCCGCGGAGCAGCCTCTCCCGCGGCGGCGGCCGGGGCGCCCCTCCCGGAGGGGGCGCGCGTCCTGCGTGGAAAAAATTCTCGAGCGAGGTGCCCCGGGGGCCCGTGGTGACTGAGTCTCGCCCGGGAGCCTGCAGGGCTGTTGTTCGTTGGTTTTTTTTTTTTTTTCTTGGTCGTATTTCATCGTGGAAAAGCCCAAGTTCTGCTTTCGATCAAGTCAGTTGCTCCCAGAGGACAGTGCTGAAGCCCGAGATCCCCGAATTCAGAAAGCAAAATACAGAGCCCCTGGCCCGAGGTAGACGGTGCCCGCGGGCTGCAGCCCTTGGACTCGCCTCGCGCCCGGCCCTCCCGCGCCCGGTCTCTGCCGAGGGAGGAGCAGGCGCGGGGCTGTCGTGACACGGGCTTCCCGGGTTTTGGTTTCTTTAAATTTCGACCATCACGTAGGTTTTCTCTGCCGCACGTACTGGAGACATTTAAAAGCCACCCTGTGGGAAAATCCTCTCAAGATGGCTCGATGTTACTCTCTCTTGTCTCTAGGCAGCACCTGACAGCAGGTCGGGAGGCAGTTTGCGTTCCGTGAGGTGGCCGGGGATAAGGTCGACGTTAAAATGCAAGGGTTTGGGTCCGTGTGTATCTCGAGCGCCTCAGATCATGCCTGGAGTACACGGAGTGAGCGACTGACCAGGACTGTCATTCTCTCAGCGGGGGGCCTTCGCGAACTCCCCGAGAACTGAAGTGAGATGATGGTTGCGGCTTAGCTCATCTAATGTGGAGACTTTTATATATAATACCTGGATTTTCCGATTCAGTTTGAGTCTTGTTTGCTCAAAATATTTTTAACGGTCAGAAATAAGTTGGCATATGTGATTCAGAAAATCTGTAGTAGTTCTGTGGTGTGGGGATGAGGACTCTAGAAATTGTATCTGTGCAGCATGTTACAGTTTTCAGTCTTGTGGGTTTATGGACTAGAATCCCCTCGGAAATGTTTAGCTGTCACAGTCGCTTTTCTGTAACTGCATATCGCTCTTGAAAATGGTTTATGTTAGCGGGTCCTTTAGCAAACCAAAATCCAGTTAGATAATATTTGGCTTTATTTCTTTTATTTACGTTTCCTCAGTTTTCTGCATGTGAGTCTTCCCTGTTACTGTGTTCGTTGTTTTCCCGTGACAGTGTGTCCCACTGCATGCTGAGGTGCTGCCTTGGATTAGAATTCAGTGCAGTGGTAATGTCATAATAATAAATGTTCTCCACCCTTGAGCATGTAGTTGATGGGTTGACTTTAATCTTTCCTGAAGGCACATTAAAGTTGTCTTTTGTGTTAGTAGCTTATTGAAAAATACTTTGTATCACCTTTCCCAGGCATTTGAGGCACTGAGATGCACTTGGTGAGCCAGACAGAATTAGTATATCCTCTTTTTGCTGGTTTAGAGGCTGTACCTGAGTTAAAGTGACTTGCTGGCTTTATCTAGCTGTGTCACAAGATCACATGACTGATACAAAGAGGCACAACAAGGTATTTTCCTGTTCCTAATTAGTACCTTTTCTACTAAGTATCAAGACTTAAATCAGATTGTTACTTATTTTTAGCAAGATACAAGCTTTCTTACTGAAGTTGCATGGGGTGCTTGCCTCGTTAGAGAGAACTGAGTTGCATGACTTAAGATGGTAATACTCAGCCAGGGCATGTACTAGGAGCTGGGGTGCTAGGCACTCAGCCGACCAAAACTGAACTCCATCATAAGGGAGATGTAGTGGCTCTAACACTCTAAGCGTCAGAGCTCTGTTATCTTGAATTCTCCAAGTGAATAACTGAAACATTTACGTAATTTTAAAACTAATCATTTTTTTAAAGATTTATTTATTTATGCATACAAGAACTGGGGTACAGGCCAGAGGTGTGAGTGGTGAGAGGATTCACCAGAGACAGAGTGGGGAGCAGAACAGGCAGATCTACTGAAATACACTGCTGAGGGAAGAAGTGGGCAGGACAGGAGAGGTCTGCTGCCCCATGTGGGTTGCTCCCTGGCTGGGGATGGAACTTGTGCTGCAGTGTCTTCGGAGAGCTTCATAGGTTGCGACTTAACCCTTTGCGCCACCAGGGAGGCCCTATATTAATCATTTTAAATGTGATAAAAAATGTAGCCAAATTGGCTAATTTTGAATTTTTTTCTATTTTTCTTCTATTTATGTTTGCATTCTCTACAGTAGGTAAATTTAGTCATCATTGAAGTTGAGTGAGAAAATTATCCCTCTTCATCACTTACTAACTTTTGAGAAGCACTGAATTTGGGGTCTTAGCCCCCCAACTCCCCAGTAATTAATAGCTGCTTTAGCATGAACTAATCACTTGGTGACTGACTCATTCATTTTCATTGTCTGGAAAATGGGGGGGTAACTTTGAAAAGCTGTGGTTATTAAATAAATGACTCATGGCACTTAGTATACTTTTTCCTTCAAGATTCAGGATTCAATTTCACTTGACTTTTAATTATTTCAGTCACTCTGTTTTTATAATACAGCATAGGTTGTTCTCAGAACTTGGAATATTCACTGTTTTTATGAACCTAGAATTGACTTTAGATGGCTGTACTTGTCAGTTATACTTAAAAAAAATGCTTTGGGAAATGATAAATTTTGTAGCACATTCATACAACGTAAAAGTGGAAACTGAGAATCAGGTTCTGTGTTGTTGACACTTAAAATTTTAAGCCTGTCCTAATTTGCTTCTCATTCTCCAGGCTTATTAAATCTATATGGAGTATCATGGACTCTCAAGGAAAGATTTTCTTTCATCAGCTAAGGATAAGGGAGGACTTTCTTTTCTGAATGCTTTGAATCTGAAATTGGCTCTCCACATGTGGAGAAGCGTGTGACTGAGCGTGGACACGTGAAACCATTTGTACTAAATCTCTCTTTATTCCTCACTTCCATTACAGATAAACAAATGTTTTAAATAAAGAAAGCATAAATAGATACCTTCTAAGCAATATGTAATTCAAGTTTATCATCACTCTTTTTTTTCCCATAGAAAAACTGGGGTGTAGGCCAGAGGTGCAGGGGGCGGGTGAGAGGATTCACCAGGGACAGAGTGGGGAGTAGAACAGGTGGATTAACTGAAATACACTGCTGAGAGAAGCCGCAGGCAAGACAGAAGTCTGCTGGGCCTTTTGTGGGTCAGCTTCATGGCCAAGGATTGATCTCAGGCCACAGTGGCAATAGCGGTGAGAACCCCTAGGCCACCAGGGAGGGCCCCCCGCCCCACCATCACTTTTTTTTTTTTTTAAGATTTTTATGCATACAAGAACTGGGGTATAGGCCAGAGGTACAGGAGGTAAGAAGATTCACCAGAGACAGAGTGAGGGAGCAGAACAGGCAGATCTACTGAAATACACTGCTGAGGGGAGCAGCGGGTGAGACAGGAGAGGTCTGCTGTGCCATGTGGGTAGCTCCCTGGCCAGGGATGGAACTTATGCTGCAGTGACTGCCAATAGCTTCATAGTGCTGAGACTTAACCCCTTGTGTCACCAGGGAGGCCTGGATACTTCAGTTTTATAACTAAAATAGAGTAGCAAATGGTACCCAGCATCTAGATTAACCATAGACTGTTTAGCCACAGTGATACATTTAGCTATTTTCAGACCCACTCCTAGAACTCTGCCATAGTAACTTTTAGATTTCCATATTCTCTAAATTACAGTGTGGGTGGTCATCTTGGTTGGTTTTTTGAACAAAATTATATTAATTTAGTTCACGTTTAAAGATTGTAATAGTAACCAAAAAAGTCACTTGTTCATGCTTCAGTTCATACTGTGTGTACTGCAAGGCATCTAAATCAGAAATATAGTCCTGACTTCTTAGATTTGTTCAGAGATTTGATCAAGACTCAGTCAGCTCAGAATCTTGGGGTTTTACTTGCTACATCCAGTGATAAGATTGTTACCTAAATAGAATGATGCAAATAATTTATAATATCAAAATTCATTTTCCTCCTGAAATATACCAGTATTTTCAATACTGTGTACCTAGTCTGAAACCTAGGATTTGATGATGGTGTCATTGGAATATATAATTTAGAGTTGGGGATTTATATGTAATATAAAAAAAGCTATTGGAGTTATCTCCTTCAAGGAACACTAAATATTCACTAAGGAGTTAAGTACCTTTTTAAATTTCAGTTTTCACTATAGAATTTTGGGTTAAGTTTTTAATAGTTTGGAATTTGTTAGACATATGTGTAAAATGAGATAGTTAAAAATGGGAGTATTTGTGACTACTTTAGAAGTGATGCTTATGAATAACTTCAAGTTAGCTTGTCTCCTTATCAAATTTGAATATTAGGAAGCAGCAGAAGTGTTTTCAGGATAGGAACTTAATTTGTATATATTGTTACTGTGTGTGCTTTTAAAAAGCAGTACTGAGGGCCTCCCCGGTGGCGCAGCGGTTGAGCGCTGGGTTGCGAAGCTGCCCGCAGACTCTGCAGCGCTGGTTCGATTCCCGGCTGCTCCCCGGCCACCAGAGGAGGGTCCCACATGGTGCGCAGACCTCTCCTGCCGCCCGCTGCTCCCCTCAGCAGTGTCCTTCAGTCCTTCTGCCTGCTCTGCTCCCTGCTCTGGCTCTGGTGAATTCTCTCACCCTCCCGCGCTTCTGACTGTACCCAGTGCATGTATAAACGAAACAAACGAACAAACAAATAAATAAATAAAACATGCCTCTATAAAAAAAAGAAAAAAAAAAAAGCAGTACTGGTACTCAGAACTCTGATTCAGTAGTTTAGTGATCATAGAAATTTCATACCAAGTTACTGTTTCTTAGGTTAGTTACATCTCCCTATCATATAAATTTTTTTTTTTTTGTATTTTAAGCCATGTTGCTAAAGGATTTTTTTTACTTTTTATTGTGCGAATTTGTGGTTTAATAACTACTCTTGGCATTCACTATAAAAAGCAGCATTAATACTTCTCATTTTGTTAACCTACTTTTTGCAACAGATTAGATGAATTTTATATAAAATTTTATTATGAAGTACATTATAATTTTATCTCTGAGTTACATGAAATACATATATTCTATTTCTGTGACATGAAATTAATGGTAGGAATGTATTCATTAAAGCATTGGTGTGTGTATTGTATTTCAGATATAAGCATTGTACAGGAGCAGATTATCTCTGTGTGACAACGTACCTGTAAAAGGAAAGGCCTAGTAACTGGTAATCCTTTCTGCAAAATTCTGTAGTACAGTTGTGAGAATGCAGTGAGAAATTACATTTCTCTCAATCCTTTATGGTGACATCAAAAATGACTTTTTTGACAGAAGAACTTTGAAAAATAACAGTAGCAATAATAATACAAGGTCTTAACAAAGGAGAAACTAAGTGTGAAGTATATGGAAACCCTGCAATATCTCTGCAACTTCTGTAAATAAATTATAAAATAAAAAGAATTAAAAAATAAGAATACTTCAATAATATGGCTGTTACTGAGTTAGTAATAAATTGGTCTGATAAAGCCATTATTTTTTTCCCCCCCCCATGGTAGCTGGGAGAAAATCAATTGAGTGTCTTTACCCTTTTTTTTCTAGGATTCAAGATGACCAACGAGGAACCTCTTCCCAAAAAGGTAAGTATTTTAAGCAGTTTGGTGAGGGGTAATGCAGGAACTACCTGTATTGTTTGCTTATTTCTCATTCCCTTACCTTAATAATAGTTTTGTGGGCATATAATGTGCTAGATTTTGTATCTTATATGCAATGTTTTTTTTAAGAGTATAATCAGTTTCTGGAACACTTTATTATAAAGATATGTCCACAGTCTACTATTAGCCTCTGTTACACAGGTATTTCTAGCTGTATAACTACAAATAATATCAAAATAGATTACAAAATTCTGTAAGTTATTTTACCTTTTTTTCTGGATTATGAAGGGAACGTCATTGTAATATGAAATCACTTCTGTATTTTTTAAGAGGCCATATATACCTGTTAGTTCTTAAATACTTTCTACTCTAAAGTTTTGTTTTCTAGTCTCAATTTTCCCTTTTCTACATCCCTGCATTAATTCAGTTTAGTCACTGTTACATACACACGCACAAGGACTACAAAAGAAATAACATTGTTTCTAAGAGGATTTGTAATCATTCAGAAAAGTAGAATACATGTTTACTACCCAGTAAAAATTTTGTTAAATTTAGATACAGTATTAATGAAAATTTGTCTTAAGATTTAAAGTCAAATTACCCTTAAGGAAAAAAAAATTGTACTTTAATCATCTGAAAATTACTGTGTGCTTTCTATTAAGATTTTCGCTACATTTTAGTAAAATTATTTTCCCTCTTATATTTTATGATAGTACTTGTTCCTGATCATGATATAAATTTAAAATACTTTTGTAAGGAAAAACGTTTTTAAGTAGCATAAGGAAAACTAATGGAGTTTAAATTTTATACTAATACAGGAGCAGCATTTCACCTTTCAGTTAATTTGGTGTAGGAAAAACATTTACTATTTCTCAATTTACAAAGCAGTTTTATCTAGCTGGAATATTATGCCCCCCTTTTTAACAACAGTTTTTTACTTAGGAATAATTATAGCTTGAAAGCAGGTTCTGTGCACGCTTCACAGCCTCCTTCAATGTTAAAATGTTGCATAACTCTCAGACACCTTGTATAACAGTATAACCAAGGACTTGACATTAGTACAATCCACAGGGTCTATCCAGATTTTACAGATTATGTGTGCAGTGTGTATGTGTGTCTAGCTCTATGCAGTCTTACCATGTGAAGCTTTCTCTACCCGTCACCATAACCAGAATGGATAACTCAGACCTCCCCATGGGCCACCCCTATACTGCTCCTTTATGGCCACATCCATCCCCTCTCCATCCATCCCAACCCTTCACAATCACTATAATTAGTCTCTTTCTATAATTATGTGAATTAGTGGTGTTACCGCTTTTTTTTATTCAACCATTCTAACAGTGTGTAGTGATAGCTCATTGGTGTTTTAATTTACATTTACATAATCATGTCCACATAAAAGGTAACAACTTTTTAAATTTTTTTCCAATAAATTAAGATTTAAAAAAATCGTGCTGAGCCATTTCAGTCTCAGCTTTTAAATTTTTTTTTTTTGAGATTTTATTCATTTGTGCATACAAGAACTGGGGTGCAGGCCAGAGACAGTGGGGGGGACACAACAGGCAGACGACCGAAAACACTGCTGAGGTGAGCAGCAGGTGAAACAGGAGAGGTCTGCTGTGCCATGTGGGTTAGCTCTTTGGCCAGGGATCAAACTCAAGCCGCAGTAGCTGGTGCTAGCTTGATGGTGCTGAGACTTTAACTCCTGCGCCACTGGGGTGCTCAGAGCTACTTTGAAAAGGAGGGGCTTTGTTTGTCTTCAGTAGTAAGGGGATTCCAAATAAAAACTCGCAAACTTGTGATTCTGTCTTCATTAAAACTACAAAGAGTATGAGTGCCAGTAGTACTTAATATTTAAAAGTTTTAGGAGGGGAACTCAGTTTGTCTTTCAATTCTTCTCTACAGGTTCGACTGAGTGAAACAGACTTCAAAGTTATGGCACGAGATGAGTTAATTCTAAGGTAAAATGTACTTTCATTAAAAATATAGAGGTTTCTGTAGAACATATTGTGATTCTAATGTTTGTCATGTCACTTTTTTTTTTTTTAAGATTTATTTATGCATACAATAGCTGGGGTACAAGCCAGAGGCTCAGGGAATGAAAGGATTCACCAGAGACAGAGTGGGGAATGGAATAGGCAGACTGACTGAAATACACTGCTGAGGGGAGCAGCAGGAGACAGGAGAGGTCTCCTGTGCCAGTGGGTATCTCCCTGGCCCGGGATCGAACTGGTGCTGCAGTGGCTACCAGTAGCTTCATAGGTTGAGTCTTAATCCCTTGCGCCACCACGGAGGCCCCTCAGATAGTGTTTTAATTTTAACTATCCTCAAATCATTTAATATGCTTTTTGAACATATTTCCTCTGGCCTGTCTCTTCATTATGTCAGTATAGAGGAATGCATAACACTAAAGAACAAAATCACTCGTGTGGGTAGTGTCTGGACTTAATAAGCAACCTGAATTTTTTATTTTTAAAGATTTATTTATGCATACAAGAACTGGGGTGTTAAGCCAGAGGTGCAGGGGGTGAGAGTATTCATCAGAGACAGAGTGGGGAACAGAACAGACAAACTGACGGAAATACACTGCTGAGGGGAGCAGCAGGCGAGTCAGGAGAGATCTGCTGCGCCATGTGAGTAGCTCCCTGGTTGACCGGGGATCAAACTCATGCTGCAAAGGCTGTGGACAGCTTCACAGTGCTGTGCATAACCCTTTGCGCCACCAGGAAGGCCCCAACCTGAATTTATTTTTAACATGCAGAGCATTTGTATTTGTCAATAAATGCTTTTTCAAAAGCAGATTGTCGGGTATAGCATTATAATATTTGACTGTAAGGAATCAAAGTGTAATCACAAGTTTTGTTTTTTATAACTATGTATTTTCTGTATTCTCTTACTATGGTGGTTAAGGTTTTTACACGATAACTTTCAAATTAAAAATGGGCATTTTTCAGGGCAGCATTTGCAAGGTCATTAAACTTTTGTCTAGAAGTTTCAAAATATTTTTTTACTTATTTTTAAAAAGAATTATTTATTTATACGAGCACTGGGTACAGTCAGAAGAACGGGAGGTGAGAGAATTTGCCAGAGCGGGGAACAGGACAGGCAGACTGATGAAACACACTGCTGAGGGGAGCAGCAGGTGTGGCAGGAAGGTCTGCGTGCCATGTGGGACCCTCGCCGGCGGCCGGGGATCACACCGGCGCTGCAGAGGCTGCGGGCAGCTTTGCAGCCCAGTGCTCAACTGCTGCGCCACCAGGGGAGGCCCCCCAAATTTTTTTTTTATTTGAAGAGCTTAGTAAATTCAGCAGGCAGGTAGCAGCCCTTCTGCCCACCTGAGCCTATACAGGTGCTTCACTTCGTTGACCTTCTCCCTTTGCAAAGGGGCAAAGGCAGCTCTCCTTCCAGGGCTGCCCACCTATGACTATGCATCCCTGTCTTTTAGCAGACTCCTCTCTTTTGGAGCAGCTCTTTTGCCCACTGTGTTTATTCAGGTCTCCTTTATTCTCTCCCTTTTTTATAATAAACCCACCCTTTTGGATATAAATACAATAATTCATCAGGCAAGAAGTAGAGGGGAGAAAAAGTATGTTTTAAGACAGACACAGATGACATCTTTCACCGTTTGCTAGAGTGTGTTGTGGGCACTCTTTTAACTTCCTTTGCTATAATCTCACAAAAGGGGTAGTTTTCCATAGCTTGCCTTTATTTCCCAGCACATGCAATTTATATCTTTAGTATGCTAAAAAACACACTTATCATCCTAAGGTAGACACTGTGTGTTACCACTGAAGTGTTGGTGTTGTTTTTATGCCACCGATACAGTACATTTCTTGCCTTTTAGCCTTAGATAATTGCTCTGGTGCCAATGTGCAATCTTTAACCATAATGGGATAAAAGTACTGTAATCTTACTATTGAAGTCATGGTAGCAATTTTTTAATTCAGGTTACCTTCAAAATTTTTAAATCATGCGCAGTTTATATTGGTGAGCTCAGTTTAACTTCTTCCTCTGAGAAATTCTAACTTGATTTTTAGGTATTTCCCACCCACCTCCACCCCGTCGTTAAATCTCGGTGATTTTTTTTTTAATCAACTACTTAATTTAATTGATCTGTTTTCTGCCCTCTTGCTACAGATTTTCTTGATTGAAGTTCTATGGTTGTCTAAAAATTGAATGAATGTCCTATGTGTGTTCTAAGTTGTATTCTTATAAAAATAAGAATGTACTTGACTGAATTGTAATCTTTATTAGCTTTAAGAAGAGTAGATTGAAAGCCTGGCTACGCAGCATAGCAGTCGTTTGGGCAAGTTCTTGTCATTAGCAGTTTTTTAACTGTAAGACTGGAGAAAGTCTTGTTTTTCATCTGCAATAATTGCCAAGAGCAGTTCATAAGTTTTATTTATTTTTTTAAAGATTTATTTATTTATTATTTATACAAGCACTGGGTACAGTCAGAAGCGCGGAAGAGTAAGAAAATTCACCAGAGCCAGAGCGGGGAGCAGAGCAGGCAGAAGGACCGAAACACACTGCTGAGGGGAGCAGTGGGTGGCAGGAGAGGTCTGCGCGCCATGTGGGACCCTCGCCAGCTAGCCGGGGAGCATCCGGGGATCGAACTGGCGCTGCAGAGGCTGTGAGCAGCTTCGCAACCCAGCGCTCAACCGCTGCGCCTGGGGAGGCCCAGTTCATAAGTTTTATATTTTGAGGATAGAAGTATTATGAAGAACGCTCCCCTCATACTTTGATAACAATGGCATTTATGGGAATTGTTTGCCAATTAGAGATGGTATGAAAATACAATCTTGACAAATAGGACATTGTTTCCTCCTCTTTACATGCAAAAGTTGTATTATTTTGAGATATTCAGTGATATGCACAAGAGCCAAGATGAGACTCCTCAGTCCCGTATAATTAGGCACATTTCTTGCATGTCTTTTGTTTGCAGTGGCATAAAAAAGAGGTTTTCATTTGGCTTCTATCCTCCAGGCATTGTACTTGGTGTCAATGATATAAAGTCCACTGTGGTGTGCGATCTGACCCAGTGGAGCACACTTAGTATATTTTCAGTAGAGAACACTTTTCTGTGTATTTTCTTTCTCCTAGTCCTATTAACTAAATGGAATATTGAAGCGACTAATGTACGGTTGGTTAAACTAGAGGTAAAATCGATCTTGGTATGAAAGAGACCCTAAAAATTTGCCAGCGGAATTCTCAATGTTAAGTTTATGAGTTTATGAATGTGTTTTTTCCTGCTGTATTTAATAAAAGCAATTTCAGTGTAACAACTAATATATAAATTTATTTCTGTATTAGATGGAAACAGTACGAAGCCTACGTGCAAGCTCTGGAGGGCAAGTACACGGATCTTAACTGTAAGTTGGAGTTCTGGCTTCCCGAGCACGATATGAGTGTCTCCTCTTAGATTGTTACAGACACAGGGTATTGATTTTACTAAGGAACTGTAACTTTCATTCAAGCGTTTGTGACTAAACAACTATGTCCAAGCACTGGGGCTCAGAAATAGATGTAAGAGACATCTCTTCTGAGGCATTCAGTCATTGGGGGGAACCAACATGTGATCATACAGGGCATGACTTACAGCAGAATTATCTGCAGTATTCTGGGAACGTCAGTAGGGAACTTAGAGCCACTTTATCAACTTTTTTTTTTTTTTTATTATTTTTTTTTTTATAGAGGCATGTTTTATTTATTTATTTATTTTATTTGTTTGTTCATTTGTTTTGTTTATACATGCACTGGGTACAGTCAGAAGCGCGGGAGGGTGAGAGAATTCACCAGAGCCAGAGCGGGGAGCAGAGCAGGCAGAAGGACCGAAGTACACTGCTGAGGGGAGCAGCGGGTGGCAGGAGAGGTCTGCGCACCATGTGGGACCCTCCTCCGGGGCCGGGGAGCAGCCGGAATCGAACATGCCGCAGAGGCTGCGGGCAGCTTCGCAACCCAGCGCTCTACCGCTGCGCCACCGGGGAGGCCCACTTATCAACTTTTTTGATCTGTCCTGACTGCGTTTACAGAGGAACTTGAATGAAACATGAGTCATCATTCTAGAAGGGGTGCACCCAGCAATACATTTGAGAGCTTAAATACTTAAACATTTCTCAAAATCTGCTAAAAATAACACTGCCAAAAGTTTATACTTTCAAAACTTATATCTTTGTCACTTTTCATTGAGTTAGAACAGCTTAACTATTTGAGTATGAAATCCATTACTGTTTTCCAGAAAACTTAATGCCCCGAAATTTCAGCTTCAATCCATAGAAGAATATGATGAAAGCTAAAAGTAGTGATTGACTCTGCAATTATTGTCATGTATATATTGAATATATACACATAGTGTATATGTATATATATTTGAATATATACATTTGAATACTGTATGCAAATCATGGTATTTTTCCTGTGTCATTTGGGAACAGATTAGACTATAAAAACATATTTCCCCCTTAGTTTTGGTTGTGAACCACTGTAGCACAGCTGCCTGTGGCACACATGATTAAAATTTACTTCCTTGTTAGAAAGTAGTTGTTATAAAGTTAAGACAGAAAGTTTAAAAAAAAAATTTTTTTTAAATAATAAATTTTATTTTTATATACCCCATACAATTGCAACCCCCTCATTCTGACCCCAATCCCTCCCCTTCCACCCCCCCACCCCCCAAAAAGTATCTCTGGTTCATAGTTTTTTGTTGATTTTGATTTTCACTTTCTTACAGTTATTCATTTTCCTGGTCCCTTATTTAAGTTTTCTAGATTCCTGCTATGAGTGAGACCATCCGGTATTTTTCTTTTTCTTTCTGGCTTATTTCGCTGAGCATGATCCCTTCCAGTGCCATCCATGTTGCTGCAAATGGCATGTGTTTATCTTTTTTGAATGCTGAGTAATATTCCATGGTATATATGGACCACATCTTCTTGATCCAGTCATCTATTTTTGGGCATTTGGGCTGTTTCCAAAGCTTAGCTATTGTAAACAGTGCTGCTATAAACATAGGGGTGCAGGTGTTCTTTGGAATTGATATTTCTGTGTCCTTTGGGTAAATCCCTAGGAGTGGAATTGCTGGATCCTATGGAAGCTCTATGTTTAGTAGGTCCAGAAATCTCCACACAGCTCTCCATAGTGGTTGGACCAGTTTGCGCTCCCACCAGCAATGCAGGAGAGTTCCTTTTTCTCCACACCCTCGCCAACATTTGTTGTTGCTCGTTTTTTTAATATGTGCCATTCTCACTGGTGTAAGATGGTATCTCATGGTGGTTTGGTTTGCATTTCCCTGATTACAAGTGATGTTGAACATTTTTCATATGCCTGTTAGCCATTTGTATTTCCTCTTCAGGGAAGTTTCTTTTTAGCTCTTCTGCCCATTTAAAAAAAAAAAAAGTTAATGAAGTACTTTATTGGTTTGCTTAGAAGAATTGGGGTGTATGCCAGAGATTGCAAGGGTTGAGAGGATTCACCAGAGACAGAGTGGGGAGCAGAACAGGCAGATCTGCTGAAACACACTGCTGAGAGGAGCAGCTGGTGAGACAGGAGAGGTCTGCTGTACCATGTGGGTCAGTTCCCTTGTCAGGGATCAAACTCAGGCCATAGCGGTGACCGTGCTGACACTAACCCTTAGGCCAGCAGGGAGGCCTCAGGAACTAAGACTTTATTCTTGATTTTTTTTTTTTTCAGATTTTACTTATACAATAACCGGGGTATAGGCCAGATGTGCGGGAGGGTGAGAGGATTCACCAGAGACAGAGAGGGGAACAGAACAGGCAGACGAAATACACTGCTGAGGGGAGCAGTGGGCGAGACAGGAGAGGTCTGCTTCGCCGTGTGGGTTCTCGCTGGCCGGCCAGGATCAAACCCGCGCTGCAGAGGCTGCAGACAGCTTCACAGTGTGGCGCTCAACCACCTGCGCCACCAGGGAGGCCCTATTCTTGATTTTTTTTTTTAAATGAAATGTTTTATTCTGACTTGTTACCCTTGACAAAGACAGCCAAAACTTTGCTCTGTTGGTTCAAATTGATCTTAAAATTATATTTCCTGTTTTGCGTTTATTTTTCTTTATCATCAGCTAATGATGTAACTGGCTTAAGGGAGTCTGAAGAAAAACTGAAGCAACAACAGCAAGAGTCTGCGCGCAGGGAAAACATCCTTGTAATGCGACTAGCAACAAAGGAGCAAGAGATGCAAGAATGCACTGTAAGTCTTCCCAGGCCTCAGTCTTTCTCATGAGTTGGTTTTCAATCCGCAGCACTATGTATGTTAGTACTAATGCAAATGTTATGCTCTTTGTGTAAATACGGATGCTCATTTGTTATTGTAGATACACTTGAGGTGAAAATATACTAAAAGTCAAATTTTGGTAGGTAACTACATCATTTGCATTTAAAATGTTTTTGTGTGTGGCTACAGAGTCCAAAGTTTTGAGATAATCTCTAAAATTTCCATGGTTTATTTAGTATATTGATTCCAGATACCTTTCGATGGCTTTATATCTGAGCTTACGAGGTGCATTTGCTTTTTATTCCTTCTTTGTCTGACAAAGCCATCTGACTCGTTTCTCCTGTGTTCTCTTTATCCCTTCTTCCATAAAACTAATTTTTAGTACCCACAACTTTTATATTTCCCTTAATCACTATATGTTTTCATTTGTACTATTTGCCTTGTCTCTATAGATCTAGTGATATTTGATCATTTTCTGGTTAAACGTAGACTCAGTTTTAGGCTGTCTTTGATAGTCTTAGTCCATTCCTTGTAGTGTTTGTATATATGTTAAACACAATAGTGACAGCTCTCTCCCTGTTGTTCCTGATGTTAAAATCTGAAACTATCTTTGATTCTTCTGTGAAATCTCCATTCATTAGGTGCATGTTTATTAAAATCTGATGTGAGTCAATATTCCGGTCACTATAGGGGGACACACTCCTTGTCTTCTTTCACCAATAAATTCTTCAGAGCTTAGCCTTAATACTTTTTTTTTCCCCAAAGATTTATTTATTTATGCGTATAAGAACTGGGGTGTAAGCCAGAAGTGCAGGTGGTTAGAGAATTCACCAGAGATAGTGGGGAGCAGAACAGGTAGATCTACTGAAATACACTGCTGAGGGGAACAGGGGGCAAGGCAGGAGAGGTCTGCTGTGCCATGTGGGTTGCTCCTTGGCCTGGGATTGAACTCATGCTTCAGTGGCTGCAGATAGCTTGATAGTGCTGTCTTTAATCCCTGTACCACCAGAGGCCCTGGCATGGTACTTTTACTTCCTATGCACAGTGTCCACATTTTCACAAAAGTTTTTATTCCTTCACTAAAAGATTTTTTCATATTTGCTGAGGAAAAGAGTAGTGTCTGTTATTTTCTCTTCCTTCTCATGACTCTTATCAGTTTACTTTTCACCTTTACTACCACTGATGCTTTTCTTCAAGGTCAGTAGTAAATGTTTTCTCTCAATACACCATTGCTTTCTGTATTTCAGCTACTGACATTTTAACATTTGGCTTTTTTTTTTTTTTTTTTTTAAACCTGTGGACAATTGATTCAAAGAATCCTCACCAACAGTTTGAATGTAAATTCTTTTCTGTGTTGCCCCTACCCTGCCAGTCTAAAAAATTTTTTCTGCTCTTGTGATTTTCATATCAAATGGAGTAGCTACCACTTCTCAGGTGCCTACTTTCAAACCTAATTCTCTTTTCCTTGTTCTGATATTCATAATCGTAGATTTTATCACTTACTCTTGTAAAAGCTTTAGGTGTCACTGTTTGCATGCCACTCTTCTAAGTGTTTGTGCATGCAGAGGGTGAGTCTTACCTTCAGGGTGCTAATACTTGGTAGATGGATGATGCCTGTGGTGCTCTTTTAACACCAGTGAGTTTTAAATTCTTCCTTTCCTTCAGTCCTAGGAGACTTTGTAACTCAGGAACTTCTTACCACTTGCTAGGCAGTGTAGCTGTCAAGTCTCTGTGATTTTCCAGCTATCATATATACACTGGTAGTTTTGATGATCTCATGCCTGTTCTTTGATCATGCCTTTGGTGATGTTCCATCACCCATTTTTCTTCTCGGGCTAGGTTATTTCAACTAGAACCTACAATTTCCAGCCACATTTTTTATATAGTTCTTTGTACAGGCCAATTGCACAACTCACTGACTGTTCTTTCAGCCAGAATACAGGACAAGATGTTGCAGAAAGGGCAGCTGAAGGGAAAAAAAACCACACAAGGAAAAAGGGCAAGGTTATATGTAGCAGTTCACACTATAAACCTGCCGTTGTTACTCTATTAGCATTGGAGAAGCATTGTCTTCACTAGTGCTGGGGTATGTGGTATATACCATCTGACATGCCTTCCTGTTAAAGTATCTTAGTGACTGGTCTTATGATGAATAAGTAGGTATACATTTTTAAGATGTTACTTTTAAAAATACCCCTATGTGAAATAAGAATTGTATTGCTTGCTCAGGAAAGTTTCCAATTTATGGTAGAAATGAGCTACTTATGAAATGTTAACTTAAGTCCTTTTTACATTTGCGTGTGCAGCAAGATCTTGGTGCATTTTATGCTAATGAACTGTATTTCAAATTTTAGAAATTTTTTTAATGCTATTAAGTAGCATGGAGTCAGTGGAAGGTTTCCGGTGTAAGTAGAAGGGTTCTGGGACGGTGGGAAGGTCATAGGCTGAATTCAGGAGATTGAGAGAATTCTCCCAGTTCTGGTACTACGTCCGTGGAGAGTTTCGCTGAATTACAAATACGCAGTTTGGACTAGATCAGTCACCTACCAGCTTTATATTTTGTGATCCAGATTTACTCAAAAGGGAAAAAATGAGCATACACTTTATTTTGGCTTTAAGGAGCTATTTATAAAGTTGTAATGTCAGCTTGTGTAATTATAACTAACGTGTATTTTTAAACTTAAAAATGCAAATGTATTTTTAATTATAATCTTGTGCCTGGCATATTTTTAGGGGACTTGTGCATAGGATAATTTTGATAGCCCAAATTATGAGCTAGTAAACTGAGTACCTCAATAGTACACTTTCATAATTAGTATTTTGAACTTGGCTTTTTTCCTTCCCCAGTGGGTGTCAACATTTTTAGTAAACAGAACAGATTTTTTCAAAGGTTCCACATATGGAAATATAATCAAGTGGCTTTAATTCCTACAGGGATAACCTTAAATAGTTTTTAATTTGTTCTTTTTCCCTAGAGGGTTTTAGGATGGGGTCAGAGAGGCACCTTAATAAACAAGTTGGTAAATCTAGGGAACAAAAGGAATTTTCTGCCCCACCTTTTTATCATGGATGTTTTCCTTTGAGTTGGTAGTCATTATTTCTTTTGCTCTGCACAGACTCAAATCCAGTACCTCAAGCAAGTCCAACAGCCCAGTGTCGCCCAACTGAGATCAACAATGGTAGACCCAGCCATCAATTTGTTTTTCCTAAAAATGAAAGGTGAACTGGAACAGACTAAAGACAAACTGGAACAAGCCCAAAATGAACTGAGTGCCTGGAAGTTTACGCCTGATAGGTAAACAAATCATACTCCCCAGTCAAGACTTCCCTCACAGTCCCACTACGAGAAAACTGTGGTGGGACAGCCAAGTACTCGTTTCCACACCAAGACTCAGACTTTTTGAGCCAAAAAAGCCACATTCTTAAACTGTTCAGCTTGTAATGGTTAATGTAAAACTTACCAGATGAACCTTGTGTTTCAGCTTTTTTCTCTTCCCCCTCCCCTTGCTTCAGAGGCCTGATGGCGTCGGACTATTCCGAAGAAGTGGCCACCTCCGAAAATTTCCCTTCTAGAACATGTAGACACTTGAGAAATGTTTATTTGAAGAAAATAGAGGGAGAAACAGAAGTCTTAAGTCTGTGGCACACTGTGTCTTCAGACAGTTTGGAGGAATGAAAACCTAGAGATTTAAAATCATGAATTGAACATGTAAAATTCCAGTAAAATGTAAAAATGGAATATGCATCGCTCTTAACCTTGAGCATAGTGACTTAGAGACACTGTATATCAGTTTTGCCAATAAGACTGTGGACTTCGTGATTGTTGTTGAACTTCTGGGTCAAAACTCAAATGAGGTGAATTTTGCCTTTAAAGGTTTATTTGCTAAGAACCAACTCAGTAGTTATGAGAGAATTCAAATAATAGACATCAGTACACATAGTTCATATATTTAACCATTTCTTTTGGGGCTCTATATTACTGAGCCTTAAATCAATGTGGTTTTAATCAATGGTTTGTTCTTTGAATGGTTGCTAATACTGGAGATGCACTTACTGAGGACTGTACAAACATGAAGGTGTGGTATCAAACTTGAGGTTTAAACTGTGTGAAGCATTATAAACATTCATTTCACGACCAGATTGTATAAGGATATTGGCTGTGATGGGACTCACTGCATTAATTTTTTTTAGTAGTAAAACTTACTGAACCCCCATTCCATTCAACAGGCACATGTTCCAAGAGAATTGTCTTTGATATTCATGGGGGAATGTGGTCCTTCATTGTATTTGGCCTTTTGTATTGCACTCTTGATATTAAATTAAATGTGCCTTGAAATAGTTGGGGTTTTTTTTTTGTTTTGGGCTTTTTTTAAGTTCAAGGAATGCTATGATGGTTTTGTTGTACTTTTAACATTTTGATTTGGGGGGGCCTGTGGAGAGCAGATTGATTTTGGGGAAATTTGCTGTGCTCTTCAAGAGAAGAGGAAGGCTCTGTGTCTCATTTTTTAAAAGACTTTTTTTTCCAGCTGGCATAAAAGACAAGGAGACTTGACTCTTGCTACTTTTTGACACTTTGTCCCAAGATATTGCAGTAGAAATTAATGTGGGACAGCCTCACAGGGTGCCGCCCAGAAGATTGGGGAAATATGTATTGGAGCTGTGGGCTGGCCTCAGTGAGACATTTTGTGAATTGAAGACAAAGCTGTAGTGATCATATCTAGCAGATTCATTTGATCATTTAGATAAATGAGGCATTTTCTTCATGCTTCCATCCAATCCTGGAGGTGAATTTTTTTCGTCATTCTATAAGTCACCAATTCGAATATTCACTTGGTGATAATGGAGTCTAAGATGAGTGGAAGATAAAGTTCCAGATTGTCCCAACGGTTAAGTGCAGTTTTAACAAGGGTGACTTAAGTTCTCTCTTAATCATTCAAATCAATTGTAAGTATCTTGTATGTTTGTGCTTTAGGGAACTGATTGTGGGGCAGAGGGTGGGTTGAACCAGAAGTGGTTTGTGTGATGTTCAAAAAATCCGCTTCTAAAATTCTCACAATTTGTGAGGGTTGGTGGTGGGTAAGTAAATAACCAAATTTGTTTGAAAATAGGTTATTGTGCCCAAGTTAGTAAGACTTTTGTATATATTTGAAGATGCTATATAAGGTCACAATAGAAATAAATGACCAACAAATTTTTAGTAGGTCAAGAAATAATTCTGGAGTAAATATTGGAATATATGCTCAAATTTTGCTAGAATTCTTCTTTGCTGCTTAGATAATGCTTTTGGGAAGGGGGGGGTGTATGGGTTTTTCTTAATCATTGTTAATTTTTTTTTTCCATAAAAAATTACAACAAAAAATCGAGATGAAAGAGTCACTCCTGGATATGATCTTGCCTTCTTCATTCAGGCACAATAACCACTATTAAATTTCTTGGTTATAAGGATAATTCCTATGCATGTATAGTCATTTTTTATATATTGTTTTTGGATTTTTTTTAATGTCACCATTATATATTCAGGTGATTTGCAGCTTCACCCCACTTTATACCTGGGCACTTTTTAATAGTTATTTAATTTCATTTTTTTAATGGTTATAAGATGCTTCCAATGTATTAGTGATAATTTATTTTGATGTCCTATAAATGGATTTTTATTCCATAAAAATTAGCCTTACATAGTATGTCCAGTACTATAAATAACTTCTTTTATACCTGGTACTATAACTACACCATTAATTTGAAAGAACTAGTGCTCAGTCAGTGGTACAAGTACACTAGCATTTGGTAAATAATTTGTTTAAAATCTGATGATCCTAATCTGGCAGATAGTTACATGTTTGCATTATTTTGATAAGTAACATAAATTTTTTGTTGTTGTTTTTACTTTCCTACTCTTTTAATTTTGAAGACGAAAGATTCCCTGAATTATCTTCTCTACTTTGGTTAAAATATTTCATACACGTGACACTATTTTAAACTGTTCATTCAGAAGGATATATTTCAAGTATTTTGACAATTTTCACTTTGCTTTTAATCACCTAATTGAACACCTCCAATATAGCCTGTTTCTCTTCCCCTTGATAACAAGGCAGTGTATGGTGTTATTAACTTTATTTAAACCATTTCTTATGTATATATTTTGTGGATTATTTGATTTTAGGAATGGGTCAGTGTTTTTGTTTTAATTTTTAAAAAACCTGTTCTAAAGACAGTTACTTGTGATTGAATTCTTTTATTTACTTTTTTTTTTGTGATATGATACAGATCATAAGTAACAAAATGAATGTTTAAGGAGTAGCAGTTTTGTCAAGATGTTTCAACAATTATTAATTTTAGAAGTGATAGGATTATTTTAGATCATGAGTTATGATTATGAATCATTTTAAATTATATTTTATGTGAGGTTGTCAGATCACTAATGTGTTGATTTCATAGTTGTCTGTTTTTTCTAATCTTTGTTAAATTCATGAGAGATTTTTCAGATTAGCTGGAAAACACTGGTGCTTTATATCATTCAAGAAAATAAAGTTATGGTACATAGGCTGTGAAATGAGAGGAATGCCACTATCTTTGATAGTGGTGCCTATTAATTCCTCATTTGATGTCCAAACTCTAGTTGAGTGGAAGTCTGAAGGTACTAACGGAAGGAAAATAAGGTCTGTCCTATAGTGGCAGTGAACAAGGTAACAGTTGCCATGTAAGGAATCAACCCTCATCCTGGGCTTGCTGGTGGCTTGCCCAGGTTCCTTTGAGCAAAGAGAAGCTGTTTTTACTGTACCACAGATTTGTGAAGGGAAGTAAATTATAAACTTCTGCTTAAAAGATTGAGAATCAGTTTACAAAGTGCTCTCATTTAAAAAGTTTTAGGGCTTGATAGGATCTAGATGCATTCTGAATCAGACAAGGGGAAGCCCCACTAAAAGAAAAAAAAGGAAAGTACTTAATGACAAAAATATTTAATTCTCTCCAAGTCAGAGAGGTATATTCTTCAATCAGAGCCCCTTAACCCTTTGCACTCTGAACCATTTTACAATATTTTGATTTAATTTCTTGTACCATTTCAAGATAAAACTTCAGGGAAACATGCATGTCTCAAAAAATTGCGTTGAAATAACCTCAATTCCCTGTAATCACTAATAAATTGCAATGTCCCCTGAGAGGGGACAGCCGAGTGATATGCTAGAATTCCGATGTCCCCTGAGAGGGGACAGTGGAGTGCATAGGGTTAAAAGTGATCATTTCCATTATTGCTGATGCTAAAGAAAAGGCAGAAAAGTTTTCTGAGAGATTACTTTGTGATTACTTTTAAGTTATGGTGTGTGTGCATATAGATTGATAGTATGATACACTAGCACGTGGTAAATAATTTGTTTAAAGCAAGTCCCAGATTTAAAAGACAGCTCAGACATGTATTTTATATCCATATGCACACAGACACAGGCACATAAAGAAGTTAAATGAGAACTTAATGAATAAAAGCAATCTTTAGCCTCTTTATTAGGCTTTTTTTTAAATGCTCTTTGAAAACAGTTATTTAATATGCCTTAAGCTAGTAGATGTTCTTGTAAAAACTGCCTTTAAGAGGTATCCTTACTGAATGTTTCTCTAGCAAGAATAAATAGAAGTACAGTTTGTCGTCTATCAAGTATTTTAAAGGAGCGTATGGTTGTCATTGCATTTATCTTTCCGAGAACTTTCCATGAAGCTAAGCACCTTAGTGTTTTGTTAATATGGGTGTATCTTAAGTATGTGTTAATTTAAGTAGCTAATTTTGAATTTCAAAGGTTGGGATGAAAATAGATTTCAGAATCATTGTAATAACACTAGAAAGCTGCCATTTTGGTGCTTTTGTTTAGGGTTTGCTTTTGCTGATGGATTGGCAGAATTCTGAAATGCAGAAGTTGGGCCTGTTTCAGAACAGGAGATGGTAATTGAAGGGAGGTACCTACTGTGATCTAGTTCTGTATATGTTACATCTATCATTGTAATAATTGCAAGCAGATAAGGTTTGTAAGAGAGTTTTGTCTTCATTTAGTGATGGATGACTTTTTCCTTTACAGCCAAACAGGCAAAAAGTTAATGGCGAAGTGTCGAATGCTAATCCAGGAGAATCAAGAACTTGGAAGGCAGCTGTCCCAGGGACGTATTGCACAACTTGAAGCTGAGTTGGCTTTACAGAAGAAGTATAGTGAGGAGCTTAAAAGCAGTCAGGATGGTAAGGGGTCCTTTGAAAAGTTTGGTTAACTTTGCACTGGCTTTTAAAAAAACTGCCAGGCATGAATAGTATAGGTCATATTCTGTACATGCTGCTATCTGCCTATAGCTCTAGTTGAGTTGGCAACCAAAGCCATTTCATTTAGTGGCGTTTTCTCCCATTCTCCTAATAGTTTACAGATTTCCATTTTTAGTTTTTCATTGTGGGATTTGGTTAAAGATAGAAAAGTTGTGTTATTAAGGTATTACATAGGCCTCCAAATTTATATTCAGTTTTAAAGGGGAGAATATCTTCATTTAACTACTTTCTCTGTGTAAGTCTTTTAAGTATTTGGCTATTTTCAGTCGTCTAAAAAACACGTTTGTACTTGTTAAGGTCCTATGTAGTGTATACAGTCTAATGCTAAAATTTGCTAAGACCAAAAGAACATAATTCTCAGCTGCCATCTTTCTTGGGGGGCAAGTATAGGTACATCAATGCTGTTTGGTGAGCCCTTCATGTGGAAGGTTAGTAGTTAATAAGGAAAATTTTAAATTGAGAATTCGTACATATATAACAGTTAATTGCAAAGAAGCATATCTTTAAAACTACCTTTCATAGCAGTGTTTCTCAGCTCTTACCATTTGTAAACTTTGGTAAATGGGAGATTTTGAAAGATTTTTTTCCCCGCCTCTAGTGCTTTTGTAGGACTTACTGGACATGTATTTTTATCAGTTTCCAAGAGTTTTCTGTTTTGTTCTTGAAAGTATAATAGTCATTGGCTACAACATAGCCCTTTGTGGAGTGTTAGTATAGATTGGTCACCTGTTCCCTAGAGGTTCATCCAGCTGAAGAGCTGAGAGTTTCACCAACCTTATCCACACAAAGGTAAACAGTAGGCCCTTTTGGAGTGTTAGTATAGATTGGTCACCTGTTCCCTAGAGGTTAATCCAGCTGAAGAGCTGAGAAAAGGCTTTCGTCACCAGCCTTGTCCACACAAAGGTAAACAATGTGCTGAGGATGTTGTGGGCTGTATTCAGTCATATATGACCAGATGAATTTACACGAACCCAAATTGGTTGCCTTAATCTATTTTTAACTATTTTATCCCCCAAAACAACTCCTTGTGACTATTTCAAAAATTCCAAGCAAAACTTCAAAATACCCTGTGTTGTGATTTTAGAATTGCAAACGTTTATGATTGCCTGGCTTTGTTCCAGCCACTAAGGAATAGTTTTAAATATGTTATAAAAGATAATAAAGTAGGTTTGACTCTTCCCTTTGCACAGAACTGAATGACTTCATCATTCAACTTGACGAAGAAGTGGAGGGAATGCAGAGCACCATTCTCGTTCTTCAGCAACAGCTGAAGGAGACACGCCAGCAGTTGGCGCAGTACCAGCAGCAGCAGTCTCAAGCCTCCGCCCCAAGTACCAGCAGGACTACATCTTCTGAGCCTGTAGGACAGGCGGAGGCCACAGGAAAAGACTGCAGTCGACTGGCCAACGGACCAAGTAACGGCAGCTCCTCCCGGCAGAGGACGTCTGGGTCTGGATTTCACAGGGAGGGGGACGCCCACGAGGATGACTTTCCTTCTTCTCCAGGGAATGGTAATCAGGCCTCCCACAGCTCGGAGGAGAGAACTGGCAGAGGAGGTGTTAGTTACATAAACCCACTCAGTGCGGGGTATGAAAGCGTAGACTCTCCCACGGGCAGTGAAAACTCTCTCACACACCACTCAAATGACACAGACTCCAGCCATGACCCGCAGGAGGAGAAGACGGTGAGTGGGAAAGGTGACCGAACTGCGGGTTCCCGCCACGCGCAGAATGGCTTGGACTCAAGTGTAAATGTACAGGGTTCGGTTTTGTAATATTTTTCCAGCAGATTTTTATACAGTGTCGTTGAATTTGGGAGAGGAGACTGTCGGCGAAGTACCGCATACTTTGTCACTCTTTGCCTTTTTTGTGGGTGTGTGTGTTTTTGTTTCTCCCCCCTTTTTTTTTAAATTTTCTTCCTTTGCTTCAATACCTCTGCCACTTTGGGAATTATAACAGTTAATTACTTTGAATGTTGCTAAAAAGACATTTTGAGTAGGGTCAAGTTATTTTTATATGAGTTAATGTGAAGTTGTAAATGGAAATCCTCCTTTCAAGTAGAACACGATGATGTCTGTATAAATCTCCGTGTAGGGCCTGTGCTGTGCAAGGGCATTCTCACTCATGCTGTTGTTATACTTCTGCGCCATTCAGACTTGTTAGAGTAGATGTGAGGCTGTGACTGCCAAGTTTGCCCGGTACAGTAGTTTATCACTAAAAGCTGGACTTGCTGATGGAGTCCTGTAGTAGTTTCAGTGTTAGCTGCAGTTTTTCCCACCATACATCTGTGCATTTTCTCTTTAGGTGACTGAATGTTTAAGAAGTCTGTGTGCATAGTTACTCAGTTTTTATGAACTGTTGAATCCTGTTAATGCAAATTGCTCTGTGACTCCAGTATATCTTACCTGTACTGACCAAACCTAAATAAAGATTTTTATTGTAACTCATGCATTTGTTGGTTTTTGTTGGTGTGTTTAGCATTTGTCATTTATTTTCATTGAATGGCTGAATTTCTGCCTATTCCTCAACATGCCACAAAGGGGAAGAAGTTTCGGTCCATGCATCAGTTTTGATGGTGCACCTGTTTTTTTTTTAATCAAGCCTTGTTTTGCACAATGAACTTGGAGTATACTTTTATTTTTTTTTCTCCCTGACCTGTAAAAATAAATATTATAAGATGTTTTTTAAATATGGGAAAGTATAGAAAATAATCACCTACGTATCACTTGACTTATAATTGAAAAGCTGAATTTGTTTTTGTGAAATGATGTGAGGTTGTTGGGTGATTCATTGAAGTAGGATACCAGCACAGTCAGTGATGTTTGAAAACTGTCCATGGACAGTGAGCATGCCTGCTAATACCAAAGTCTTTGGGGTTTTAGAAAGAAGGAGAAAATATTTTTACTGAGTCGATTTTGTCTCTTATTTTAAATATTAAGTATTGAGGTCTATGGTATTGAATGACTTTGGAATCTAGCTTTTCATGTATGTAGTTGAGGTGAAATGTGAATTTGCTGAAAGCACGGTATTTTCTTATTTTTGATATTACTTGTAATTAAGGAACTGCATGAATGGACTTGGAATACTAAACAGGTACAACTTGAAAACTGTTTTGCCTTTCTGGCATGTGCGTATATCTGACCTGGTGGTGTGTTCAGAATACTCTAGTTCCTGTCTTTGATTAACCATTTGCAGTCTTCAAGTAAATAAATTTGTGATGGTCAAACATTTTGGTGTGTACTAAAATACTAAGTATTCCCTGGGTTTATCAAGTGTTGTGGGCTTTGACTTTGGATTTTGTTAGTGTGTGCCTTTTTAGCACCCCCAATTTATACAAAAGAATTTCTCTTGATGGTATGTATGTAGTTGTTGGTGTGTAGTAGTAGATTTTCAGCTGATGATTTTGATTTAACAGGCCTGTTGTGTCATCACCAATTGTAAGTTTCTGTTGACTCTACACTTAAATGGTTCTCTTGGGCAAAGAGAAATGTTGACTTCAGTCAGTATTTCTCTTTTCTGGAATTGGGTACTTGCTGTGTTGGGGTAAGTGCAGTAAGAGTTGGTCAGATCATATCCAGAGAGTGGCCTCTGGAGCTAATGGATTTGAGTCCTGGCTTTACCAGCCAGGTATCTGCTTCAGTACTTGTACAAATGGTCTCAGTCTCTGAAGCATCTGATTCCCTTACGAGAGCATCAAGCAAGTGTGGGAAGCGCTTGGCAGCTGTGGTGAGCCCAGTGGCTGCTCTGGACGTGTTAGCCATTACCACCCTCCAGTGACGGGCCATCTCCCTTGGCCCAAGTACTCCAAAGGCCAATTTTTGTTTGGATAATCTTTGCTGGAAGAGAAAAGATTAGTTTTAGGTAAATAGCTTGTGATGTCTGATGTAAAGGTGGAAAACTGCCAGTGTTTACTGCCCCTGCTAAATGCCTGTTTTCTCTACGAGCACAGGCAGAAGCATCCTTTAGATGACTCCTGGATACGGACACCCAGCCTGTGACAGCAGCTTCACGCGCACAGCCAAAGGTTAGCTTTCAGGGCAGTCCACGTGGATATGGCCCAAGCTCGATAGGGAAGTTTCAGTGTCTCTACCTTAGCGTTATTCCTACCTTAGCGTTACTCTCTACCTTTTAAGAGAGTTGTCCTTAAAAGGTAGCAAAAAAAAAAAAAAAAAAAAAATGCCTTAACATTTTTGGCATCTATTGAGTTTGCATGCCAGAACTGACTGGTATTTTATTGGCTTTTTCACTGTTACCGCCCCATGATAGACACCTGTTGTCCCTACTTACAGACTCGGAGATGGGCTTCAGGGGGAGCTGCCCTCTAGGGTGCCACTGAAGCTCCATGGGTAATGCCCACCTCAGAGCTGGCAGCCCAACCATATCTTGATTCCAAGAGGCCTGATTCCAAGAGCTCAGGATTGGTGCTGTCGTTCTGCCTCCCACCATCCTCTTGAGCAAGAGTAAGAAATGCCCGTCAGCTGCTGAGGATGCTATCACAATCCCTCTGAGCGGTGCTGGCAAGGATCCCATGAACTGGCAGTGCAACAATGGGTAAAGAAGATTTTAACTACACAGTTTAAGATAGTAGGTAAGAAGGTTTACTTAAGAACAGTCTCTAAGAACTGCAGCCCTTGAAAATGGGCCCTTGAAAATGGTTCCAGTTTGTGGCAAGTGGTAAAGGAAACATTTTACAAAGGTCCGGCCTTCCTGGCGAATGTACCAGCTGCCATCTCTTACAAGGTTTAGTGGGTGCCATTGTTGCTAAGATCTTAATGAGAACAATTTTGTAAAAGCGCTTATTGCACAGCGCAGTTAAGTGTTGGTTCCCTTGGCCTCAGCCGGATTCAATGCACTTAACCACTCGGGTGCTGAGATGCTCGGGGCCATCCCGACAGTTCCCTCCCCGGTGTGCTGTGTTTCTCAGCCACAGGCATCGCCTGCCCCTCTGATTCCACTTTCTTGGGAGTTCATTTACTTCTGTCATCTGTAAGAAGTGTTGCCTTTGACGTGCTCCGTCATGGGGGACTTGTGTTAACACTCATTGTAGGGAACATGGGACTCCAGGTTGGACTCCTGCAACATTGTGAAACCAGGAACAGCTGCAGTACAACAGGACCCTCTTGCAAAGGTGATTTAGTCTAATAGAGAAGATAAGAAACTAGGGATGATAGTGTGGTCAGCAGAAAGATAAGGCTAGGTAGAAGATGCCAAGGGGCATCGAAAACAAGAAATAGGAAGACTTCTCAAGGGAGGGATATCTAAGGGGGTGCTACGTGTGACACAAGGTAGTTACACAACTCGCTGAGCCTCTGTGTAGAAAAGAAAGGCTGTTTTAGGGTAACAGCCTCAGCCTTGGGGGTTCCCAGGCGTGATCTGAACCATGCCAAGGAGACAGGGAAGGCAGACCACGGCACAGCAGTAGGTGGCATTTGCAGCAGGCAAAGCAACTTCCAAGACCGGCCAGATCACCAAAGCCTATGTCAAGTCCTTAGCGTTTAGTCGTGGACTCCGTCCAGATGATCTCAGAGCCACATTTCTAGCCCACGGTTGTGTCCTTTTGGAGGAGTTCCTGGGAGGGGGAGCCAAGTGGGGCATATTCCATGGGCGGGGCAGGGAGCCTGCATTGACCCAGGGGGAGTCAAACGGCTGTCCGGTCCTTGGATGACCTCCCTGACAACTGGTGGGGTGGATAGAATGAGTTTGGTCCATGTGTCAGATCTGAGGTGTCTACGGGAAATGGGAATGGAGATACTTGGGAGTTGTCAGCACCTAAGTGGTCACTGAGGCCTGGGAGTGACCGGCATCGCCCAGGGTGCCATGCAGAGTGCGAGCCTTGGGGGCTACATTATGGGGCAGGGACAGTAAGTGCACAAAGGAGACTGGGGAGTGGCCAGTGGCCTGAGGGGAAACTGAGAAGGTGTAGAGCATGGAGCTAAAGAAAAGGTCCCCATAAATCCCTCGACCTCTCGTGTCGAGGATGACATTGCCGGCAGGAGTCCTGGTGTGTGCTGCTGGACTGGCAGGGGGCACCGCTGGGCTCAGCAGCCTTCTAGCCTCTGTGGCATTCTGACGTAGGAAATGCGGCTGTCCCAGCTCTTCCTTCTCTACCCGCCTCCCCACCCTTTCTTCGGCCTGTGTTTATTTTCTTGGGTTTATTTGGTCCTTCATTAATGTGGGATCCCAGGGCCTAATGAGCTTTTCGGTTCATCAGGCTCCCCCAGGCTTGCCTGTGACAGAGGCCGCCTGTTCTGTGGTCTCAGGCACTGCGCCGCCCGGCCAGAACCCTAGCAGGCTAGGCCGTTTCTCTTTGACTGGTCTGTTAACTTACCTTTCGCCAGGTGGGGCAGAAACCATGGAAGCTCCCCTTGGTATGGATATTCCTTTCTGTGGCAGGATCACAAGTAAAGGTAGGGGAAAGTTTACTTCTCCCTGTCTTTGCAAACATGATATTCTTGATTTTGCTGGTTTCTTGGAATAAGGATGGTTTGGCCCCATGCAAGGGTCTGGTTCAGTGTAAAGAGGACAGTAAAGCGGTTTTTTCTGTAGTGGCTTTTTTCTTTCTTTTTTTCTTTTTTTTAAAGATTTATTTATTTTATAAAAGAACCGGGGTAAGGCCAGATGTACAGTGGCTTTTTTCATCCCATTTTAAAAACAATCCAGTGATGTCAACTTTTCATCTCCTAAACACTTGAAGCCTCAACTTCCGACCAGGAGGTCAGCATGGACGTCTCAGGATGCCTTCAGGTGTATGTAACAGAAGAGCTTCCCAAGTCAAACGGGTTCAAACAACAAGGAAAATCGATCTCACATGCTCACAAGACCAGAGGGTCAGTGGGGTTGGCCCCACGGATGTCCGCGATTTCTTCCTCTGCTCTCCTGTCCTCGTTGTAGGCTTGGCAGTCACACCTCATCCCCTATATTCAAAAAGTTGTCGCAGCAGTTCCAGACTTCACATCCAGACACCACAATGTCCCATGGGAACAGGGATCCACCTTCTGTCTCCACGCAGTGTAGTGAGTGTCTTTCCTGGAGTCACCCGGCAAGCGTCCTTCACATTTTGGGGGCTGATTGGGTCACATGTCCATTCTAAAGCTGAAGCAGGAAGTTTCCGAAGTCTGCTGCTTGGGGAAGTCTTCTCCTTCGAGTCTGCTGCTTGGGGGAGCAGAGAAGTTGCTGGGTGTGCGGCACTGCTAGTACACAGTGGTAGCCATGGCTACCTTGACTCCTTCCCGAACAAGAAAGAATGCTTATGCTGTGATGGGCGGGACAGCACGTTTCCTCACACAAATTGTACAAAACTTCCATTTTTACTCTTGGGTGCTCAGCCTTTGGGGAGCGATCCCACTGGGCCCCCGGTGTGACCTGTAAATCTCTCCACCTCCGAGTGCCGTCTGATTTCTCTGGGAATTGCCGTAACAAAACCACTGGCCAGGACTAAGCTGACAGTAGGGTAAATGGTTTAATCAGGCTTTTTATGCCACTGGCCTCTGGCTATCACCTATGGCCTTGATCGTGTTGAGGCAGAAAGCACTTGGGAACATGGGCACCGGGCTCGCCTGCCTGATTGTGGAGGTCTGGAGTATGGGTGTGGGCATGTGTAAGTGTGCACGCCTGAGCCTAGAGGCCAGTTATGTAAGGATGGCTACGTGAGGACAAGTGACTACAAAAGAGGCAAGACCACGACAGAACACCAGAAAGAGCCCACAGAGAGTCATGGGGGGCTGGGGGCTTTTTCACCTGCCTGCCTCCCAGCACCCCTTGCCTGGCCAGTGTCTGCCTTCCCTGCACGCCAGTCTCCCTGCCTGGTGTGCCTGTGTGTCTGCTTTCCCGAGAGAGTAGTAAAGCCTGAAAAACCCACTGAGGGCTCCTGGACTCCCCGTATCCAGCCGCCTGAATCCATAGTGAATCTGCCCTGTGCTTGCTGGCACCGACTGACTTATTTGGAGTAAAATGAATGTTGGGAATCAATCACCGTAAGTGGGTTCATGGGAAGAGCTAAGAGTGTAAAGTCTACTCTAAACAGCCACGAAGTGCCAGCCATCCAAATTCCCCACCCAAGTGTTTACCCGCAGCCCAAACACACCCCGCGGTGTCTCCGCGTTACTTATTTGAACGTTTCTAAGTCCCTACCCGTGGGTGACTTACTCCACCCCTTTGGGGACCGCGAAAGCTTTTGGATGATAATCATGAAGATTCCCCTACATCGGATGAGCATGTAGGCCTCTGTGTCAGAACACCCCGACCGCGGCAGGCTCGGGGGAGACCAGACAAAACAAGACCTCTGCAGAGGAGACCACGCCGGGGGGAGACACCTGGGAGCAGCAGCTGGGGAGGGACAGGCAGGTGTTGCGGGGCCTCACGGGCGCTGAAAGATCTGGAACGTCGCCCGACAGCCACAGACTTTGAAAATGGCTTTAAAGATGAGCGTGACCCGCCTGGTTATTCCACGCTCCTCTCCTCGCACGCGCGCAACTGTCCACGAAGGGGAATCCTGGAGTGTGGACCCGCCCCCCCCCCCCCCCGGCGCCGGGGGCACCTCCTGGGGCCCCGGGCAGAGCCCACGACGCCCCGCGCCGTCCCCGTGGGTGTCCGGGCCCCGCGTGCGCGCCAGCGCCTGCCCACGCCGAGAGCAGCGACAAACGGCCCCAAAAAACGCGTGCAAAGGACCCCAAGAGTCTCTTCTCGACGAGGCCCTCGCAGGCCGAGCAGGCGGGCGCGGGGGCAGCGGCGGGGGCGCCGGCGGGAGCCCCAGGGGTCCCCAAGCGGCCGGGGCCGCCGTCCGCCGGCGCCGAGCCCAGAGCCCCGGGGGGCGCCGGTCCGGCCCCGCCGCGCAGGGGCGTCCCCGCCGGGCCGGGGCGGGCTCCGGGGCGCGCCTCTCCCCGACGCCCGAGATCCTAAATTCAAAAATGCCAGGAAACCCTCCGAGGCCCCGGACGCCCCCGCCCGGACCCGCCTCAGCTCCGCGGGGCTCGGCGGGGCCGCGGGCGCGGGCGCGGCGCGTGGGCGTCGTGCCGACGTGGGCGCGCGCGGGGCGGGGCGTGGAGCCTGAGGCCCGGCCCCGCCCCCGCCCCCGCCGCCGGCCTGCCCGCGCCTGCGCAGCCGGGCCGCTGAGGCCGTGGGCGGGGCGGCAGCGGCTCCGCCCCCGCGCCCTTAAGTCCCGGCCGGCCGGGCTTCGCCTCACTCTCCCGGGAGCCAGCCGTGGTAGGGCAGGCGTGGCCGCGCGGCAGGATGAGCGCCCGTTCGGACCCTGTGGTTATCGTCTCGGCGGCGCGGACCGTCATCGGTGAGTGGCCGGCGCCCGCTGCGGGGTTCGAGCCGCGGGCCGGGCCCCCCCGCGGGGACCCCGGGGCCCCGGCGCGTCGCACCTCCCGGGTCGGCGCGGCAGATCCGCCCCCTGCTCGCCCGGTGAGGCCCTTCCGATTCGCGCGCTCTGATTGGCTCCCCGGGTAGAGCCACCGCGCTGTCCGGCTCTCCCATAGGCTGGCGGGGAGAGGCGCTCTCTCGCGAGGCCTCTGATTGGCCAGCTCCGGGAGCAGCCTCCTCGGCCGGGCGGCGCCGCGGTGGTCTGAGCGGGCGCCGGGGGTCGCGGCGCGCTGACGAGCGTCGGGCGCGTCCCCTCGCGCCCCGGGCTGCCTTCTTCCGGGCGCGGGCCCGCGCGGGGCCGGGCGGGGCGGGCCCCCTTTGTGAGGGACGCGTGGCAACGCGTGCTCGGGAATGAATGAGGAGGTTTCCCGCGGGGCCGCGGCCACCGGGGGTTCTGGGGCCGCCGCCTGCCCGGCCCCGCGGCGGAGAGCGGGGACCCCGGGCCCAGGCGAGCGGCGACGCGGCCTCCGAGGGCGCACCCCGGCCCGCGCTCCCCGCCCCCTTTCCGGGGCGCCCCCCTCACCGCCCTCGGGGTCCCCTCTCTCCTAGGCTCCTTTAACGGCTCCTTGTCCACCGTTCCTGCCCACGACCTGGGCTCCGCCGTCATCAGAGAGGTCCTGAAGCGGGCGGCCGTGGCTCCCGAGGAGGTGTCGGAGGTCATCCTGGGGCACGTCTTGGCAGCAGGTAACCGCCCGCCGGCACTCGCCCAGGGCGGCTTGTGGGGAGGCTCACCTGCTCCCCGCGCTCGGCTGGCGGAAACTGCGGCTGTGCCTCCGCGCCTGCCCGCGGGGCGCCCTGCACTGGAGGCCAGCCTACGCCCCAGCCGGGCCAGGCGGGCAGCCCAGCCGCCGGCCTCCGCTGCTTTTGTCTGTCAGGCAGCGCCAGCCTGAAGCGGCCGGAGCGCCTGGCCTCTTTCCGCCTCCAGAGTGTCACACATTCAATAAAAATGCAGGGAACTGGGTACGGCTGCAGCGTGGAGCAGGTACCTGCAGCGCAGGGGTGTCCTGCCCCCCACCCCCACCCCCCAGGCCTGGCTTTCTCTCCTGAGGGAGAGGCTCACTGTCCTGGGGAGCTCTGAATCTGGAGAGCACTGATTTCCCAGGATCTATAGATCCGCCCTCCGCTGACATGTCCCCAGCAGCTGGTTATGGACCGGTGTCCTGCTCACTCAGTGCCATCCATTCTGATAGTTTGTAGTGACCATTTGCAAGGTCCCTTTGCTTACAACCAGCTTTTGTTCTTACTTGGCCCATTTTTCTGTGTATTTACCTTCTAGGTCTTCCTGACTCCCTTTTCTCCGCTTGCTCTTAAGGGCCCTTCACGTGAGAGTAAGGCCCACCTCTGCCCTTGGCTCTCCACTGAGCCTCCCACTGGCCCCTCTCTCTCCACTCCAGACCCGTGGCCCACACTTATTCATCATAGGGGACCCCACTCCTGGTTTCTCTGTTCTCCATGACTCTTTTCTGTAGTATCTTTACAAAATATAATAAAAATATTAGCTGTGTTTAGTGAGGGCCTGCTGAGGACTGGGCCTTCAGAGCACTGTTCTGGGTGCTTTCCTGTCACCACTTCATTTACTTCTCCCTGCCAGTCTAGTGGATTCTTTCACCTCCATTTTACAGATAAGTAAGTGGGAACCTGAGAGGCGAAGTAACTTTCTTAGGCAGGCTGGCACCTGACCGCACATCTGCCCTACTCCTTAAGCCTCTACAGTCATGCAACAAATATTAACTGAGCACCTGCTATCTACCACCAGGCACTCAGTCTCCAGCCTAATCCCAGATTAATAACATGGCGGTGAATATAATCTCTAAGTTTCAGTCACTGACCCACCAGTTTTCCCCCACAGACTCACCAAGGAAATGCAAGCATGATCTCTGCTGGCCCTTGATGACAGATGGTGGTGGCTGAGACTGCTTGACACTTTCAACTCCACCCCCTCTGTGGTGGGTTTCTTCCCATTCACTAAGGGAAGTCCCCAAAGTTGAGTTATAGAAGGTATCTGTCATCCTGATTTTGTACAGACCTCATTATGTAAGCAGCTGATCATGGTAAGGAAAGAAATGCTTCTTAACGGAGGTTTTCTTCCTCTAGTCACCTCTTCCCAGCTGCCTTAAACTGGGCTCACAGAAGCAAATAGCCTTAGGAACAGCAGGAATTTCGGGGCTGTGTTTATAGGGACGCTTAAGTGTATGCTTATTCAAGCCCTGTCAGGAGGTCAAGAATAGTTCCTTTAGTCTTTAAACATTTTAATTCTTTTATTCTAATGCAACATACACTCAGAAAAGCCCACCTAAGTGCACAAGGAATGACCACAAAAGAAACACACCAACTCAGACAAAAACTCCCTCCTAGTCCCTCAGTACATGTCCCCTCCCAATAACTACTTCCTCCTTGCTCTCCAAAGGTGCTACAACTTTATTTATTTATTTACTTATTTATTTTTAAAAGATTTATTTATTTATGCATATAAGAGCTGGGTACAGGCCAGAGGTGTAGGGGGTGAGAGGATTCACCAGGGACAGAGTGGGGAACAGAACAGGCAGACTGACCAAAGTACACTGCTGAGGGGAGCAGCAGGCGAGTCAGGAGAGGTCTGCTGTGCCATGTGGGTTTCTCCCTGGCCAGCGGGGGGATTGAACTTGTGCTGCAGAGGCTGCAGGCTGCTTCATATGTTGCGTCTTAACCCCTTGTGCCACCAGGGAGGCCCCAACTTTATTTTTTTTAAAGACTTATTCATGCATACAAGAGCTGGGGTGTAGGCCAAAAGTGCAGCGGGGTGAAAGGATTCACCAGAGATCAAGTGGGAAGTAGACAGGTGGATTTACTGCAATACACTGCTGAGGGTAGCAACGGTTGAGACTGGAGAGGTCTGCTGCACCATATGTGGGTCAGCTTCCTGGTTGGAGATCGAACACAGGCTGAGGGGGTGCACAGCACTGAGATTTAACCCTTAGGCCACCAGGGAGGCCCTATACATGTTTATTGATAAACAATTGATAACATGTGAACACTATTAGAATTTGCCATCTGTATCTGCTCCATTATGGCCACCATCGTAAGTCTAGTTTCTATGCATGGAAGAACAGGTCCTTCATGAGGTCTTGGTGATTCTCTGGGGAACAAAGCTGCTACCCATAAAATGCAGAGCAGCAGGAACTGACTTCCACATGAGACTTAGCCTTGGTGTAGTGTGTGCACAACTCTCTGGCCTCTGCTGGGAGCCGGGCTTGGCTCTCAGAAGTGGCCAGAGACCCAGTTGGCAATCTCTTGATTTTGCATCAACTGTCATGCAGAACTTTTCTTTCTCCTTGATTGCTTAGACACATCTGTGTTCCTCTTCCAGGTTGTGGGCAGAACCCTGCTCGCCAGGCCAGTATGGGTGCAGGAATCCCTTACTCTGTTCCAGCATGGAGCTGCCAAATGGTCTGTGGGTCAGGCCTGAAAGCCGTGTGCCTGGCAGCACAGTCTATAGGGATGGGCGACTCGAGCATCGTGGTGGCCGGCGGCATGGAAAGCATGAGCAAGGTGAGGCAGCTGAGGGCGTGCAGGGGCTCTGAATGATAGGCCTATATCGCCTTAGAGCAGAGTGAATACCCAAGCTGGACTCAACGGTAAATAAATAAGCCAAAGGTGGATTTAACCTTCCTGAATGTAGATTATCCTATATATTTGGTGGGAAGCCCGGGTGGAAGGAAAATGCTATCAACCAGTATGATTGGAAAGTAATATATTTCTTCTAAATTATAACAAAGCAAAAATATTTACTGAAATAAATCTGTGAATTAGTCAGTTACTATCTATCCCTCACCTATTTTTCATCATGAGGAAAGGTTGAAAAGGGATGTGGCCTTCCTGCCATTGACTAGGAGAACGTGGGGAGCAGTTTGTTGTCCTTTTGGGGGGGGGAATGGAATTTGGGCAAGGTGGCTGGAAGGTGGCCCAATCGCCACTAGGTCTGCCAGGTGGAATTTGTTGTACCCGGTTCCATTGTTCACATCGGCACAGCAGGCCCCCGCCCCGACCTCCCTCCCACTCCTCTTCCTCAGGCAGCTCCAGTCCTGACCTGGTGCTTCCCTGGGCAGGGGCTGCTCAGCCCAGCCATTTTGGAGGTTCCGGAGGAGACGGGCTGGAAGCAGCACACACGATCAGAGTGGTTTCCCTCACAAACACCAGTGCCTGCGTCGTCTCCACGAGGCGCGCACATCCCTGGTCTTGAGAGGATAAGTGGTCTCATTCCCACTTACAAGTAAGGGAACTGAAGCTGAGTCTGGATTCAAACAGACCACCTGACTCCCTCGCTCTCATTCTGTTATAGCGGCTAGTTCCTGAGCATTAAAAACACCCAGTTCCCAGAACCCCACCCCCCCATCACTTAATTAGGCAACCTGATTGTTCTTGCTGTAGGCACTGTGTAGGTAAGTGGTACTCTGGCTTCTACCCCGCTGGCCTCTGGCTATCACCTATGGCCTTGAATGCAGGAGGCACTAAGGAGCGTGGGCTGTGATTGTTGACGCCTGGAGTGTGGTGTGGACATGAGTGAGTGTGCACACCCGAGCCAGGAGGCTGAGGCTGTCTGAGGCATCACTCAGATCACTACAGGGGAGAACGGCTGCAATAAGATGAGTGACTGCATAGAGACAGGGCCCCGAGGTGGTGCCAGACAGAGCCCAAAGAGAAAAGCGTGCAGATTGGCCAGGGGCTGGGAGGCCTGCCAGCCTCCTGGCCCCCCTGCCTTACCAGCTCGTGGACTTGACCCCCAGCAATTGGCGTAGAAAGAGCATTAACGCCTGGAAAAAGCCACTGAGAGCTGCAGGACTCTCCTTTATCTGTCTGCCCCGAGCCTACTGCCCCTACACAGTTTCCCGTGAGAAGAAATGCTCGTTAAAAAAGATAAGTAGCACAGGGCCTCCCCTGGCAGTTGAGAGCAGCGCTGTGGAGCTGTCCACAGCCTCTGCAGTGCGGGTTTGATCCTGGCCGGCTGGTGAGGGTCCCACATGGCGCCGCAGACCTCTCCTGTCTCGCCCGTTGCTCCTCTCAGCAGTGTATTTCGTCAGTCTGCCTGTTCTGTTCTCCGCTCTGTCTCTGGTGAATCCTCTCACCCTCCTGTGAATCTGGCCTGTACCCCGGTTCTTGTATAAATAAATAAATAAATCTTAAACAAACAAAAAAAAGATAAGTAGTACATTGCCAGCCCTGCCTCGGCCTGCATGTGAGCTTTTCGCTGAACAGACAGCTCAGCTGTTTCTTCAGGGAAAGAATAATGAGGGAATGGGACGGGAGGGTAGGAGTGATGGGAATGAGATGTGTGGGTGGGACAGTCATGGGGTCCCAAAAGTGCGCAGGGTGGAGTAGTCCGATGCTTTCGGGGGGCCTCAGGCACTCTGTGAGAAGGATGGCCTGGAGCTGGGGGGAAGGGGAACTCTGAGGACCCCCTCGGTGCTCAGTGTGATCCTAACGAGAGGACAAGTGACAGCCAGGCCAACCCCATTTGCACTTGTTTCCAGGCGCCTCACTTGGCCCACCTGAGAGCCGGAGTCAGGATGGGGGAAACGCCACTGAGCGACAGTATCCTCCGGGACGGCCTGACGGATGCTTTTCACGGCTACCACATGGGCATCACAGGTGAGGCAGCAGAAAGCAGCTTCCTGGGGAGAGGCCAAGAAAGATCAGGCCATGGACTGCGCTGGTGCTTTCCTCTTCAAGGGCCAGGGAGCATGTCCTGGTCGTTCTGTATCCTGGTGACTGACATAGTTCCTCTTTGAAAGTGGAGGAGTGAGGAGGAAATAGCCCTTTCCTTGAGTTTCAGGGAATGTTAGGGGTAGGAGGTACCTCAGGGTTTTTTTTTGGATCAATCTCTCATTCACCACATGTGCCCCTCAAATAGTGGTTCCGGTAAAGGCAATATCAGAGATAGACTTCTACTTTGGGTCCAGCTGTTCCTTGCACTGACCAAGCACGTCTTCATTAGTCCTCCATCTAGAAGGTTCCTATGCAGTGCAACTGGAAGGTCAGAATTACTCATGTCTTTACTACATAATATACAGAACTTAAGAACAGAAGGGACATTTAATTTTTTTAATAAGTGAAAAAGCCCAGTTTAAATCATAACATGTTTACCTCCTGGATACCTGGCAGAGACCCAGTGTGAGCAACTCATCTGTGTGGCTTCAGTTGCCATTTTAAATATCTTCTCTAGGGCAGAAAGACTTTAATGGGGAGAGAGGCAGGCCCATTAGGGAGGTACCTGAGGAGGTGCAGTGGATGGAGGTGAACAATCTGGGACCTGCCTTCATGAGAAGAGGCAGAGTTTGGGTCTCCCTGTGGGCACCTTACTTAGACAAGTTTATATATAAGTATCTTTTCTCAAATGCAGTTTCCACCCAGCCTTTGGAGCCCTTCCGATGAAATCCTCTTGCCAAAAAAAAAAAAAAAAACCAAAAACAACTGTTCTGGGACGCAAATACTTGCTCCTCTGTGTCTTTGGAACCACTCACGAAGTCCCACAATTCCAAAGTTGAGTTGTTCAGTTATTTCATAGAACCATTCCCTCTGTCCATACAGTTCAATGGTTGTGTCGGGTTGCAGGAGGCAGTCATGCGGGCAGGAGGGGACATCTCATGTTAGTGCAGCAACCCCGGAGTTGTTCAGCACCTTCCAGTAAGAGCATCAATCATACCAGAAAGGTTGGGGTAGAGGGCAGGGGCTGTTGGAACCTAAGAGTAAACGCGAAAGCTATAAAACTAGAAGACTACCTAAGAAATAACTTCCAGACCTGGGAGTACGTAGACAAGACAGAGCAAGCAGTAACCTTAAACAAAAAAATGTGCTAAAATGGACTTATTAAAAATTAAGGCTTTGCTTATCTTTAAAGGTATTGCTTAGAAAATGATTAAACGGGACTGGGAGGAAATAGTCCAGTCATGTATTTGACAAAGGGCTTGTGTCTAGAACGTGGAAAGGCCTCCTCTAACAATAATGAGAAGACAAACAGCCCCCTGAGAAATGTGCTAGAGATTTGGAGAGAGATTTCACAAAGGGAGATACAAGAATGGCCAGTAAGCACGTGAGAGGTGCTCCACACTGCTTGCAGGGGAAATGTAAACCAAATTCACGCTAAGATAAATCGTGTGCCCACTAGAGTGATCAAAATCAGAATCACTGAAGCCACTATATGAGGCCAGGGTGCGGCTCAGCCGGGATGCCCATGTTCACTGCAGGTGAGTGCATACAGCGGTGCGACTGCTTTGGCAGTTTCTTTACCCAAAAGAAATGAAAACATTGACTAAAGCTTTGCACAAGCATGTTCACAGCAGCTTTATTCACTCAGCACCTGGAGAGGGCTCAGGGGCGCAGGGAGCAAATAGTGGGCTCTTCCAGCTCTGTCCAGGGGTGACAGGAGCAAACAGGATGGCTTGGCACAGGGAGGGCTGCTGCCACATGGAGCCGTGCAGAAGGTGCCAGCTGCAGCTGGTCCGGGCAGGTGGTCAGCACGCCCTTTCCTCCACAGTGGAGCTGCCCGAAGTGGCGCGGCTGTTAGATGTGTGGGATGCTGGGTTGCACGCATTCATCAAAGCTCGTTGAGTTAGACACTTAGTATTTTTGTATTTCAAAGTTTTACCTACAAGGACAAAGAACTGTGAGCACACAGGGAGCCTGGTTGCCAGGCTCGCCCTTCCCAGTGGTGTGGACAGGTTCTGGGGACATGGCTGGGCAGGGAAGCCGAAGCTTGTGTGGGAGGTGGTGTGAGCGTCTGGTGTGACCAGGAGTGCATGCACACGCAGCTGTGGCTTGTGGGTGGACCTCCCTAATGAACAGGCCTGAAGACTGACACACTGGAGCAGCGAGCTGCCCTGACAGCCGGGCTTTTGTGTCTGGATGCCTTTCTCCACTGAGTGCCCCAGGCTCCCTTCCAGAAGCAGCTCATCCCAGGGCGGGGGCCAAAGTGCCAAGAGCACAGGGGTGCAGGGGAGGCCAGGTGAAGGGCGCCCACCGCTCAAATCTGGAGCGATTTGAACATTATCAGCGTGATCATATAATGATGGGGCTGCAATTTAGCAAACAAAATAAAAATGTGGGTCTATAAAGATGTCAGCACATGCAGATGTGAGTACATGGGGAGTGAAGCAGCATTTCTGTCCAGTGCCAGGTAATACCTGCTGGAGGCATATCATTCAGTGACATAACACCACCGTTCTGATCCAATGCCTTTTGCCATAATTTTAATCTAATTTGAAACAGACAAATCAACTTGGCAGAAGAACTGACCCAGACTCTTAGAAATATCAAGGTTGAGAGATACAGGGTGGGCCTCCCTAGTGGCACAAGGGATTGGGACACAGCCTATGAAGCAGTCCGTGGCCACTGCAGCAGGAGTTTGATCCCTGGCCAGGAAGCGGCCCACATGGCGCAGCAGACCTCTTCTGTCTCCCCGCAGCTCCCCTCAGCGGTGTATTTCAGTCAATTTGCCTGTTCTGTTCCCCACTCTGTCTCTGGTGAATCCTCTCATCCCCTGCACCTCTGGCCTGCACCCCAGTTCTTATATGCATAAATAAATAATTCTTAAAAAAAAAAAAAAGAGACACAGGGAAATGCAGTCCAGGATCCAGGCCTGAGCAAACAAGCTGGGCCCTGTTGGGACAGTGGGTGGCAATTTGAATGTGGACCAAGAATTACAGTGTTGTGCCAGTGTTAAACTCCCTGACGCTGACAGCGGTAGTTTTGTAAGTTATGTAAGAAAATAGCCTGGTTTTGAGGAGAACATACACTGAAATTAAAATTTAGGGATAAAGAGGCATGATATCCGTAACTTTTCTCCCAAGGGGTTCAGAAAAATAACAAATGCAGCAAAAACCAAATAATTGGCGAATCTGCATGAAAGAAGACGTGTGTAGGAAGACAGGCTGATGAGTCCCGCGGCGGTTCCTGTGTTCTTAAACGTGAAAAACTCGAGCAACCGAAGGCCTGTTTCTGAATATGCTTGTTTTTTCCTTTATTATTTTTATTCACAGCTGAAAATGTAGCCAAAAAGTGGCAAGTGAGCAGAGAAGATCAGGACCAGCTTGCGGTTCTGTCCCAGAACAGGACAGAGAGTGCACAGAAAGCAGGCCATTTTGACAAAGAGATTGTGCCAGTCCTCGTATCTTCTAGAAAAGGTGAGAATATAAACAGTGGTTTAGACGGCAGTGTGACTATTTAAAGGTAAGAGCAATACCGAAAGAGTAATACATGGGAATTTTTACAAATTGTGTCTTAGTTCAGGTCCCAAAGAAAAGCTGTGGGTATGGGGTGAGGAAATGTTAATGGGGTGAGGAGACTTGGGAAGCTGTCAGCTTCCGGACACCTAGGAGCGATTGCTCCCCCCGCATGCTGTGTACATTCAGCAGGTTTCCTGAGAAACTGGATGGGTGGCTCCTGGTGGCCGAGGCTGGAGCCGGTGCTGCCCCTATAGGGCCCACCTCAGACCTGATACGGCAACACTCATACATTGGGGTGGATTTCTGCGTCACTTTGTCGTCATCTAATATGGAATGCTCCGGTCAGGTTCCATTGCTGATAGGTGACGTCGATTCTCCGGCCCTTGAGTGGCTTTGACACTCCCCAGCCCAGTCTGCTGCAGATCTGTGGCCCTAAACCACCGCACCCTTTTGGACAGAGCTCCCAGAACTGCTGCAACTCAGAAAGGAGCTGGAAAACATGGAAAATGTCTCCTGACGACAATCCTCATAAAGTGTTTTAACACTCAGTGATTCTTGTTAGTACATATTTGGCTGCTATTGGAATTGAAAGTAGTTGTTTTTTTTTTCCTTAAAGATTGATTTATGGGCCTCCCCGGTGGCGCAGCGGTTGAGCGCTGGGTTGCGAAGCTGCGCGCTCTGCGGCGCCGGTTCGATCCCGGCTGCTCCCCGGCCACCGGAGGAGGGTCCCACATGGCGTGCAGACTTCTCCTGCCGCCCGCTGCTCCCCTCAGCAGTGTACTTCGGTCCTTCTGCCTGCTCTGCTCCCGCTCGGCTCTGGTGAATTCTCTCACCCTCCCGCGCTTCTGACTGTACCAGTGCATGTATAAACAAAACAAACAAACCAGCAAACAAATAAATAAAGCATGCCTCTATAAAAAAAAAAAAAAAAAAAAAAAAAAAAAAAGATTGATTTATGCATACAAGATCTGGGGTACAGGCCAGAGATGCGGGGGTGAGGGGTGAGAGGATTCACCTTAGACACAGTGGGGAACAGAACAGGCAGACTGACTGAAATACACTGCTGAGGGGAGCAGAGGGCGAGTCAGGAGAGGTCTGCTGCGCGTTGTGGGCAGCTCCCTGGCCAGGGACTGAACTCATGCTGCAATGGCTGCTGACAGATTGACGGTGCTGAGACTTAATCTCTTGTGTCCCCAGGGAAGCCCCATTGACTGTTTCTTTTTGCAGGTCCTATTGAAGTTAAAACAGATGAGTTTCCTCGACATGGGAGCACCCTAGAGGCCATGTGTAAGCTCAAACCTTATTTCCTTACGGATGGAACCGGCACAGTGACCCCCGCCAATGCTTCAGGTGGGTTTTCTGAAGGGCCAGTGGGGGAGACCATCTTCAGCGGCCTACTGAGTTACCTGTTTCTGTCTCCTCTCCTGAGCTAGACACAAATGTTCTACAACCTCAGTTGCTTTAGGGGAAAATTATAGCTTCCCTTTATTTCATTATCACTTATTTGTCCATATTCTTTTGTTGACTTAAGCTGTACTGAAACATGATTTCCCCCGTCCTAACAGGACATAAAGATGAAAATAGGGAGCCCTTTTCCACAATCAGAAGTCCCCAATATCTCCTGAGATCTAGGCTTTTTCTGTTTCCTTTCATTGATCTCTGCTCCCCAGTTGCTTTCATCTTCCCACACCTTCTGCAGGAATGCTCCGTTGGTGGTGTTCCAGTGATGAACTTGCTACTTACAGAACTACACTGTCGTCTGCGAGTGGCTTTGCCATCGTGCTGATAATTTACCACAGGCCTTTAGGTGTTAAGGACACAAGGCATAGAACGCAAGTTAACGAGCATCTTTAGAAATCAAGATGTCCCTATTTTATAGGAATAAATGATGGTGCTGCAGCTGTGGTTCTAATGAAGAAGTCAGCAGCTGTCAGTCGTGGGCTTACGCCTCTGGCACAGATAGTTTCCTGGTCACAAGTAGGCGTGGAGCCTTCCATCATGGGCACAGGACCAATCCCAGCAATAAAGCAAGCTGTGAGTTTAATTCTGAATCATAGTACTTTGATAGAAACGGGTCAGGCCAATAACCTTAATTCGATATTGGTTTCTGCTCCTTGGGATACCTCTGTTCTGGTTGCCCTCCCACCCCTTGGAAATGGAGCGTTTCCACCTGTTCCCTTTTCCCGGTAGTCTTAAATGAGCTTCATTTATGCTGGACAACCTCGTCTCCCTTCTCAGAGCAGCAAAGCTCACTGGGATCACCCATTGAGGGGATTCATTCTACTTATTGCCTCACTCCGATCTATGGGATTTATCCTTGACCTTTTAGAATTGACGTCACCAAGGTGAGACCTGTGCCACCACAAACACTGGACACCCGGGGTCCGATTGTAAGGCATCCTTCCCCATCACACCCCGCATCCTGCTTGTGTCCACAAGCTTGGGTTCTTAAGCCTCTTCCTTTCATCTTCTAGGTTGCGAAAGCAGGTTGGTCACTGGAGGAAATTGATGTGTTTGAGATCAATGAAGCCTTCGCAGCCCTCTCTGTGGCAATAGCTAAAGAGCTTGGATTAAACCCAGAAAAGGTAAAGAGGCATCAGGTCACCCTGGGAGCTCCCAGTAACTGTCTAAATGAGGCTAAAACTGTAAACAGCAAAATGTGTGTAGCTAGCTTACGTGCCCAGGCACCCGCCATGCAGAGCAGATGCAAAGCAGGCTCACGGGGACTGGGCAGCTCACATAGTTGCTTCCCAAGGCAAAGCACCTCTGATGCATTCATTCACGTCAGATGTGAACAGGGCATATTTTAGTTCGCCTAAATAAAGTAATAAAGGAAGGTAGTCAGGGCAGATGGCAGGTAGAATTAGTGCGTAAGCAGTTAAAATAAACTTGAAAGGGTAAGTTTATTGGCATATTAAGGAGAAATACCACGGATCTTAGCCGTCTGTCCACATGGCAGTTAACAGAACCCTCTTCCCCTTAGGTCAACGTGCAAGGAGGGGCAATCGCCTTGGGCCATCCTCTCGGGGCATCTGGCTGTCGGATTCTCGTCACCTTGCTGCACACCATGGAGCGAATGGGTGGACATCGCGGTGTGGCTGCCCTATGCATTGGGGGTGGCATGGGGATAGCCATGTGTGTGCAGAGAGGATGAGACTGTGTAACAATGAGCTAAACTTGGGATGCGGGGAAAGCAAAAAACCTGAACTAAACTTTAACCTCATTTCCTTTTCTACCAGTTAGGCACTAAGCTGTACTATGTGAAATCAGAGGACCAAAGTGAGGCAGGGAGCCATCAGGAACCAAGGTGTGCCAGGTGGTGTACTTTAATTGGTAACACTCAAGGGCAAGACAACTGCCTCTAACATTGTTATAAATAAAGAGAAATCAGATCAGTCATCAAGGGCTCCCGAGTGAACAGCGTCTTCGTAACCTCCATGCTTGTCGTCTTTGCTTTCTGGGTGTAATTTAATGAGATCATCAATTCGAAGAATGGTAATTGCAGCTTCTGTTGCGAATTTCAAGCTCTTAACTTTAACTACTGTTGGTTCAAACACCCCAGCTTGCTTGTTATCCCGAGGTTTACCATTGATCAAATCAAGACCAATCCTGCAATTCAGGAAAAACAACCAAGTGTTAAGTGATCCTGCCACCAAAGCATACCCAGCCCCTGCCCCTTTATGCTACTGATTTGTGTCAACTGGATACAAATAAAATCAATGAAAAGTTGTGAAAAGGCATAGGTAAAATAGGGACATCTTGATTTCTAAAATAACCAATTCTGAGCGTCATTCAATATTTTTTAAATGGACGCAGAGCATCCCAAGATATCCCCCTTATGTCTCTGCAAGGCCTCTCTGATGACCCAGAGAACCAACAAGATGCCAGGAATCAGTTGTTAACTAGGACACACCAGTGCTAACAATCACTAGCCATCATCCTTCATGAATTTAAAGGCCAAATTACCACATGCAACTACACAGATGACATCGAAAAGAGGTGGGTAAACTATGCTCACCATTTTAAATTTTTACGTTCTGGGTTAACTTGAGCTTCATTATGGAAAGCTCTCAACTTTGCAACCAGATCAGTGGAGTCTTGAGCAGCATTAACTGCCAGTGTGTTAGGAATAACAAGAAGAGATCTTGCAAATTCTGCAATAGCAAGCTGTTCCCGAGACCCCTAAAAAAAAAAAAAAAACACACAATCCAGGTATTTTCACGAAGATATTAAAACACAGACACGCAGTTGCAAGAAAGAATCATTCACACCCTTCTGGAGAAGAACCCGCTTTCTGTGCTTACCATGCTGGTGGCGTAGTTCTCGAGGTAGATGGACAGGGCTGCCTCTACGGCGCCGCCACCTGGAACCACAGACTTTGACTCCAACACTCTCTTCACCACACAGAGCGCATCATGTAAGGAGCGCTCCATCTCATCACACATGAAATCATTTGCCCCACGCAAGATAACTGATGCAGATGTGCGAGCCTTGGTGCTATTAAGAACATAAACGTCAGTACTTTGTCATATTTTAAGGACACAACTTCAGTCCTGCTCCCACGAGACATTTACACCTGCGGTACTAAAAAGCACTGTCTAGACCATGCAGGCGAGATGAAATGGCAACTTCATCTCAATTTACAGTGGTCCAGCGTTCCTTTATCCCACGCGTATAACTGCTCGTATCACTGAAAGACTACAGCAGCAAATAAATGGGAAGGGGGTGTATTTTCACGCCAATAAAATGTGCAAGTTTTGTAACTTAAGCAGCTTACTTTTTGATCAGGATCAGCTCATCATCACAAATCCTCTCTTGCACCACTTCTTCTGCTTGTCCCAACATTGAAGCTTCAAAAGTTTCTTCACCTTCTAAATTGGCCAGGGTTGACAGGATATTTGCTATTAAGATGAACACAAAGATCTGATTACATTCTCCCACATTTTCATATCCTGTCTTGGAAATATTTACGATGAAAGTGATATGTAAATACAAGTTTAAGTTTATGGTTAGGTGGCATCAGATAAACCTTTCATTCTAAAATGGAAACCACCATGTCATTCTGAGGCAAAGGGTTTAAGAACTTCTGCAATTCTATGAAAAACGGCTCCACAAATCTATTTCTTCCAGAAAGCATTATGGGAATAAACCCCACTGTATCCAAATCTAGTGTTGCCACTCACTATGTAAGAGATAGGGTCACATGTATGAACACGGGGAACCAGAAGACATACCTCCAGAAGCTTTAGCAATGCGCTTAAGGTCCCTTTTCAAAACTCTTCTGACGGCCATAGCACCAGCCTCCACAAAGTACTTGAGACACATATCATCAATCCCACCGGTGGTCAGAATAACATTGGCACCAGTTGCCAGGATCTTCTGAATTCGCTCTTTGGTGATATCTGATTCTCTAGAGAGAGAAAGCCTCTGAGTAGCAACCCAAAGTTGTTACCTTCTGTGATCAAGAACCTTATAGGCATAGGGGCCTCCCCTGGTTGCGCAGGTGGTTGAGCACTGCGCTGTGAAGCTGCCCGCAGCCTCTGCAGCGTGGGTTCGATCCCGGCTTGCCGGCAAGGGTCCCACATGGCGAGCAGACCTCTCCTGTCTTGCCCGCTGCTCCCCTCAGCAGTGTATTTTGTTAATCTGCCTGTTCTGTTCCCTGCTCTGTCTCTGGTGAATCCTCTCACCCTCCAGCACCTCTGGCCTGTACCCTGGTTCTTGTATAAACAAATAAATCTTAAAAACAAACAAACAAAAAGAATCTTACAGGCATAGTAAGGAGCCTGGGCAGATACCAAATGTAGTCATTTAAAATAAGAATGGCTTCATCAAACCTGTTCAAAAGAATCCCAGGGTTAACGTGGAAACTGTACAGCAGAGAGGCAAGGCGGGAACAACTGGGTAGAGGAGTATGGTGAGGACAAATGAGCTGAACAGAGAAGCCAAAACTCAAAGCTGGAGTGACAGGGAGGCTCCTGACTCAGGAAACCCATGTGGAAGTTGAGTGAGAAGATGTTGAGGTCCACAAGCCAGCTACGGGACCAAGACACAGACTTGAAAACAGACAATATGTAACAAGTCATTTATCGTTCAGAGACTTTTGAAGAACCTTCCTGCTTATGCAAACAAGCACGGTGTGCCAGACTCTATATTAAGGACCAGGCTGCAAAGCGAAGGCAACCATCAGTCTCTACCTCAGTCTCTACCTCGAAAGCTCACACTCTCAGTCACACAAGTGCAGCAGTGTATGAGCGTTCATGTTCAGGTGTAATTTAGACTGAGGGAGGAAGAAAGCTTTTTGGCAACTAAAAATTCACCACAACAAGGGAGGAACATTTCCTCAAAGGCCTGAGAAGGAAGTTTGGTGGATCGCAGCAATGGAGGCAAACAGTTTCAGCCGAAGCCAGACGACAGTGAAGATAACGTGTGAGGAACTGAGTGCCCAGAAGTCTCCAAAACCTAGTCATGTGAGATCACCTTCGCCGCTGCATGGACAACAGCCCAAGGGAGAGAGAAGAGCAAAACTCAGGCACCAGCTTGCTGCTTCTCAAATAGTCTGGACAAGAGCAGGGAAATGGAAAGAGGAAAATCTGAAATGTAACTTCAAAACAGAAATCAAGTGGTCTTGGTGATAAAGGAGTTAAGAATATTTCTTTGTGCCTGAGCAGAGGGGTTTTCCCATCACTAAAATGGCAGTGGATCTGGGGTAGCACAAGCTCAGTTTTAGACACCCCGACTGAAGTGCTTACAAAGTATACAATTCAAACAAAAATATGTATTTGGAGCACAGAGAACTAGATTTGGGAGTATCCAGCATAGAAATGGTTTTCTGAAGTCCTGGGAATGAGGAGTTATCCTAGGGAAGCAAATTGAGAAGTGGCGGCCCAGGCAAAGAATGAAGTATCTGGCAGCATCATAAAGCCTCCTGGCCAAGAGTGTGTCAAGCAGGAATTAGTCAAAGGCTTGGCAAGAGGAAGACCGAAAGCATCTGGTGGACATCACATGCGGGACCTGGGCAAGTGGACCTCCACAGCTGAAAGGGGGCATGAGAGCACTGGGAAAATTCTTACATAAACCACTCTTGAGACAGCTGGCTGTCAAGAAATGGGGAAGGCTAGGAAGTAACAAGGAATATGTGTGAATAAGATGCTTTTATTTAAGGACAAAAGAGATTACAAGTAGAATCTAGGAAGGAAACAGCAGAATGAGTGATGGATGCAGGCAAGGAAGATCAAACAATGAAGCAACACTCCAAGGCAGAAGGCGACAGGATCTGGAACACTTATCCTAGAGGGACTGGCCTTCGATGGAGAAAGGACACTTTCTGCTCCGCCAGGAGGCAGGGTAGGAGCATATAAGCAAACGCCGAAGACAGGACAGTCCTGCTCGGCTAAGACAGGTTTCCGTTGTGTAAAAATCTGACCGTTTTAAATATTTGAGTTATATGGGTCAAGTGTTAACAGCCAAACCACACCTCACAATTAGCTCTTTACTGTGTCCCCTTGGTGCTGGGCTCCCAGTCAACACTGATTGGTCGCTGCAGGAGCTACCGAGAAAATAGGGCCCTGCCTCTTATATCTTTAACAGCAACACATCCCTAAAGCCACATTTCCACAAAAATAGGTTGATTTTTGGTTAGATGACCTCAAATCTCTTAAAATGCCACCCTATTATCTAATTTTTCTGGAATTTTACATAAAATAGTTTCACCTTGATTATAATGTTAATATTTAAAGGCCTCTAAGTCAGACACATGTAGAAATCGGTCACTGCCTGCTCTGCATTCACGGCACCTACTCTAACAGTGGAATTTACAAACACCCCTTTCAAAGGCCAAGAAGAATCTCTCAACATACCTCTGTCTTATCTGGTCCAGTTTTTCAGGGTCTGTAATTACCACCTGCACACCAAGCTTCATTTTTGTTTTCTGCAGGCTGAAGTCAAGGCAAGCGATTTTTGCATTAACTATTCTCTTGGGCATGCCTATAATTGAATATAATATTAAATTTCTTTACTGTATCCATAAAAATGCTACATTTTACAGAACACACCTACCCTTACAGCATAAAAAGCACAGAAATATTAAATGTTATATACAGAAAATTAAAATTTAAGCTATTAAGAACATTATAATGGCATTAAACACACGTTATTTCTAGAATTTTGTTTCCCCTTTAATTATAAGGGCTCGGGCTGTTACACAACACTACATGCACATCTGAAGCTGTGCAGTGTGCAGCCCACAAAAAGCCAACATTAATTAACCTTTTGTACTCTCGTTACAGGACCAAATCCGAGCCTTACCCTGTGATCCCACCACACAGTTGAGGGCATAGCCGTTGATAAGCAGACTCTCCATCTGACTTCTCCCGTGGGCTTTCAGAACATTAACAGAATTGACTGGGTAGCGAGGCTGGCCTCTTGCATCTGTGTATTTAACAGCGAGTACCGCATCTACTACCATATTAGCGAAGAAATCACCATTTCTAAGTCAACAGTTAAGGAGGAGTCGGGACTGACAAAGGGTGCACATGGAAATCAAGGGTAAGTCAAAGGGACTTCCTTTTGGCAAATCTCATCAAAGAAACAAGCAGTTTATTCCATGAAAGTGCTGGAGTACCATTTATCACCACCTGCAATTCACACTACTTTTACATTATGTTTCCCCACAGAAAAACAAGAAGGGGAATAGTTTCAAAACAGCCATCACCTGGCACAAAAAACTGACTAATGCACAGATTCAAAAGCCTAAACATTACTGACTGAACAAGGATACATTCCAATGATTTTGGAAGACATCGATGTCTTAGCAGCATTGATCAGGCAATCTCTTCCAAGTTCATCTGTATTAATAATTAGGTTCTCACTGATGTAACGCACTGCTTCCCTGTTTAAAGTGGGGGAGAAAACACTAGTTTCACCATGCAAATTGTGTTAGTTTTATCAAATTTAACAGAGTGTAAAAATGTCATAGGCACAATTTCCTGTTCAGCCATTTCATATAGGAGGAGGACACAAATAAACCCTCCCTCTTCAGATCATGGCAATTTTAATCTATCCCACAAGCATAGCCACTAAAATCTATGAGGAGAAAATGTGGCAGTCAAATGGGAAAAAAAACACAGGCCCTACCCCTCATTTTCAGTACTACTATTTAACCCTTAACTTACAACCTTCTCAAGATCTAGTCATCGGTCAAAGAATGTAAATCACCTCTAACTACTCTGAACAATATAAAACTTTGATTGACAACGTGCTTACTTGCAAGCAAGTCGATAGCCACTAATAACGGACGTGGGATGAATCTTCTGCTTGACTAGTTCATCTGCATTTTTAAGAAGTTCTGCTGCAATAATAACCTGTTGAGAAAACATTCATTGCTGTTAGCCTGACACTCACTATGCACAACGCATAGCAAAAACAAAACCATCAGGTTTTAAGCATCACCTAGTGCTGATAGAGAAACGAGTAAATGGTTGTTAGAAATCTGGGGGGAAAAACCCAACCCCTCTATAGTGGTCAAAGCCAGAAGACTGTTCTAGCTAATATACTAGCTCCACAGCACAACAGTAGAGGCTACACACCCATCGCTTTTATCGCTTGTTTCTAAACTGGTAAATTTTCCTCTTCTAAATAGTTAAAAAGGCTTAAAAAATCCCAAGTCTCAGGTTGTGAATGAGAGAGCAAATAGCTTCTCAGAGAAACTGAGAACTATAATGGAAGAATACTATGATAGTTGTGGAAAAAACATAAAAATTGTGAAAAATATTTAGAACAGGTCACATAAAATTAGCTGAGAATTCTTTTCCACTTGTATGAGATTAACCACATTTCAAATTTTGTTTCTGAATCATTATGTAAGAAACAATTTTTTTCTTCTACTAAGTAGTGTATAACTTATTTCTGACCTAGAGGCAAATGACTTTACTATGACTTCACTTTCTGAAAGCCTGATTTTGGAAAAACAACTAGTCTTCAGCTCTGCTACCTACCACAGATGTAGTTCCATCTCCCACTTCTTTATCTTGCAGATCAGCCAGCTCACAAAGAACTTTGGCTGCAGGATGCTCTACCTCGAGTAACTTCAGAATGGTTGCGCCGTCATTTGTAATGGTGACATCCTAAGAAATGTACAGGGCAGGGGGAAACATAAATCACCTATAGAAACAGGATATCCCTAAATTAACACAACCCCATTTTGACACCCATTCATCTTTACCTCCAACACGAGCATTCTGATAGACAGAATTTCATGAACTTTGTAAAAATAAATTAAAAAGCAAAAGATGCCAAAGAATTCACAAAGATATTTAAAGAACTATATTTTTTTTAAAAAAACGAGCAAAACATGTAAGTATACTCACACCAATATCATCCACCAGCATTTTATCCAAGCCAACTGGACCAAGAGAACTTTTTACAATATTGGCAATAGAAGCTGCAGCCATAACTATAAAGAGAAAAAGAAACTGGAAAATTCACTATTCCAAAGGAAAATGATCTCAGCTTCAAGTAAATGACCATCAACTTCAGAATTTTCGAAATCCACAAACCTGTCCTAATTATTTCAAAAAAATCAGGTATTAAAAGTCTAACATGGGGGTGGGGGTTTCATTTTGTATTTATACGCACAGACATGAAGTGCTTTAAAGAGTGTCCACCTCGTTCTCTTAGAATAAAAAAAAAAAAATCTACTAGTCGTAATCGCTCTGTTGCTCCTACCCGAACAGGGCAGAGCCTTTGAGAGTTTACCAGGTTTTCCTTAAAAAAAAAACAAACAAACAAACAAAAAACATTAAAATGAACAGTCTCTTCACCTGCGCATCAAAAAATCCGTAGTGCAAAGGAAGGGCGCGGCCTTCGATTTGTTGAAGACAAACACGCGGAATGAAGCAACGGTGAGACGCGTTTCCACGCAGCCGAACCCGGGCCCTCTCGGCACGGCCGCCGCAGCCCGGGCGCCACCCCACTCGGGGCGCAGCTCCGCGGCCCCCGCACAGCCCCTCGGCCGCCCGCACGCTCGCCGGGCAGAGGCCGCCTCCGTCTCCCCATTCCCTGGCCCCCAGGGGCGCCCCAAAATGGAGATAGGCGCCGCAGCTCGGGCCCGAACAAAGGGCCCGGCCGCAGGGCGGCGGCGCGGCGGGCACGTGTCGGCGCCCCGGGCTTCTCCGGCCCGGCCCGGCCGCCCCCGCCGCGCACCTCCGCTCGGGGCGGCTCTCGGGCGCCAGGCCGCACCCCGGATTCCTCCCGAGGAGGGGGCGCCCCCCCCCACCGCGGCGGCGGGTCGGGAAGCCTCTCCCCGCCGCCCGGGGCTCCGCCCGAGAAGGCGCCGGGGCCGCCGCGGCCGGGCCCCGCCGCGCGTACCGTTCTGCGAGCGGATCGCCTCCCCCGTGCTGCGGTCCCCGAACACCGACAGGGGCCCCTCCATCGTGGCGCCGGCGCGTCCGCCTCGCTCGCCCCGCGGGAACCGGCGTCTCCTGCCTCGGCCGGCGGCGCCCCAGCGACTCGGCGACGGCGTGGAACGGCCCGAGCGGCGCGCGGGGGCTGCCGGGAGCAGCGCCACACGGCCGCGGGGCAGGGCGGGAAACGAAGGGGCGGGGGCGCGAAGCGCGACGAGCGGGAAGTGAGGCGAGGGAAGAGGCGGCCTGAGGACTTCTGTCCAATTAGAGAGCAAACGTCAAAGCGCGACGGGAGGAGCACGGAAGTGCGTCACGAACGGGGGACGAGGCTGGCGCTCGGCCTCAGCGCCCCTCCCCACGCGCCAGGAAAGGCTGGGCATGCGCACTTGCACATTCTAGTGCCTTCTAGAAAAGGTTAGGCAGGAACTTGGGGGTGATGGGTGGGGGGGCCACCTTTTCTAAGGTACAGAAGCGACTCCTACGCGTCAGTTTTTAAGCCTTTCTTGTCCCCCGAAACGTGGCAGCGCGTTCGGAGAGCACGCAAGTCACTGTTCCGGGGCCCTGGCGCGTCGGCTGGGGCGGGACAAGGCGGCCCCTGGAGCCTAACACACCGTCCGTCGCCCCTGATCCCCCCAGCGACAGGGGCTCCGGCTGCGATCGGCGCGAGCTTTGCAATCTGCGCGCCAGGTGTGCTAACGTAGGCGACGGGCACCCTGGGCGCGCACCTCCCGCGAGAGCTCGGGTTAAAGCGAAGGGGTCGCGCCACACCCCCAAGTGCGTCCCGCGAGATGGTTGGTCACCTACGGCGTCGGCACGCAGCGCGCGAAGGCGGCGATTGGAGGACGCAGATAACAGACTGCCCTCTCGGCCACTCAGCGGCAGGGGCTGGTCAGTTCCGGGTCCGGGCGCCGCGGGCCGGGAGGGCCTAAGACTTTTCCCGGAGTTAACATGGCTGCGCCCAGCGAGCTGCTGGGGCGCCGGTGAGGACGGGCGGCCAGGCTGTTGGCAACGTTGCCCGCGATTCCTACGATGATGGCGCTTCGGCCGCGCTTCCGGGAGTTGTTGTCGGTTTGCAGGAACCCCGGTAATCTTGCTTGTTAGGCTCAGATTACGCCCCGGGCCCTGCCCGATCAATGTGTATATACGGGTCGCATTTTGTATGCGATATGCCCCCTTGGAAAGGAAAGCAGCAGCCTTGTGGGGATAGCAATAGAACACTGAAGTCCAAAGTCGGTGATGACCACAGCCTGTGCCCACACATACTTTTTGTTCCCCTTTCAGGGTGGGGGAGTGGTAGGGGAAAGACGTTAGAGCATCCTGGTTCGGTCCATTTTCGGCATTTAAGATCCGCCTGGTGGCTTCCATTTCTTAGGGTGTGGGGTCGCGGCTTTGTCCTCCGGTTCCAAGCCAGCGGTGAAGCCTGAAGCAAACCCTCCGGAAAATGAAGCTGTTGCCCCAGAGTTCACCAACCGGAACCCGCGGAACCTGGAGCTCTTGGGTGTAGCCAGGAAGGAGCGGGGTTGGGGGACTGTGTGGCCCTCCCGACAATTCTGGCACAGGTAACAGCACCTGCTACTTCTTGACCGACAGAGCAGTTCATGGTGCCCTAAAAGTTGTTTTCATCAATTCATTCAACTAATGTGCCAGAACAGGCAGATGACTGAAATCCACTGCTGAGGGGAGCAGCAGGGGAGACAGGAGAGGTCTGCCTCTCCATGTGGGTTTCTCCCTGGCCGGCCGGGATCGAACTAGTGGGGAAGAGGCCACAGATTGCCTCATAGTGGGGTGCTTAGCCCTTGTGCCACCAGGGAGGCCCAACACTTGGCCCTTTAAGGGAAAAGTTTGCCAACCTCTGGTTTGAGATTGGGATTTTGACTAGGGTTAGCACATACACCAGAAGTGGAGCCCGCTTTTCTAAATGTGCTGTTTCATACTAAATCCTACTGAGAATCTGTATGGTAGTGTTTTCTTTAATATTAGTTTACATTTTAAATGTGTCATATGTAGGGCCTCCCCGGTGGCGCAGCGGTTGAGCACTGGGTTGCGAAGCTGCCCTCGGCCTCTGCGGCGCCGGTTCCATCCCCGGCTGCTCCCCGGCCACCGGAGGAGGGTCCCGCATGGCACGCAGACCTCTCCTGCCGCCCGCTGCTCCCCTCAGCAGTGTGCTTCGGTCCTTCTGCCTGTTTTGTTCCCCGCTCTGGCTCTGGTGAATTCTCTCACCCTCCCGCGCTTCTGACTGTGCCCAGTGCATGTATAAACAAAACAAACAAATAAAATAAATAAATAAAACATGCCTCTATTTAAAAAAAAAGTGTCATATGTACATATTGATATATATAAAATCCGAAAGGGTGTGTTAGTTATAAATCTTAGGAAACCTTTACACTGTTCTGCATCATGTTCTCTCTCTCTCTTCCTATCCCACCCCGATGCTTGCAGATACATCTTGGATTTCTTTGGTGGTGGGGAGGAGTATTGACTCAGCGACCAACTCCCTGGGCAAAAAATCTTAACTCCATTATTTACTCAGTTATAATTTTGCTAAAGTTACTTAACCTTTCTCTTTATATTTCTGCAGCTTTTTTTTTAACTTTTTTTTTAAGATTTATTTATTTATACAAACACTGGGTACAGTCAGAAGCGCGCGGGTGGAGGTGGGTGTTGGGTGAGAGAATTCACCAGAGCCAAAGCAGGAAGCAGAACAGGCAGAAGGACCGAAGTACACTGCTGAGGGGAGCAGCGGGTGGCAGGAGAGGTCTGTGCACCATGTGGGACCCTCCCTGGCGGCCTGGAGCTAACCGGCACCGCAGAGCCTGCGGGCAGCTTCGCAACTCAGCGCTCAACCGCTGCGCCACCGGGAAGGCCCTATTTCTGCAGCTTTAAAAAAGGGGGGGGATAATTTTGAGACACAGCTGTCTATAAATAATTATATCAGCAATTGAGTTGTTTTTGTTGCTATTATCCTCATAAAGCGCTACATCATTTCTTTTAGTAACTATAGAAAACCATTGCATGGATACTCTAGTTAATCACTCCCAGTTGACAATTTTCTTTTACCATTGCAAACCATTGCAATGAATTGTCTTGTCCATCCATTTTTTTTTAAAGATTTATTTATTTATGCATACAAGAACTGGGGGACAGGCCAGAGTTGCGGGGTGGGGGGGGAGGCGGGAGGAGGGGGGAGGATTCAGCAGAGACAATGAGGAACAAAACAGGCAGACTCACTGAAATCCACTGCTGAGGGGAGCAGCGAGGAGACAGGAGAGGTCTGCTGGGCCATGTGGTCAGCTCTCTGACTAGCCAGGTATCTAACTTGTGCTGCAGTATCTAGTAGGCTCGTGTCATATTATGGAAATTAACCCTTTGAACAATTTATGGTTTAAAATACCTTTGTTTCATACTTGCCTTTTGACTTATTACTTATGGGGTTTTTTTTTTTGAGAACTTACGGAAAACTGTCACTTTTATAAAAGCGAGATGACTTGGTTTGAAATCATATTTAAATAGACTTAGCTTATAAAAGTGTTCTTCTATATCTCCTAGTACTCTTTTTTTTAATTAATAAATTTTATTTTTATATTCCCCCATACAATTGCAATCCCCCCATTCTGACCCCAATCCCTCCCCTCCCACCCCCCAAAAAGTGTCTCTGGTTCATAGTTGTTTGTTGATTTTGATTTTCACTTTCTTATAGTTATTCATTTTCCTGGTCCCTTATTTAAGTTTTCTAGATTCCTGCTATGAGTGAGACCATCCGGTATTTTTCTTTTTCTTTTTGGCTTATTTCGCTGAGCATGATCCCTTCCAGCGCCATCCATGTTGCTGCAAATTGCATGTGTTTATCTTTTTTGAATGCTGAGTAATATTCCATGGTATATATGTACCACATCTTCTTGATCCACTCATCTATTTTTGGGCATTTGGGCTGTTCTCCTAGTACTCTTTTGATTTCAGGTTTCACATTTAAATCTTTGATGTATCTTACATTTATTTTGGTGTTCGGTAGAAAATAAAAGCATAGCGTTAGCATATCCTTACCCAGTGTAGAGTCACTCACTTAGCTTTGCCTCCTTAAATCCTTTTTTGAAGTAGATGCTGTGTAAATAATTCTCCACTCTCAGAAATACCAACTTTCTCTTGAACATCTGAGGTTAAAGTGGAGCCATTTGGTTTATCACTGAAGATGTCCTCAGAAAGGAGAGCAAGGACACCTTGAAGCTAATGGATCAAACATTGCAGTCTTGAGAAATGTTTACGTATTTACTGATCTGAAGGAATTTGGCTTTGGAATAGCTCAGTTCTCTTCTCAACTCCTTTAGGTTGCGAGTCACAAGGACGCAGCATCATATTGAAGCAGTGGTTGAACATCGGAATGGCCAGGTTGTGGTTTCGGCATCCACTCGTGAGTGGGCTATTAAAAAGCATCTCTATAGCACCAGAAACGTGGTGGCTTGTGAGAGCATTGGCCAAGTGCTGGCAGAGCGCTGCTTGCAGGCCGGGATCAACTTCATGGTCTACCAGCCAACTCCATGGGAGGCAGCCTCAGACTCGGTATTTTGGGTTTCATGTACTTATATAATTTTTTTTTTAAAGATTTATTTATTTATACATACAAGAGCTGAGGTACAGGCCAGAGGAGTGGGGGGGGGGGGTGAGAGGACTCACCAGAGACAGAGTGGAGAACAGAACAGGCAGAATGACTGAAATATACTGCTGAGAGGAGCAGCAGGCGAGCCAGGAGAGGTCTGCTGCACCATGTGGGTAGCTCCCTAGCCGGGGATCGAAATTGTGCTTCATTGGCTGTGGATAGCTTCATAAGTTGCGTCTTAACCCCTTGCCCCACCAGGGAGGCCCCTGCTTATATAATTTTTTAAAAAAAAGATTTATTTACTTATTTTTGCATAGAGGATCTGGGGTGTATGTGGGGGGGGGGCGAGAGGATTTGCCTGAGACAGTGGGGAGCAGAAAAGGCAGGTCTACTGAGGGGAGAACTGGGGAAAGAGAGGAGAGGTCTGCTGTGCCCTGTGGATTGGCTCCCTGGCCGGGGATCGAACTCAGGCCTTACTGGTGAAAGCGCTGAGACTTAACCCCTAGGCCACCAGGGAGGCACCCTTATGTGCTTATTTAAAAGGTGTTGGGTTAATTGTTGATGTTAGATAGCCACACAGCAATGGCTCTTCCCTTTCCATGTGCTCTTGAGTATCCTGATGCACTCGGCCACATTGCAGGCTCACAGCAGCTGGTAGGGCCGGGCTGATGTACTTGGCTGGCTTGATTTTACAGACAGGTCAACCACACCACTTCCCTGTTCATATATTAACAGCTTGACTGCAAATTCTTTATGCATATGTCACTAAGACCACTTGCTGAAAACCAGTGTTGGCAGGGATGGTAACAGGGGACAGATCAGTTTACTTTTGGGGGACGGACGCTCTCTGGCAGCTTACTTGTGGTGCTGACTCAATCTTTTCCCTTATTTCTCATCTTCCAAACCAGATGAAACGATTCCAGAATGCTATGATAGAAGGGGGTGTGGTGCTGCAGGAACCTCGGAGAATCTATGAATGAAGGGGAAGCTCTGTTGGCACGTGTGCGCCAAGCTGTCAGCCGGCGCGGCCGTAGAGGGGAGTTCTGGGAGAGCCGGCTGGGAAACCTTGGAGTGAGAATCTAACAGCGGAATGTTACTTGTCGTTAAGTTCATCCCACCCCTGGTGTTTGGATTTTTTTTTATAACTAGGGCTAAGTATTTCCCTTCTCTTGGACCTGAAAAATTATCTGAGAAAAGCTATTGATAATAATAACTTTTGAAGAACAAGTTAAATGTTTAAACTAACAAATAAAGGCATTCTGTGAACTTTGATTTTATGAGATTTTCTATGCCTTTGAGCTTGCGGTGACAGACATAGACAGGGAGCCCTTGTTACTGGGTCTGGCTCAGTGGTGTTCTCAGGTAAGCAGAACAGCTTTGTGAAGGTGTGGAGGTGTTTCTTAAATAGGAAATGTCCCTATCTGACTTAAATTTACTCGAAGAAGTCTTAATGTGGAGATTAAAGAGGCAAATCCAAACCTCAGTTGGGCTCCTGGACCCTAAAAGGCAGAAGCGGATTTGCAAGAAGAAAGGCGTGCGAGGCAAACTGAGCGTGGAGGGAAAGGCCAGGGCCGGTGTGCAGTGCTTGTCATGAAGTGCAAGTCCATCAGACAGGACATGAAGCCCTGCGCTTCCGGTTACTCTAAAATTGAAGCTTTAGCAGGTGGAATCACCATGGCGCTTGTCAAGTTGATTAAATCAAAGTAAGGCATAAGCTGTTTAAGACAAGAGGAAGAACCTGTCAGCAGTTAAGATGGCTTCTCAAGCAGATTCTCCCATTTTTTTAAATGTGTGTCCAATTACATATTTCTTTAGACGTGAAATAATGTTACCGTCAATCTGAGCATTCAATATTACTTTTAAAAGAGATAGGGCCTCCCTGGTGGCTCAAGGGGTTAAGCACAGCACTATGAAGCAATCCGTAGCCTCCGCAGCATGTGTTCGATACCCCTCCGGCCAGGGAGAAACACACATGCGAAGCAGACCTCTCCTGTCTCGCCCGCTGCTCCCCTCAGCAGTGTATTTCAGTCAGTCTGCCTGTTTTGTTCCCTGCTCTGTCTCTGGTGGATCCTCTCACCCTCTGCATCTCTGGCCTGTGCCCCAGCTCTTGTATGTATAAATAAAAATAAATCTTTAAAAAAAAATAAAAGTTAGATAATGCAAGCACTAGTGATTGAAAAAATGTGACTGACTGAGAGGGAGACATTCAGGCTGCAGTGTCTTACTCACTAGTCCCCTTTGATAATAAGTTCCCCAGAGGGGACATTTAAAAGTGTACATTATAATTATGATATTTCCTTTTCTGGTCTTAAAGAATAGCCAGCGCACTCACTTTGAGGACCACATTTCTGGAAGCCTGTTCAAACAAATCTAGAATTCAAAGAGGACGAAGGACTGGACTAGTGGCTTTGGAAAATGACAGTGGCAGAAGTAGGGTTTACTTAAAAGTGATGCAGTAGGTGGGGCTCTTCCTGCAAGGAGTATGCTTGCCCTGGAGGGATTTCTTCAGTGTGATGGGCAGTGCTTGAGTCTTCCTGTAAAACTTCTGTTTCCAGGACAGCCTTGACTCAAGACAAAGGGAGGAAAAAGATGGGGTCGGGAGGAGACGGGGCTGACCACTTGGGCAGTGAAGGGGAAGCTGGGAAGAGGGCCTGATTTAGGAAGTGCAGACAGGTGTGGGCCATCCTCCCTGCAGCCGGCCTGCTGAGTACTTCCAGGCTGCTGTTTGGGCCTGTTTGTCCTCCCAGGCCTCTCGACAAGGACAATGACTGGCAAACCACATGCAAATGCGTCCTCAGACCCCTGGATGTCTGCAGTGAGGTGGCCGCCGGGCAAGGTGGAGCGGCTTCATTGCAGAGGGCGAGCGTGGGCCACCACCACCCTGCAAGGGGGAGCATGGGGGCAGGTGGCCGGGAAGCAGCCCAGTCCTGGGGCGCTGGGGCAGGTGGGGCGCGGGGGCGGCGCGAGCCCTTTAAGGCCCGTCGCGGCGGAAGCGCGTCGCAGCACGTGGCGGCGGCGCCCTCGCGAGGTGACCATGGACGTGGGCGCCGACGAGTTTGAGCAGAGCCTCCCGCTGCTGCAGGAGCTGGTCCTGGGCGCGGACTTCGTGGGTGAGGCGGGGGGTTCCGGGCCGGGGGTTCCGGGCCGGGGGGTTCCGGGCGGGGGGGGCAGCCTTGGCCGGAGCCCGCGGAGGGGGTGCGGGCGGCGCCCCGCGGGGAGGGGGATTGGGGGTTTGGGGCCCAGTGGCGACCCTCGCCAGGCCGCGGTGCTCGAGCAGGGCCCGGAGGGCGGGGGTGGGGGGCCTCTGGGCCTGGGCCGCGGCCCGAACCCGGTGTCCCGCTGGCTCTGTGTGGGCTCCCGCTCGCCCCCTCCTGCCCGCCTGGCGTCTCCCAGGACCTCCCAGGACCTCCCGCCTGCAGCGGGTGGCGCGGGGGTGGCGGCCACGGCCGCCCCTGGGCACCCGGGTGTCTCTCGCCTCCCGCAGGTCTGGACATAGAGTTCACTGGGCTTCGCTCGAACCTGTCGCAGCCGCAGCAGATCAGGTGAGGCCAGAGCTGCCGCCCACCTGTGCCTTCCTGACAGGCCTCGGGGCCTGCCGGCTCGTTTTCCCAGCGGGCACCCTGTGGGCATGGGGTGGGGGTGTCTTTTGCGGGGTACTCTCACGCATCTGGGACCCCGCCCGTGTGCCCTCCGTGCCGGTGGTCTTCCTGACTGTGGAAGGAACCGCGCTGCCAGGTGAGAGGGCCGGGCAGGCCGAGGCAGAGCCTCGCGGTCCTCCGGTGTGGAATGAGATGCCGCTTTTTTGCAGCCTTTTTGACCTGCCCTCGGAGTGGTACCTGAAGACGCGGCAGAGCATCCAGCAGTTCACAATCTGTCAGATCGGTGAGTTGAGTCGCCTGTTGGCTGAGCGTTGCTGGCGGTATTTCTCATTGTCTGTCTTCACTTTTTCAGTGATTATCATTTTTTCCTGCTTGTTGGGTTTTCAACCTGTGATGCCTCTGGGACCTGACACTTTGGCACTTTATTTAGCATCTCACTTCATTTAGCAGCTGTTTCATGCCTGAATAACTTAAGGACTCTGAACCCTGTTTCAAGGGAAAATGTGCATGCTCTTTGCTTAAAGAAAACTTGTACCAACAAGGTCACGGTACAAACGTTTTCTTCATTTTTCTTTCGTGAATGGGTTTTAGAGCTTTCTACATCCACACATACAGATCTCTTAATTTATTTGAAACAGTTGTGTAATATTCCAAGCCAAAGGTATCTGCTCACTCAGTCTCCCACCAATGCACATTTCAGTTACCGTGTGTGTGTGTGTGTGTGTGTGTGTGTGTGTGTAATAAAATAAGCTTCGTTGACCCTGGTGTATAGTTTATGGATAACTGTCCCGTTGTGAGGGTTTGTGCTTGATGTACTTATGGCCATGGAACCGCAGAGTTGGAACATGTGCTTGAAAGGGTTGGTTGTGTGTCCAGACGCTTCCCTTTCCTGGCTCCCTCAGCCCCAGTGTTTACAGTGACCATCGTTACCTGCAATCACACCTGTTTCCCTGTCTCACTGGGTGTTATCAGCCTTGAATTTTCTACCCACCTGGTAGGGGAAAAATGCTCTGCTGTTCTGATTTATATTTTCAACAGAGGGCCGACAGACCTTTTCTGTTAAGGGCTGGATGGTAAATATTTTCGCTTTTGCAGGCCATATGGTCTCTGCTGCAGTTTCTCAATTCTGGTATTATTCAGAGCTAATACACCAACAGCGAAGAGCTTGACTGTATTCCAGTTAAACTTTGTTTATGAAAACAGGCCGTGGGCTAGATTTTGCTGACCTTACAGCGCGTGTGTGTTTTCTCCTCCATCCTTATCCTTTGCTTATTTTCTATTGTGCTCATTTTTCTAAATTGTAAGCCCTCTTTGCAGAGTGCTAAATAGCATTTAGGTGTGTGTCATAGCCCCACTTTGGGAGTTTTTTTTCCACTTGGATGTGATCTCACCAGCAGTACACACATCTTAAAGCAGGGAAGTATATATTTTATGGATTTTTATGTTGTGTGATGAATTTTAAAACTATGAAAATGTTGATATAATATTTACTTCTGTGTTTGAAGAACCACCCATCACTGTATTTGTTATTTCAATGTGAGTTACCATCGGACGCTTCTCAAGTTTCATGTCTGTCCTTTATTTTATTAAAATGGGTTGCCCTGCACGGAAGCGCCACGGGGTCTGGGGATGCAAAGTGCTTTTCAGAGTGTTTCATCTTTGTGGCTCTGGTGGCCTTTCTCTGGTGTTCACGGCTCTACCTGCCCTTCCAGGGTTGTCGGTGTTCTCCAGCGTCGAAGGAGAGACCAACAAGTATGTGTAAGACCTTCTGCAAGGCAGGGCCCCTGCCCTTTTAGCTCCTCTACCTGTTCCCCTCCTATTCTGAGTCCCTGTCGCTCTATATTCCCTCCCACTTCTGTGCCTTCCGCTCCCCCCTGCAAAATCATCCCTTCCTCTTAGTCTCATTGGGCACTGCACCTTCTGGGGGGGGCTTTGCAGACACCCCTGACTTGCCCCTAAGGGTGCTCCCTTTCCTGTTTCTGCTGTGTCCTGTTGTGCCTTTAGGATAGTTACAGTGAGGCTAAAGGGGTAGGATCCCCAAGTACCATTCAGTGAGGATGCTGATGGGTGCCCTCCTGGGTCTGTGTGTGTGTTGTGGGGCGGGCATCTTGTCCCCAAGGCAGGATCTCTGCCCTTTGCACCCTCCTCTCCCTCAGTGCCAGTCATGGCACCGAAGCAGAGCAACGTTCATCTGCATCTCGAGTGAAAGGCGGCGCCCAAGCTGGAGCTCACGCCTGGGGCCTGAGGCGTGGTTCTGGCCTTTTCTCCTTGTGTTTTGGTTTGTTGTAGGTATGTAGCTCACTCCTGTAACTTCTTTCTCTTCCCTACGACATTTGGGACTTTGGATTCGGAATTCTCCTTCCAGGCGTCCAGCGTGCAGTTCCTGAATCAGTACGGCTTCGACTACAACAAGGTGTGGCGCTGGGACCCGGCTGGCCGTCCCGCCCCGCCCGCCGCTTCCTGTCCTGTCCCTTCTTCCCGGTGCGGGCACACTGGCAGGGGAGGGGTCTCGTCACCCTGCTCCTGGCACAGAGCTTGCCCCTGAGTCTTCTTGTGGTTCTCTTCCTGTCTTCAGTTTCTCAAAAAGGGCATCCCCTACATGAACGAGGAGCAGGAGAAGAAGATGAAGCACAGCATCCTGACCGGGAACTGGCGGGTGCGCAGGTGAGCCTCACCCGCCGCGTGTGCTTGCGGGGGCTCTTGTCTTCCTGCCTTCCCCGGGGTAGCCGTGCCATCCCAGTGTGGGGCCTCATGCAGGCACCTTCAGCTGCGACGCTTGCTCAGCCACAAGCCATGAGGAAGATTCACTCCCGCGCCTGAGGAAAGGCTCGCTGCTCTGAGGGTGATTTCAGGGTTGAAAGATGAAGCGGGAACGAGCTCCTGATGTCGTTTGGACTCAGCAGGGGAAGGGCTCTGGGGGACTTCCCCGCGCTGCCGCGTAGGCCTTCAGTGTGAATTTTCAGGGGTAATTCTGGGGTCACCTCGATGACCGTCACATGCCCGGCTCTGTGCTGTAGCCTGCTGTGTCCCTGAGGGCAGGATCGCTGGTGTTACTCGAAACCTGGTTCTGCGGAAAGCAGACGCCCTGGGGAAGGGCCGAGTGAGTGGCAGGTCCCAGGCCAGCTGGCTCTGTAGCTTGGGACAAATGGGTGACGCTCTTTGGGCTGTAGATTCTTGGCCTTCATCAGGCAGGGGGTCAACTAGACAGCTGCTTACTCTAGAACGTTGGGATCAGTGATCTGTTCTGGATAATCATCTTCTGTAATGTTGGAGATTTTTGTTTTTTTTTTCCCCCTAAATCATTGTTTATGATTTTCCAATAAATATGTAGCTTTTTGTAAGGAAAAAAACAACTTGAATGAACCTTCTGTTATTTTCAACCGTGAGGAAAAGTCTTTCCTCATCTCAAAACAACATCGTGTTCTTGTTTCACTCCCACGGGAGAAGGCACCGACCAGAAGGCCTGTCTGCTTTTCCCACCTCTGACAGCCGAGGTCTGAGAGGCCCCGTACTAGCCTGTCCTTTCAGGGGACGCCGAGGGGGCCGGCAGCGGTCTGGAAGCTACCGGAGTGTCAAGGCAGAGTTGGGTTCCTGTCACAGAATAAGACTCAGAAAACTCATGGTTTTGGGTGTGTGGGGGGTATAGCTTCTTTATTATTTTGGACTTCGCGTAGAAGAGCTGGGGTGTAGGCCCGAGGCAGCATGGGCATCTGTCGTCTTGCTGAGATCACATTGTTACAGCTGGAGGCCTCAGGTCCCCTCTGGTGTTAACTGTGACTTGGGGCCCTGGAGGTTTCCCCCGATCTTTTCCCTTTACTCTCCCTCTTTTCAGTTCTCTGGATAAAGACCAAATCAAGGTGGTGATTGACGAGGTGACGCGGTGGCTGGACCTGGCGGAGGAAGGCGACTGGATGACCCTCCCGGGGATCTCGGGTACGCAGGAGGCTGCTAGCGCATGTGGGGCTGCTGCTGGCAGGTTGCTCTCCTGCCTGGGGCCCGAGGGCGTGTGCCCTCTCCTTCTGGCCGGGCATTGGCTCACGTGGCGCATGTGGCTGCAAAGAGGTCTGACCCCAACCAGTGTCAGGGTAAGGGCGCGTCAGGCACTCCAGGCACAGCGCTTGTCTCGAGGAAACGCTCTGATGCAGGCTGGGAGCTGAGACCTGAAGCTGCTGCTTTTGGTCCTGTGGAATTGCCAGTTTCACTCGAAAGAACTGAATGTGGTTATGTTTTGACATGCGTATCTTAGGTCGTTTTCTCAAGTGAGAAAAGTCAGCCTGTCACTTCCAGGAGAATAACTCCGTGTCTGCCGGTGACAGAATTCAAGCTTTTGATCAAATATTGAAATTTTGTAGACCTGGCTCTTGCTGCCATACTTCTGTCAGCTTTCCAGTGCCGAGGCCTTGCTGCACAGTCAATTGTATGAACGTCTTTAGTTCAAATTGTGTAACGAAGTGTGAAAACATTTGGAAGAACATCAGAATGGTGTTTTCCAAATAACCAGGCATGAGATCACTGGAAACGCAAGAGAGGCCGCTGGCTTCTGGGTCCGTCTGAGAAAGTGCGTTGGTGTTGGCTGCAGACTCCGCATTGTGGCCTTGTATGTGTTCGGGCTGGATTTTCTTATCTGCTTCAAGAAGAAATTGGCACCGATGGAATGCAGACTCAGACATGATTCCATCCCAGACAGCAAAGACAGTTGCAGAAATGTGAAGTGACATCCCTCTTTTCACTAAATTTTGTTTTGGAAAATTATTTTTCACATGTGGGGGTTTGTGTGTGTGTGTGTGTGTAGTAGCTTTAGGTTAAAAGAAAAAATGCATAATTTTCATTTCTAAGATGGTCGAGATCAGCAGCTGGACTCCGCATAGAAATGAGACTCTCTGGCTCCTCCATTTAAGGGTGGCCCTGAGAGCAAAAGCTGCTAGCAGTGGGCCAGCTACTCCAGGCAGTGTGGGGGTGGGTGGGTCTCCCGGTGGTGGCTCGGCACACCTGAGCAAGTGCGGCGCTGCCTGGCTGTCACCTGTCCCGCGGGAGGGAGAGGTGATTCTGTGTGGGCCTGTGTTTCCCTGCTGCAGGCTTCCAGGCCTTTGAGGTCCAGCTGGTGCTGAGGCAGGCTCTCCCCGAGATCTGGACTATGCTGAAAGAGAAAGGGGTGAGTCCTCACTTGGAAGAGGGGCGCCTCAGCCGCTCCGTGGGTTCCCACTCCTTGGGCCAAATCTGGCACCTATCCCACCTTTCGAGGTGAAGAACTGTTTCTTTGGCTTCGTTCTCAGCCACTCAGGATTCAGGGAGCTTGTCTCTGCTTTTCACGGCAGGTGATAGTGAAGAAAGTGAGTAAGCAGCATCGCTGGTACCTGGAGAATGCCTCCTGTGACCGGGAGAGCTGCTGGAAGGAGAAGATTCTTCTCTCTGCAAGGGGTTTTTCTGTGTTTTTCCAGATGCTGGTGAAAGCCCAAAAGGTAGGGAAACATCACCTCTTTTTCGGGTCATTAGCCTTTTTGTATTTCTGGCCATGCATGCCAATGAGCCCCTCCCCCCCAAAATAATAAAATTGGATTCCTGAAGAGGAGGGAGACCTTCAAACTGGCTGCTGCCTTTCTGCCTCCTACCTGGCTCTCACCAAGTCGTGCAGGTTTCACTGGGATCAGATGTCCATAAGGAATGACGCTGCTCCTCTGCTCCTTCCAGGCCCACACAGTCAATACCAGGGGGCCTGAAGCACCCCCTCGGCCCCCCTCCCCATGCCAGTGCCGACCCTGCCTCAAGCCCCTCCTACTTGAATTTAAGTGGTCGGGCCCATTTTCATGGGGTCGGGGTGAAACTGGGGAGTATTACCACATGGCCAGGATGCAGCGCCTTCTAAAGCTACAGCCTGAGCAAGAGACTGCCATTTGTCGATGGGAACTACTTTGGTTTTTAAAATTTCATGTCTCTCACCTGTCGATTTCCTCCAAGTAGCCGTTAGTGGGACACAACATGATGATGGATCTGCTGCACCTGCATGAGAAGTTCTACAGACCTCTCCCAGGTAGGGCCCGGCCTGCCATTCTCCTCCCTTTGACCTGCACTTGCCACCTGGTGAGGGGATTGGTCCAGAGCTGTGCTCCAGAAGGGCCCCACTGTGCCCGCCGCAGCCTGGGCCTGCAGCTGTCTGGTCTGTGCCTGTCCCTCTTCCTGGAGTGGAAGCCAGGGACTGTCTCGGGGGAAAGCCCTCTGGAATGGATGGCCCTCCCGCCCCGACAGACCTTCAGTCTCATTGTGTAAATCTCAACAAGACCAGAAATGTGTGAAGGAGACAAGCCTCCTTGAATCTCAGCTGTGACCCTAGCACTTTCTGTTTTCTCTGCCGTTGTGAGTTTTTGCACATTTGATCATACTGTGGATTTGATTTTAGGCCTTTTTGCTCACTGAAAGCATCTGTTTATGTCATTAACCTCAGATGCTGGGCGCTCTTCTGTGGCTGCACCGAACTTTTCCACGACTGTCTGTTGCCGGACCCTCAGCCGTGGAGTGGCCGTTAGAACACATTGCTTTAATGTGCCTGTTCTGTTTCCTTGCCTGTAAAATGGAGGGTGTTCATAGCACGAACATCCTGGAGTTGTTTGAAGAGTAAACACATGAAATAATAAATGTACAGAAAACGGAAGTTTAGATTAAAGGGGTGAAGAGGTTCTAGGAGAGCGCACCCAGGAAATTGGTAACACTCCTCTGTGAGCGCAGTGAGAGTTGGGATAGCATTAACAGTGATGGGCACGCCCAGCAAAACTAGGCAAGCAGCAAAAAAAGACTTGTAAGAAAGGGTCAGCTTAGAGAGCGGCACGCAGTCCTCGTGAGCGACGTGCAGGTGCTGGACGTCCCAGAAGGGGGATGAGCGGGGCGTTGTCTTCTATGCCAGGAAGTCTGTAGTTCAGTGCCTGCTGCTGGGGGGATCCCCAGGGGGTCGGATGTGGGAGTGAACCCGAAGGAAAAGAATTGAAAGTAGGCACTTGGCTTCAAGGAGAGGGGCCTGGGCGGGTTTTGTAATAAACCTCTTTAAACTAGACGGAGATGTAAAGGTATAGATTTGATAAATATGTGCATAGTGTACATTTTTTCTTCTATTAGAGTATTTTATTGCCAAAGTTTTCACTTGCTTTTCTTGGATTTTCTCTGAGTAATCATTTCCAAATGATGCTCTCACATCTGCCTTCCTGATAACCCCTCTTTTCTTGTCGGCTGGAACTCTGGAAATGGCATTAACATTGACAATAGCCAGCACCCCGCAGTTAAAGGAAATCCACTTGGCCTTCGCTGTTACAAATGTGATGGCGGGTTGGTTTGAGAGACCTCAGTGATTGGGAGTTAGCACATCTTCAATTCCTATTTTGTTTTATTTATTAGCCGATGTTGGGATAAGTTTGGTTGGAGAATTTTCCTTGCCATTTTTTCCAGCAAACTCAGTTTGTTGTTGATTTAGAAATCAATATGTAGGATTCTTTTTTACATGATTTTTTAATTAAGATAACATTGCTTTGCAATACTGTATATGACTCAGAAACACAGGATCCCACCTCTTAGGTGCGTGTTACCGACAAACTGACTTCTGCCCATCTGGGTCTTTTCCTTCAGAAAGCTACGATGAGTTTAAACTGAATATCCACAACCTTTTTCCTGTTCTCATCGATACCAAGAATGTGACAAAGGATATCTGGAAGGTAATGAATGGAATCACTTTGGGCTAGAGAATTTTTTTTTTAATATTTATGCATATAAGAGCTGGGGTGCAGGCCAGAGTGCGGGGGGTGAGAGGATTCACTAGAGACACAGTGGGGAGCAGAATAGGTAGATCTACTGAAATACACTGCTGAGGGGAGCGGTGGGTGAGACAGGAGAGAGTCTGGTGTGCCCTGTGGTGTCACCTCCCTGGCCGGGGTCGGATTCAGGCCTCCTTGGTAATAGCACTGAGCCTTAACCCCGAGGCCACCAGGGAGGCCCTTAATTCTTCTCATTCTACAACCACTGTTGGCTTCCTTTTGTATTTTAGCCCTCTGGGTCATCACATTAGTTCGCAGGTGATCTTTTTCCTTTTCTTCTTCAAGTTCGCAAGTTTTGACTGACTTGTGTATAGCCGGTAGGTAAATGTAGATGGGGCAGTGGAGGAGTTTGTTCTAGAACTTGATACATACCCCTTTTGAGAATCTAAAACATCTTTACTGAGACTTAAAGGCCAGGGCTTCAACCCCTTGCGCTGGAATCTCTGACGAGCAAACTCCATACTGACTTCTGGGCTGCAGTCGGCCTCTATCGCTGGGGGGGCAGCGTCATTTCTGAAACTCCTAGTGGCTTTCATTGTGTGGCTGGAGGTGTGCACGCCCCACAGAGCAGGGAGCCCCAACTGCATAAATGCTCCCTAGAGGAGTGAAACTCTGGAGAAGGGGAACCAGATTGGCACTTTCAGCCCATCACCTGGAGTTACTTGTTGAAGGAGCCGCAAAACGGGGCAGGGTTACCTGGTGCGTCTTTGTGCAGACACACTTATTACTTGTGCTTCACACATTTCTAGCTCCAAAGGCATTTGCTGCTGCTGCGTCTCTCCTCATGCCTGAGCCCTCCCCGGCGGGGACAGCGGAAGGACATGGGCTGTGGGGCAGGTTTGAGGGCCCGACGGGTGCTCTTTCCCACAGAGATGAAACGGGCTCTGTGGACCCGGTGGCCCTGTGAGATGCCCGTTGTCCTACCCGTGTGTCCCTGGCATGGCCTGGGGCCTGGGCTCATGTGTGTCCTGTGGGACCCTTAAGCATTAGTCTTTTGAAGAAAGAATGAGCGGTGTTTGTGGCAGCTTTTTCTTGCCAGGGTTATTGGGGCCCTTATAGGAAACCTGAGGACAGGGACTCGTGGGCTGCAAGGCATAGGACGGTGGTGTCTGAGGCGGCGACGGTGGCAGGTTGCTTTAATGGCACTTGGTGGTCACCAAAGCAGGTCACAAACAAAAGCCACAGAGAACGCCTCTCCTCTCTGGGCCGCCGCCTGCCCACCTGTGAAGTGAGAGCCCCCTCTGGTGCCGCCAGCTTGGGCCAGCCCACATGCGGTTTCACTGACCTGCTTTGTTTCTGTGATCACAGGACCTGAATTTCCCCAGGGTCTCCAGTCTTACAGAGGTTTATGAAGTCCTGAACAGGTAAGAAAGCCACGTAGGGTGGGGGGGTGCTGGGCACCTGTGCTCCCCAGGACACATTTGGTGGTTGTCACCCCAAGGGCTACCGCTGGATCTAGGGGGAGGCGAGGTGCTGAATGTGCAGGACAGCCCCCAGCAGAGGATCCTCCCTGTGTGGCCCAGGCTGGAGCTGGGCTGAGCTCCAGGAGCCTGCTCTGGGGGAGGGGCTGGGGCAGCGCCCACAGCTGCTGGGGCAGCGGCCTCTTCTGTGGCTGGGCCTTTTTTGATCTGGTTCCGTTCTTGGGAGTGACGGGCTCCCTGGGGCTTCTGGCTCCGGAACAGGCCTCTCTCCTGTGCCTGGCGTTGGTCCCGGGCCTGCAGCTAAGCGAGGCACATAATAGGTGCATGTTGGCCATTTGGTTGGCAGGTCCTAGTACTTAGGTCAGTCCCTGAACTTCCTGTGGGAAAAGTAACCCTGCTTTTTCTTCCCAGCCGGCCACACAGGGGGCTTGTGGGTGCAGGGGGCGGGGTGATCCGGACAGGAAAGGTGGGACTCTACCTCCTCCCTCTCCAGTGGGGCACACCAGTGAGCCAGAGGTGGGAGGGCCGGAGTCCAGCAGCTCCAGGGTGGGCCCTTTTAGAAAGAGACTCCCTTAGCCCCTGCTGGTCAGGGTCAGTCGCTGTCATGTTGTGGGTGCGTGGGCTCCACCTAGCAGATGCTGTTTCCACCGTTGCCACCTCTCTCTCTCTCGGACAGGGCGGCCTCCTCTCCCCCTCCTCCTTCATGGTCTTTCTAAGCGGGCCCTCCTGGTCCTCACTTCCCAGGAGAAAATAAGAGGCCAAAGGCAGGAAGTCGCTTGACTCCCTGCAGATGTTTTTGCCATCTCTGTCACTGTCTGTCCTACCTGTCGGCACACGTGGACCTGCCGTGTGTCCGGGCCAGCCTCCCCCCCCCCCCACCCCGAGCTGTCTCTAGCCTCTCCACTCATTGTCCTCTGCAGCAGCCTTTGTTGTCCTGGCCTGGGAAACGGCTCTGTTCTGGGCTGTCCACCCTTTGCGACTGTTCTCCCTGCAGCAAGCCTCTCTCAAGGCCTCGACTTCCCCTCAGCCCACTGAGGTCAGGCTTCCTTTCTTGCAGCTCCCTCTCAGGCAGCCTGCCCAGGCGGGGTCCTGTCATTTGGCTGATGGGACAATGCCCAGAGGCATTTGGAAGGGGGGCACTCGTGTCACTCAGGTGGCTACTGTTAACCTGGTGTCCGATGCCTTTGGCTCTCCCCTCCCTGCCTTCTGGGGTCCCTGCTCTTGGGTTTCTCTTTCTATTCATTTCCTGCAGCCTCTCATTCTTGCACCCATCCCTTAAATTCCTTTCAAGCATCTCCCTCACCCCGCTTTCTGCTCACCCCACCCTGCTTCCTGCTCACTGGGCCCTTGACTCTGGGATCCCCTCCTGTGGTCGTGGCGACAGGACTTAGCCTCTGGCTGCTGCTGGACAGCCCTGCCCTCCCACCCCCCCCCACATCAGTTTGGCGTTCCTCTCTGCCCCACACCTGCTCCTGAGCCTGGAGCCCTTGGTGTGCTGGGCCTGGAGGCGCCGAGCACGGCACCAGCCTGTGCGTGTGAGAGTGGAGCCTCTAAGGCCTGGATCTGACTCTGACCTCGGGGTTTAAACCTCGAGTTTGCTGCTCACTGACTCTGCAGGCAACTCGAGAGAACGCCTCTCCTCTCCGGGCTGCCGCCTGCCCACCTGTGAAGTGAGAACCCCCTCTGGTGCCGTGAAGCTTGGGCCAGCCCACATGGGGAAGGACGCGGGGCCCTGCCCCCTCTGTGGCGTGTCTGGCTGTGTCCTGCGGTCTGGCTAACCTCTGCCCCGGGTGCAGGACGTGCCGCTGACGGAGGCTAAGCACCTGGACGGGCATGAAAAGCTTCTGTTGGAAAACAGATGAAGGGAGAATCTCCTTGCCGAAGCCGTGCCATTTGCCCAGGGGCCAGCGCCCCCTGAATGGGCCCCCAGGGCCGAGCTGCCCTCTCTTCCTCCCGTCAAGTCCTGTTCGTTTCACTCCCTCAGTGTCCTCGAACCCATGCCTTCTCCTTACCCACAGCCTTGGAGCAGGTCCATTTGTCTGTGTCCCCGCCCTCCCTCCTCCCCTGTCCCCACCCCGTGACCTTCTAAAGCATGAACTTGACCAGACAGTTGTTCCGCTCAGATCCCCGGGGCTCCGGAAGCCCTGCCTGGTGCTGTGTGCTCCCCGCCTCCCGGGCCTGCGGTCCCAAGTGCCCTCACCCCCAGGCACCACCGCACCGCGGGCCCTGGTCCACGGGGCACGGTGTGCTTCTGCGAGGGTTTGTTCTTCAGCCCCGTGCCTGGGGAGCTCCAGGGCAGGGCCGCCTGGATCGCCCCACGTCCTGGAGTCTGTGTGGGCAGGGATACGAGCTCAGAGCAGCCTGAGGGGCTCCGGCACCCCATCCCGTCTGCCTGTCCCCTGCCCGGTGACCAAGCCCTGACCGGCTGCCCCTGAAGCTGGGCTTTCTATTTGTAGAGGAAATGTTTATTGTCGGGGGCGGGGAGCACAGCAGAGGCTGTTTCGGGGTCCGGCCTCCATCCCATCTTTCTTCTTTAACAGCAGCTTGAATCCCACCAAGAACTCGGGGCCAGAGATCATCCACGCCAGAAAGTGCGAGAAGTACGGTGGGTGTCCGAGCACTTCCTCGGGGGCAGAGCGCGGGGTGCAGAGCCTGTCTTGCTCCCCCTTTAGCCAGCTGGGCGGGTCTGGGGGGTCTCCCTCCTTTGCTTCATTGTGCTCCCCAGAACCTGCTCCCTCCTTTGAGGACCCCCCCCCCACAAGGTGCTGGAGATCCCGGGGGGGGGGTGGGTGTGGTCTGCTGCCCTCACACTGGGGGTTAGTCTGTCAGGAGGCTCCCAGGGAAGCCCTTGCTGCTCGGGAGGACCGAGGTGAAGACCAGCTCGGGCGTCTCTGGAGGAGCCACAGTCCGGGGTCTGTGGATGTGGAAGGGCCACTGGGGTGTGGAGCCCACGCAGGGGTGGAACTAGCGTGGGTGGGGGACAGAGCCCTTTCCCAGCCAGGTGCTAACGGCCCCTTGCCCTCTTCTGCTCCTGGAACGACGTCTCAGTGGAGACAAAGTACCCCCACGAAGCAGCCTACGACGCCTTCCTGTGCGGCTCAGGTGAGACTCGGCCCTTCTCAAAGGAGACGGGGTTTTCTCCCCCTCCTGGGTGCCCCCCCCCGCCCCCATCCCGGGCTCTCCCGTCTCCAGCCAGGCTGTTCTTGTGGGACTAAACCGCGGGCGAGCTGTGACCAGAGGTCAGCTTGAGCCTCACCGTCAGTCACGCCTCTGGCTTCCCCCCCAGTTCTCTTGAAAGTGGCGCACTTGCTGCTGTGGAGAGTGCACGGGTGAGTGACGGCGCCTCTTGTCCTGCGGTGTGGAGCGGAGGGTGCGGAGGGTGTATCTGCGGGCCGTCCCCCCACAGGCTGCCCCTGCCCTCCAGGCCCAGACAGCGCCTGCCCTGCCTCCCACGGCCCGTCGCTGGGGCTGGGAGGGCAAGTGCTCAGGTCCCGCGGTCCGGCCGGGAGAAGGGGGTGACTTGGAATAAGGGGTGAGACTCTCACCTTTCGCGGGGCAGCCTCAGACGTGACGCCCACAGGGCAGGGTTCGTGGGCTCCGGCCCCCTGCGTTCCCGAGCACCGGCCTGCGTGACCTTTGTGACACAGGTCCAGCAGGCCGGCCCTGGGACGACTCGGAAGCACTTTTGTGCCGTATCTGCTCAGTTGGCCACTGCCTGTTTGTCCGCTTCAGCAATGGCTGCTGTGCGCAGAGCTCGCCTCTGACACGTCAGCGGCTGTGACCACGGAGCCCTGGGCGCCTAGCCTGTGACCACGGAGCCCTGGGCGCCTAGCCTGTGACCACGGAGCCCTGGGTGCCTAGCCTGTGACCACGGAGCCCTGGGCCGTCCGTGATGGCCTCTGGTCATCACTGCCTAAGAGCTGTCCCTGGCTCAGGGGACCTGCCCTAACCCTGCCCAGCCCTGGGGTCTGTGCCCTTTGCAGTGTCCATGTGGAGGCTGAGCAAGGAGGGCCGGCCACTTGGAACCAAGGACCTTCCCCTGAACAGCGGCCTCTTGTGACCCTCTGAGCCTGCGCTGTGTGTGACAGTGGGAGTTGTCACCCCCAGGGGCCACCTGGAAGCTGAGCTTTGGCTCGGCCACTGAGGGCGCTCTTGGAGATCGGCCAGTTGGGGAAGCACACTGACGTGGCCCCCGGGCCTGGAGGGGTGGGAGGGGAGTTGTGTGAGATCACCTCCCTGTTGCTCCCAGAAGCTTCGCTCCGGCGAGGTCACTGCCTGGCCGCCGGGCGCTGATGCTGTGGGGTTTTCTCTGTCCATGTAGCTCCGCGTCCATCCCCGAGCTCTCCTTCCCTCTGTACCTCAGTGTGCTGGCTCCCTACCTGAACCAGGTGAATCTGATCCGAGCTGGGGTCCCCAAGATTGTGAGTAGCCTTCCTTCTACTTCTTTCTCCGGGTCAGAGGTGTGGCTGGGCAGCAGCTAGCTTAGAGGAGCTCTGATAAGGACCCCAGTTAGGGCCGAAGGGGCGCTCACGCCCCACCCAGTGGAGAAGCTTTTTTGGTGTTTTCCTGTCAGAACCGTCCTGGACACATTCACTCCTTCACTCAAGCCCCCGTCCTCAGTCTTTCCGTTTCTCAGGCTCTCAGCCTGGGTAGGTTGGCAGCGGAACCAAGGAAAGTCCCCTCCGCTCACCTTCCTGTCTTCTAGAACTTCTCTGGTCCGGACTCCCCCAGCATTCGGCCTCCCATCCTCATCCTCAGCGTCCGGAGGTGGCCAGGCGTCAGCGAGCAGCAGGTCTACCGCGAGTTCCAGAACCTCTGCAAGTTCGATGTCCGGAGGCTGACGCGGAGCCAGTTCCTGCTCTTGACCAACAAGTTCAAGGAGTAAGTGCCTGAGCCGTGGGCCCGAGCTCGCGCCCTGTGCCACCCTGGGCCCACTGCCAGCGGCCTGACCCGAGGGCCCTCGCTTTGTAGCGCCCGGAGCATCTTGAAGGAGTACCGGGGCCACCCCACGCTGCAGGTGTCCCTGTACCGCTACTGGAGACACTGCCCCGACGTCAACTGCCTGCTGCAGTGAGTGCCCAGGGGATGGCCGGGGACGCCGGGAGGACAGAGACGTTGCACACATGTTCGGGAGCGTCTGCGGGGGTGGGTGGGGCGGAGGCCCATCCAGGGGTATGGCAGGGGCTGAGCTCACGTTCTCGGGGAGGTAACTAGCGGTGAAGACACGGGCACCCACGCTGTGCCTGCTGATCGGTATTTATTAAAACCAAGAGGGGGCTGGGGGTGACTTGGGGCCTGGGGGAGGTTGCCGTGTCAAGGAGATGGGGGCCCTTGCTGAAGACGCCAGGGAGAGGGAGGGGAGCCAGGTACAGGGCACAGTAGGTTGAGGGGACAGCAGGGCCAGGCCCTCAAGACGAAGAGCCTGGTGGAGGGAGGGGCAGGGGATGGTCTGAGTGGGCAGAGGGCCTTGGGAGGCATCTGGGATGCTGGTGGGTTTTAGCGGAGGACTGCAGGCTCCACTGTGTTGAGACAGATTGGGGGCTGGGGAGGAAGCGAACGGGTCACGGTGGCTTGGACCAGCTGGGTGCCGGCAGCAGCACCCTGTTTGACACACTGGACGGGGTCAGGGGTGAACCCAAGGCGCTGCCCTGAGTCCCTGGAGAGGCGGAGTCGCTGCAGCCATGAGCGTGGCTGGCTGAGCAGGCAGGTAGCACAGAAGTCGGCGTCTGGGCCGAGAAACCTGGCCGCCTCTGTCCATCTCTCATTCACCACGAAGGGCAATGTGTCCACCTCCCAGAGCCTTCCTGGCCCCGAGAGGCCATCCTGGGCCACTGGGGAAGGCTGGCAGGACGTTTGGGTGAACCATGGGGAAGGCAGGGAAGGTAGGAGCAACCCATGTATCAGTCGATGCTTCCAGACCCTCCATTTCACCCAGAGCTCGCCTGGCCCGGACCTGTGACCGTGTCCTTGTCTTGCAGGGTCTGTGGTGTGGTCATCACCTGGGCCCTCGTCACCTTTCTGCTGGGACGACCGCGGTCCTGAAGGTGGACAGGCACCTCGGCCCACCCTGCCCCTCCCCTCCAGGCGCCCCGGCCCACCCTACCCTCTCCCCTCCAGGCCCCTGCCGGTCCTGCTGGGTTGGGTTTGTGGGAATCACACGCCACCTGCAGATGCAGCTGCCCGGGCCCCACAGGGAATGTTTTTGTTTTGAAAGTGAAATTCTGTCAGTATCGTCAACCATAAAGAAGTCTTTGGAGATGCTTTCGTGTGTGGACTTAGCTTTCCTTTCTGTAATGATGGTGTAGAGTCTCCCCCTAGACACAGACCAGAGTCTAAATCAGTCACTGGCCGGCGACTGTCCCTCTCGTAGGGAGTCGCCCAAGTACGGGGTGATAAGGGTTTTTGTTTTTTTTTTTCTTAAAGATTTATTTATTTATTCATACAAGCACTGGGCACAGTCAGAAGCGCGGGAGGGTGAGAGGATTCACCAGAGCCAGAGCAGGGAGCAGAGCAGGCAGAAGGACCGAAGCACACTGCTGAGGGGAGCAGCGGGCAGCAGGACAGGTCTGCGCGCCATGTGGGACCCTCGCAGGTGGCTGGGGATTGAACCGGCGCTGCAGAGGCTGCGGGCAGCTTCGCAGCCCAGCGCTCAACCGCTGCGCCACCAGGGGAGGCCCTGATAAGGGTTTTTAAAGCCAAAAACCGCACCTGGGAGTTTGCAGTTGCCACAGCAAGCAGGGTACAGAGCCAAACTGTGCTATTGCATATCACACCCAGGAGTTTGCAGGTGCCACAGCAAGCAGGTACAGAAGCCAAACTGTGCTGTTACAAGCAGCTGAGCATTTCACCACACCCCGTGTTTCAGGTACAAAGGGTAAAGGGTACATATATTTTATTTTTGATGGGAACCGGCCTCTATTGTTTTGGCCTGGAATTTTCCCACAGCTGTAACTTGTCCTCCTGAGCTAACTGAAACTTAGGCCACGCGCGGTCTGCTACATTTCGCATTGCCCCGTTTCACAATGACCGGGGGTTGGGGGGGTGAGAGGATTCACCAGAGACAGAGCGGGGAGCAGAATAGGCGGATCCACTGAAATCCACTGCTGAGGGGAGCAGCGGGGAGACAGCAGCGGTCTGCTGCACCATGTGGGTCACTCCCTGGCTGGGGATCAGACTCATGTTGCAGTGGCTTGTTAGCACTGTGTCTTTAACTCCTGCACCACCAGGGAGGCCCCCCCAAACAATCTGTTCCTTAAGTTAAATGGTGACAGACCTCCCCCGCTCACAGGGCCTTGAGTGACCTCTAGTTCCCATCCAGAGGTAACAGGCCGCCTCTGGGCATATGGAGAAAGGCCATCTGACCCTTTCAGGGAGACTGGCTGCTGAGGCAACCAGGCAGGCAGGGCGCCTGGGGGGCCAGGAGGCAAGGGACAGGCAGGGGGGCTGCGAGGCGGGCAGGCAACTGAGCCTCCCAGCCCCCCCGTGAATCTTCACACTCTCCCTGGGCTCCCTCTGGTGTCCTCTCTCCGGCTCGTGGTCTCGCCTCTGCTGTAGTCACGCCGCTGATCTTTCGCTGCTGCCCCTGCCTTCACCCCAGCCTCTAGGCTCAGGATGCACACCCATCGTCCAGGTGCACACAGTCAGGCACGTGTTCCCGTGCCCACACGCCTTCGGTATTCACACCAGCAAGGCCGAGGTGGTAGCCACAGGGGCCAGTGGCATAAGAAGCCTGATTAATTCAACTACCCTCCACGGACCTCACACCAGGTTGCGGCCCCTTCGGCGTTCCTTGAACACTCCCCACACTGGCGACCTTTCACTCCAGCTGTGCTGCGAAAAAGCCAAGCCCTTCATTGGTGTTTGAAAGAAAATACGAGAGCCTTATTTACATGGATGCTCACCTTTAAGCTTCCTGTTCTGTATGTTTCGTGATGTCCAGATTGTAGGTGCATTTAGCTGATTAATAAACCTGCACATTCCTCGGGACTCAGCCTTTGGAAAATAAGTAAACGATTGACTACTTCTGCCGCAACCCCCCTCCTTTCACTGTCCATGTTGAGTCCACAGGCATAAAATGCCGGGGGGCTCGGTGCAGCTGTCAGTGGCCGGACTTACGGGCAGGGTCCTGAGGAGGCTGGTGAAGCCAGAGACTGGCCCCTGACCCTGTCCCTCCAGGAGCAGGAAAGAGGCTCTGCCTTTGGGGGGATGCCAGGGCTGGAGTCCTCCTCCTCCTGGGTGCAGATGGGGGGCCGGGCCCCTCGCAGCAGGCAGCTCAGCTGGCGCGGACCATCGGTCTACCAGGGCCGGCAGGTTGGGGAGATCTGGAACTTCCCCGGGAGCAGGTTTTGAGTAGTCCTGGCGGAAAAGCCACTCGAGGTGCGTATTCAGAGTGAGGTGACGAGCAGCCGGCTGGCGGAGGGCCGGGCAGGGCGTGCAGGTGCGCGACACTGAGAAGGCCGCGCGTGTCGCTCCATCCCCGGCAGCCCGGGCCCAGCCTTCGTAGCCAAGGTGTGTCCTTCATCCCCACGTCCTCACCCGCCCCCTTCCCTCTGGCAGCCACTCATTGGTCTTGTTTTTCCCAAAAGTCGTCAGATGGCGCCAGGTTAGTCTGCTCGTACGCCCTGAGGTGGCGCAAAGGCAGGGGACACTCACAATCGCAAGACTCGGCTCCATCTTGGGGGGGCAACAACAGAGCTTGTTTATAAAGGGGAGATTGGGAAGGAGGAACGTGTTCTAAGGCCCAAGTGGCTGGCTGTGTTACCCCAAAGTGCCCGCAACGCCCCGTGGTCCAAAGCAAAAGTTGTTTGGGATGGCGCCTGTGGGGACAGGAAGGGACACGGGGCAGGTTTTCTGACCCAGCAGACCGGGTAGAGGAGTCAGAGTCCTCAGTGGTTTTGCAGGCTTTTATTGGGGTTCACCAGGCATATGGCAGGCAGGGTGCTGGGGGGCCGGGAGGCTGGCAGGCCTCCCAGCCCCCAACAAGTCTTCACTCTGTCTGGGCTCTCCGGCCTTCCCTCTGCTCCTCTCTTGGCTTCTGTTAGTTCTCAGCTGCTGCTGGCGTCCCCGTGACGCCGCCCTTAAAAGCCCCGCCTCAGCCCAGGTGAATCCCATCTACCTCGGCCCACACCCCACTCCAGGTGCCGCCATCAGGCATGCATTCGGGACCGCAGGGAACCATCATCCATCCTGATGGCGGGAGGGCAGGAAAGCCTGATACATTTTCCTCACCCTACAGCGCCCCTCGGCGAGAGCCTGGAGCTGGCGCGCAGTGGTGCCCGGGATCCAGCTAAGCCGTGGAGGCTGGGGGGTCACAGGTGCTGCCCAGGCCGCGCCACACGGTGTGTCTCCCGAAGTCGGCCCCTCCTGAAGCTCCTTCCAAGGGGAGTCAAGGCTGAAGCCTTCCCGAGCAGCCTCCGGCCTCTCGTAAGCCGCGGCCTGTGTCCTGCGTCCCGTCACTCGCCTTTTTCCCCCGACGGGCCCATTTTCCAAACCTGCGGTTCCCAAGACTTGATTGGCGCCGATGCAGGCGTGAGCCTAACGGTGCCGGCGGGGGCTCGGGTTTGATCTGTTTCCCAAACCAGTTAGGATGCAAGACCCACACCCCGGCGGTGCACCCACCCTGGGTCCGGCTCGCGGCGAGGCAGCGCGGCCCTGCTGCACCCGAACTGCAGCCAGTTCCAGCCTGACCCGCAGGCCTGGAAAACGTGGCTTGAGGCAGCTTGGGTTAACGTTCCCGAATGGGGAGGACTGTGCCACGGTTCCTCCTGTGCCCCTGATTGTTTTTCCAACTTTTCTGTGAGTCTAAAGTTATTTCAAAGTGAAAAATTTTTTAATTTGTTTAACTCTTCTCCCCGCCTGAGGGAGCTCCGTCCCCCGAGCTCGGGGAGGCTGGCGTTGACTTCTGCTAAAGACAAAACACCCCTCTGCTAAATTTCGGGAGCCCTGGGGAAGGGCACAAGAATAACCAGGACCCGGACGGAAATCTGGAAACCCGGACGCGCCCTCGCCTGGTGGCAGAAGAGCTGGTGTTTCAGGCCCATGTCCCAGCTCACCTGGGGGCCGGCGAACCTGCAGCCTCAGAGGCAGCGGGTGTGTCTTCTCTGTGGCAAGTGGACACCTGCAGCCACGTTGTCAAGTCTGGGGGCAACAAGAAAAGTGCCTTTCGTGGCTATTGTGCAACCACCCCAGGCCGGGCAGGGTCACTGTTGGTTCTCAAGGCCTCCGGCAAACTGGCACAGCCGTGAGAAGGATGAGGCACACCCAGGTCAAGGCCGACACCCCATCAGAGGGGTGGCCCGCTCCATCCTCCCTGGAGAAGGGCTGCTCCCTCGGAGGTATTCTTTCCCGCCGAGCAGCACCCCTCTCTCTCAGGCCCCGGGTCTTTGCTCCTTGTTGCAGAGTGACGTTGCCTGGTTAGCCCTCCCGTCTAGGCCCAGGTCACTTACACACGCGCTGCCCAGGCTTTTGGGCCCAGGTGTCTATCACCCTGGGGGGCGTGCAAGACCTCAGGTGCCGCCATAGAGACTGGCGGCAGGAGGGTGTAAAAAAGCCTGATTTTTACCTCATTTACTCTATAGTGGCCCTTGACCCAGGCCCTTGCTGGCTGGTGACCTGTGCAGGAGGGCCCATGGCTGCAGGACAGAGCTGCAGGAGCGTCTCCTGGACCCTGGGCAGGTCCACCCCGTCCTCAGGGAAGCCCGTGGAAGTCAGACAGCACCGCTTGGCCGCTGGGTGTTGCTGGGAAATCCAGTCTCACTGGCTTTTTCAAAGCAGCTTCTTTACACCAAAATTATAACACCGAAACAGCCCCTTTAATGAATCTGGGGTCTGCCAAGATAAAGGGATCTTCCTTGAACTTTGGGGGTAAAATCCCCCTAAAATAACAGCTCAAAATCCACCTGCCTGTGAAAGCAGGGAAACCGGACAAAACAACCAGCAGAATGATTTCCAGTTTTTGAAAACCTAAATCGCCACTTGATGGCACCAAAAAATAAGAAACCCCAAAGAGTTTCTCGTCCACTGGGGGAGCCATTTCAGACTCCTCCTCCCCGCGTGTGAGGGCGGGAAGCTGCTTCTGAGATCTGTCTTGATGTGCTTTCGCTCTTGGGAGAGCTGGTTGGCCGCCACTCTCCCTGCTGGGACAGACCTCACTGCCCAGAGTGGGGCTGAAAAAGTTAAAAAGGGATTGCCGAGCCCCTAGAAACTTCCTGGGGACTCTCAGGCTACCTGGAGACGGCAGCACGGCCCGTCTGTCTTGAGACAGGCTGCAAATGTCCAGCAGTGGAGTCGGCCATCAAGTTCCTGGTGGCACTGGGCATGGGGCCTGGGCAGGGCGCCAGGATGGGGGACACTGGACACTTCATTCAAGCCCCAGGGGGCGGCTCACCCAGAGACCCCAGTTTCCTGCCTGGAAGCCTGGGGGATGGGGCCTTGGGGCATTCTGCTTGACTAGCGAGTAGGGTGGAGCTGGCGGAGGGGTGTGCGGTGCGGTGTTGGGGTGGCCGCCTGCTGCTGTGCAGGGCTGAGAACGGGCGTTTACGTTACTGCAGGGGACAGAGGGATGGTGAAGCCAGGGGCTGTCCCAGGGCCAGGCCAGGAGGGAGGCGCTGTGGAGAGGCCCAGTGGCCAGCAGCTTGGGTGAAGGCCAAAGGCTGGGGCTGTGACAGTGCCAGAAAGGCCACTTCTACATGTCCCCAGGCTCCCAGGGGCTGCTCCCAGCCCAGGCCGAGCCGGCAGGATGCTGGGGCCCAGGGGACTCCAGGGCCAGCCAGCGTGGGCTCAACTTGGCTCACAGGGGTGGGGGGGCAGGGACGCACCCCAGGAGTGCTTCCCTCGGGTTGGAATTGCACTCTGGCTGCCCTCCTCCCGTTTTCTTTCACACAGGTGGTTCCCACAATACCTTCCTGTGGGTCAGACCTGGGCCCACACGGCCGCTGGACGCCACGGGCTGCCGTTGCTCCCAGCACCACGGCCCGATGCAGCAGAGTGGGCTGGGGAGGGTGGGGGGAGAAAGGACTTGGTTGGACTTTGGAATGACTGAATCGCAAATCTGGGTTGCCTGCTCACCTGGAGGAAACTAAACTAGAAGGGCTGAGTAGCCTTGGGGGCCCGGGTTAACGATGTTTCCAGAATAAGGAAGGTCAGGGGGTTTCAGAACAGTAAGCTGAGGCCTGGAAAGTTAACAAGGGTTGTGTTTCTACATGACTGACCCCGCCACTGACTCATGGCCCAGTCAGCCGGGAGCTGGCGTCACCTGATGACCTCTCACCCGCGCAGCCCCTGGCAGGTAACGTGTTAGGACTGCCTGGGAGCTGATACCTCCCCACAAAGTGGTGGGGGTCAGAAGCGGCCCAAGCCAAGCGGCGTAGGGCCCATGTACTGGGACGCGTGGAGACCCACATTCTTTGTGTCAAAATACCTATTTCCATGTTCATTGCTGTGCCAGATTTCTAACAGAATCGTCCTGCGTAGAGAGAAGAGAAGAAAGGACTTTAAATAATGGATTCCTGGCGTCCGGTGGGGGCACAAGTAAGGGTTTGGGCGGAGCCCGGAGAGCTGGGGCAGAGGAGAGACCAGAGTTCAAAATGTACCACATGATCCTCCATGAGGTCACGACAAGGGCTGCCATGGTCTCTGCCGCCGGGACCGGCCTCCCGCGTGTCTCTCACATTCTCTTCCAGGTGTCTGTACGCATCTCTGCTGCAGGTGTCTCTCCTGTCGACATTTTTTTTTTTTAATTTTTAAAAAGATTTATTTATGCATACAAGAACTGGGGTACAGGCCAGAGGTGCAGGGGATGAGAGGATTCACCAGAGACAGAGTGGGGAGCAGAACAGGTGGATTTGACTGAACTCCACTGCCGAGGGGAGCAGCGGGCAAGTCACGAGAGATCTGCTGTGCCGTGTGGGCAGCTCCCTGGCCGGGGATCGAACTAATACGACAGTGGCTGCCGGTAGCTTCATCGTGCTGAGACTTAGCCCCTCGCGCCACCAGGGAGGCCCCTGCCAACACATGTAGACATGCAACAAGCCACTAGGAAGGTTCTTGTCAAAAAACCGCAGCCAAGCACTGGCGAGGGCGGGGAAGCGGGGTTCTCCTACGCTGCCGGTGGGAATTCAGAATGGCACAGTGACTGTGGAAGACGGGTTGGGGTGCTCAGAAAACTAAATCCCAGGTCCTGGTGGGCCCAGCAAGTCCACTCCTGGTTCTAGACGCCCACGCATTGGGGCAGGGCCGCCGCTGCCTTTCACGGCTGCCTGGGTCATGACCATGAGCAAGAGGGCGGGATCGACCCGGCGTCTGCCCACGGTGGGTCGACACGGTGAGGTGCACACAGTGGCGGGGTCGGCCTTAGGGGGGACCCGGACACAGGCCGCAGCACGGATGAGCCTGAGGACACCAGGCTCGGAAGCCGGACCCTGAAGAAACATGGTCCCGCTCACCTGAGGGGCTGAGAGGGCAAAGCCCTGGAGAAGGAAAGGAGGTTGGAGGTGCCCAGGAAGCAGGGCAGGGAGGAGGGGAGGGCAGTGGTGTTTGTGGGGCACAGAGCTTCAGGTTGGTGGAAAGTTTCTGGAAATGGATGGCAGTGATGGTTGTATTGCGATTGTACCTAATGCCGCTGAACTGTCACTTACAAATGATTAAAATGGCAAATACTATACCTGTTTTACCACCTCCCTCCCTCCCCCACACACAACACAAGCTCCTGAGCTGATAAATCAAATATCTCCTACCCTTTCACCTTGACAAAGAGACCTTGGTAACAATTGGAAGGCCAGGTTCAACGTTCTGGAATGTTCTGGAACCTGTCCCCAGGCAGCGCTGGCTCCTGGTCTGTGGCCAGCCCGCCTCGCTTCCTGCACTTGGGCCTGGGCCTCACCCTGAGGGTGGGGTGTCCTGCCAGCACAAGTGCGTTCACTCACACCCAGGGCAGACAGGAACGTCCCTCCACCCGGGGCTCTACCTTCGGGGGTGGTGGGCCCCGGCCCAGGCCCAGGTCCGTGCAGGCCTGGAAGCGGGTTCGGTGCTGCCTGACCCAGGGAACCAGGTCCTGAGTACCCACAGCACCACCTCCAGGGGGGCCCACAGGCTGCGTGGACCCATGGTCTAGTGTGTGGACTTTGGTGGCGGGACCTGATTGGAGGAAGGCCACTGGGGCATTTCAAGTGTGGGGCTCCGGGCAGGGCCCCCTGAATCAGCCCTAGGGCAGCGCTGGGTGTTTGGGGCCCCAGCTCCCGTGACAAGGATTGGGGGAGGGCATTAAACCTGACGTGGTTGCCATTTCTCCTCTGGCCAAGCAGAAGTGGGGTCTCCTCCTACACTGTGGGGTTCGACCCTAGGGACAGCCTCACGCGGGCCTCCCTTCCGCGGGCTGGGGTGTCTGACTCTGGCACAGACATTTGATTTGCCTGGTCCTGACTTTGCTTCAGCTGCTGGTGACAAGAGGGAACAGGGGCCTGAGCACCTCTGGTGGGTGACGGTCGGAGACCGCCCTGGGCCGCGGGCCGGGCGCTGGCCTGGGAGTAGCCGTGTCCCCAGGGGCTTGACCGGGGCAGTGTCTTGATGGCGCTGGTTCTGCCGCACGATTTTAGCATCAGGCAGTTGTTTTTGGCATCCTAACTCGGTCTGGATTTTTCTGTCCTCCTGGAGATTCTGTGAGCGAGCTAGTGACCTTTTAATAAGCCCCCTTTCTACTCAAATTAGCTGGAGTTTATTTCTTCTGTCTGCGCTGAAGAAGCTGAACTGATGCGGACCCTGGATTTGGCCCAAATGCAGTTTCGGGCTACAAGCGTCCGCCAAGTCCTTCTAGGCTGTGTGAGCGACTGTCCCTGAACCCAGACGGGAAGGAGCTATTTGGGAATTGATCTGTAAGCTTGACCCCCAACGCAGCCCTCATAAAATGGGCGGCCGCCCCCCACATGCGCGGGGTCATGGGCGGATGAACAGACCAGCGAAGTATGTCCCTACCTGTCCCCTTCCTTGTCGTGGGTTGAGGGGTGAGGGGTGAGGCTTGAGGGCGACTCCCTCAGCGGCCTGCACCGGACAGGACCAGGACGGCGTGTTCCACTTACGTGAGGCCCCAGAGCAGGAGGGGGCATGGGGAGCGAGTGTTTAGTGGATCCGGAGACTCAGTGTGGGGAGTATGAACGGACCCCATGTCGCTGAGCCGGACCCTTAGAAATGGCTCAAACGTAACCTTTATAACGTGTACCCTTCAGCATAAACAATTACACGCAAAGAAGAATGCTCGAAGGAGGCTTCGGGCCTGTGTGCACGAGACTGAGCCCGACGTTAGGGAGAACTCTCGCCTCAACCGGCCTTAGAAACTGGCTTCAGAAACGGGAAAACGGGGTCCTCTTTGTGGTAGCGCTGACAAGGGCCCCCACAGTGCCGCTCACCGGGACTTGATGATAGTGAAATGCTTTGGTTTTCCCTGCGCTCACACCACAGGGGGTGGGGTGCGGCCCGGGAGGTCCAGCTGGTCAGGGAGGCTGCGGCACGTGGGGCACCCCGGGCTGGCAGCGGTGCTGGCTCCCCAGTCAGCTGAGCAGAGCCCCACACTCGCTATCCCTGCCGGCACCCACAGGGGCAAGTGCGCTCCAGAGAGCGGGTGTTAGGGTGGAACTGTATCCCGCCCCCCCAAAAAGGAGACATGTTGAAATCCACAAAACTAGCACCCTGTTTCTCAGGCTGGGACCTTATTTTACTGCAGGTCACTTTGTCACCAACAAATCAAGGGCTTGTCTGCCCGATGCGCATGGGAGCCACAAACACCCCACCAGGGGTTGGGAAATATCGGGAGCCAGGACGGCAAGAGCAGGAGCCCCAGGACTCAGACCTGCCTCCCCAAATGCCTGGCGAAAGGGGCTTCCAGCACATTTTGGGAAGTGGGGCGCTGGAAAGCTAAAAAGTCGAATCCCACTGGTTGGGGGTCAGGATGCAGGCTGGGCGGGGTCACTGGGTAGACTGGACAGGGCACACAGGCAGGGCTGGCTGGAGGTCTCGGGCCCCATGGGGCAAGGTCCTTGATTCTGGACGCAGTCTGAGTGGCTCTTGGTTTTTCTGGTTCCATGTCAGCGCCCTCAGCACTGTGTGACTCACAGGTGAGTGTCACCCCCACTGCTTCCGTGAAAATAAGATGGAAAGAGAGTTAACCACGCCCAAGGGCTCCTGCCCACAGCTGGATGGGCCAGGCAACACGGCAGGTGTAATTACTCACGCTGAGGCCTTGCAGGAGCAGGTGGAGTGACTCTGGGTTCATGACTCGTGTCTGCCGGGAAGACGCCCCCGTGAAGACAAGGCCACGTGACCGTGGAGGCGCGATGGAGGGTCGTGGCTGCGAGGGACACCCGGGATCCACAGTGACCCCCAGCAGGCAGAGGCAGCAGGGAAGGAGTCCCCCAGAGCCTCAGAGGGAATGTGGCCCATTGACACCCACATTCTGTGCTCCTGGCCTCTGGGATTACGAGAGAGGACGTGTCTTTGTTTTCAGCCCTCCGCTTTGGGGTGCCGTGTTCCAGCAGGACCGGGAAATCCCCCCTACAATGCTTATTCTGTCATTGCTGCGCCCCACCAGACCTTGTGAGCCCTAGTTTTTACAGTTTGTGTTATAAAAACAACCGTTCAATACAAAATTCATCCAGACAAATGTAGAGATCTAAGTGGTCAATGTTCATGAATCAGGCAGAGCAGGCAAAGGCTCTGCGGGGGTTGTACAGATGGAAGGTTTTGTAGTCAGAGAGGGAGGAGCCAGGTGCTAGCGGCAGGCAGAAAAGATTGTTTCTGCAAAGTCACCTTCCCTGAGGAGCAGGCGGGGGTCAGGCCCTGCGGGTGGCCCCCTAGAGCGGTGGAAGAAACCAGGGACTGGTGTAGGCTGTTTTTTGGGGAGAGGCTGAGGCTGCATGCAAGGGAGGTGTTGGGTCTTCGTGGGGCCCAGCAGGAAAGACCTCCTCTGGGCCTGCTGGCTCCTTTTTAAAACACAACTGTGGAACGGGTGAGGAAAGGCTCCTACTAGAACTTTCCTGTTCTGGAACTTCCTAGAATGGTCACCGCAGAGAATTCCCTTTACAATTCCAGGGTATCAGAACTATTTAAGGGATTTGAACATCACTCAGACTGATGATGACATTAACTGGGTTGACTGGGCTTGACTGATCAGTAGGTCTCTGCAGCTACCCGGACGGCTCCCTGATTCCCTGAAAATATTGAAAATCCCTTCATTTAGTGGGGCCTCCCTGGTGGCCTAGGGGTTAAGTCTCAGCGCTGTCACTGCTATGGCCTGAGATCCATCCCCGGCCAGGCAGCTGACCCACAGGGCACAGCAGACCCCTCCCGTCTCCCCGTCTATTCCCCTCAGCAGTGGATTTCAGTAGATCCACCTGTTCTGCTCCCCACTCTGTCTCTGATGAGTCCTCTCACGCCCCATATCTCTGGCCTGCACCCCAGTTCTATGCATAAGTAAATAATTCTTTAAAAAAAAAATCACTTCATTTGGCCCAGAGTACAACCCCCTTGTCCAGCCCGTTTTCCTGAGAAGAACAGGAGCACCGTCCTTTCCTGCGCTGCTTAGGGGAAGAAGGAAGAGCGAACACCAAGGTCAAGGACTGAGCCAACCTCATGTCGAGTGGTCAAGTCTGAACCAGCGGAGGCTGTTTACCCTGAACAGTGATGAAAGGTGGCACCAAGTTATGGTTGTTTTCATTTATCTTGCCTAATTTATCTTGCCTGATGTATCCAGTAGACTCGATACATTTTTGTTTTTGTCTAATACAATTTTTTTAAGATTTTTTTTTTCATTTATGCAATAGCTGGGGTACAGGCCAGAGTCGCGGGGGGGTGAGAGGATTCACCAGAGACAGAGCGGGGAGCAGAACAGGCAGATGGACCGAAGCAGCGGGCGAGACAGGAGAGGTCTGCCTCGCCATGTGGGATTCTCCCTGGCCGGCTGGGAATTGAACCCGCGCTGCGGAGGCTGTGGACAGCCTCACAGCGCTGCGCTCAAGCCGCTGCACCACCGGGGAGGCCCATCCAATACAATTTTTATAACCAAGCATAGGGTAGCTCGAAAGTAGCGACAGTTGCCAGAAATAGTTTATTAGACAGTTAGGGCAGAGAGGGTAAGGCCTATCAGAAAAATTAATGGCCAGCAATAGCCAGGACCCCAGGAAACACTGGCCAGAAGCAAGGAAGCCTGGGGAGAGCCAAGACATGCCTAGAGGAGCGAAGGCAGACCCCTGCCCCAACCTGCTTCCCAACCTACCGGGTGCTGCGCAGAAGGGGGTGACATAGAAACTGCTGCCTGGACCAATAAGCCAACACCTGGGAGCACCTGCTTAGTGCACCCTGGAGAGGGACAGAGACAGCAGCTCCCCGCCCTCCCTGGCAGTTGTTCTTCCCTGGACTCTGCCCTCCGGGTGCTCCCCCTGGGTGCTCTGCCTCTCAGCACCCTTTGCTTTTGCTTCTGCTAAAGACATGGCTTTGAATTTGTTCATGGCCAAAGTCAAGGACCAAGGATCCCCCAAACCCAGAAAATCTAGGACCCTCATAACCCAGAAACAATGTAACTCTTATTTTGTGGGTAGCAGAGGGTAAGCGATCCCGCCTTGGGGTGTATGGACACAGACTTCCTACCTGCGAACCCGCAGATAGTCTGGGGATCCACATGGAGTTATTTTCAGGTAAGTGAAGCCAGGCTCCCTGGAGACATTTTCACCACTGTAAGCTGCCACCGAAATTGTTCAGTGATTCTTAGGCCTTGATAGATGAGTGATTCTTAGGCCCCGTGGGTTTCCCGGTCACCAAGGGCACCCGCCGACACCCGCCGGGTCCAGGACGGGCCCTGCAATGACGGCGTGCTGTGTTGGGATGAGGGGCGGGTTTGCTCGGCGCCGACGGTGACCGACAGGGCCAGATGGCTTCGGCGAGGGGCTGGAGCAGGGTGCTCTCCGCCAGCCCCGGTGCCTGCTCAGGCCTGGCGTTCTCAGCGCCCGGCGGGGCCGCTCAAGGGTGCAGATGTGGCTGCTCCAAACGACTTTCTCCTACCCGGGGAAGTCAGACGTGAGAGAACTCTAACACAACCGATCTTTGAAATGATGGGACCCCGAATGTATGGGATGTGGGAGGCGCCTTTGACTTCAAGTTTAAGGGTGCTCAGATTTGACCTTTGATGAAATCAATAATTTCTAACACTTTCTTTTCATAACTGGTCATGTAGTGCATTTGCAGACGCAGGTCAGATGTGTGTCTTCAGGATTCTAGCTGGCAAAGGAAAAACCCCAAACACACGTGCGGTCTTCATGGGGGTTGTAGGGTCTCCCCCAGGCACAGAGCCGAGTCTAAATCAAATGTAGAAAAAGGCTTTATTAGCCGGCCGGCGACTGTCCCTCTCGCAGGGAGCAGCCCTGAGCAGGGGTTGGGAAGGGTTTTTAAACCAAAAACTGCACCCAGGAGTTTGCAGGTGCCACAGCCAGCAGGGTACAGAAGCCAAACTGTGCTGTTACAAGCAGCTGAGCGTTTCACCACCAGCCCAGGTTTCAGGAACGAAGGGTACATCTTATTTCTGACGGGAACCGGCCTCTATTGTTTTGGCTGGAATTTTCCCACAGCCCTAACTTGTCCTCCTGAGCTAGCTCAAGCTTAGGCCGTGCGTGGTCTGCTAGATTTCGCATTGCCCCCGTTTCACAATGAGCACACACAAATTGGCTGCACTCAGGAGAAACTCTTGGGGGCAGACACCGCCAAGGCCAGCAGGGCAGGTCCAGGGGGCCGGGTGCGAGCCGCTGCTGCTGCGGACACAGTTTTCTTTTTTGTGTGTCTCTCTCTTTACAGGAGCCCCCAAATGCTAGCCGATCAGTATCTCCCCAGGAAAACTCAGCAATGACAGCTTGAGGAAGGGCCAAGACCATGTCGGCCCAGCACTCAGGGCTGAACTTGGGGTAATATTTAGAACATCCAGAGGCATGGACAGCCGCCATGTCCCAAGGCAATGCTCCAAAAACACCCTTTCTCACAACTGGATGTTTTCATGCTTGCACAAGGGACAGCGCATGATTACAATCAAGGTAAGGACGCTGGAGGGCAAGGTGCCTGTGCTGACTGTGTGCAGGGAGCAGGAGGAGGGGGATCAGGGGGAGCAGAGAGAGTGGGGGAGGCTGGGAAGGAGGGGGTGCTGGTCTGTGCAGATCCCCGGGAGCAGAGGGCTGTGATTAGCGCCATTGACCTTCAGGTCACGCCACACCCCCCACATCACTCTGCAAAGGTGGGTGCTGGGGGGAAGGTCTCCTTCCTGGCAGCTTCCCAAAATGGGGTGGGGGGAAGTTTGGGGAGACTCAGGCCTGGGGACCCAGCTTCCCACTGCTGGGTCTTCTCTGTGGCTGCGATCTGTTTGGGTCCTTACCAGGGTTGGCTCAGCAGGGCCTGCTCCCGCGCCTGCCTGTCTGCTCCCCAGGCCTGTGTAACTGGGGGAGCAGCGCCCCCGGGGAAGACCTGATGTTTCAGACGCAGGAGGTGAAGCACCTCGCTAGGGAGGGACCCACAGAGGCCTGGGGATGACACCCTGAGGCTGCGGATCAGCCCTGAGAGTTCTGTTCTCAGGGTTTATCTTGGACTCGATCTGGCCGGTGAGGTCTGAGGTCCCTGCGCCAGGTCCCGAGCGGGCGGGCGGTGCGCGCGGCCCCAAGAGCCCGTCCATGCCCGGAGAGGACAAAGCACCGGGCATGCTCGGTCTGCAAGGCCCCAGCTAACCCTCCTGAAGGTGTTTGCCCCTGGCGAGCCGAGATCACCTGTGCTAGTCAGCGCTCGCCATGTTGCGTGTCTGAGGCTCCCAGCCCCGCTGGGCCTGTCCCCTTCCCGGGAAATTCAGCAGCGCGCCCCTCCCTCCAGGGCCTCCCTGCCGGTGGGCGCCCCCAGCCTCGCTCTGCTCGGGCTGCTCATGACCAGACGTCTGGGGTAAGGCTGGGCTCCTGTGGGCAGGGAAGGCGTCCTGGGAAGTGGCCGCCGTGGTCAGCACTGAGCCAGCGGGCCTGGAACTTCGGAGCCAACTGCTGCTGGTTCCGCGGCGGGTCCCGCCACCTGTGGGTCCGTTCTCTGGCCTTCTGAGCTCAGATCCCCCTTCCTCGCTCCTGTAAAGCCCTGTCCCTGGCCGCCTCTACCATGTTTCCCTGATTTTCTTGATGAGAAAACAATGTTATTTCTCTAGGGAACTCTGGAAGGTGTGAGTTGACTCATGGAGTAGAAAGCCAGAACTTCCACCCTGGACGTCGGGGCCGGAGACTCCTCCACACTGGACGTTGGGGGCCAGAGACTTCTACACTGGGCACGGGGGGCCAGAGACTCATCCACGCTGGACATTTGGGGCCGGAGACTCCTCCACACTGGACATGAGGGACCAGAGACTCTTCCAGACTGGACATTGGGGATCACAGCCTCTTGGTTGCCCCAGCGTCCGCTGGCTGAGTTCCCCACACCTCCCCACACCTCCCCCAAGCTCCCTACCTCTCAAGAGGAGGCTGATTACTCACAAAGACAAGCCAGGCACAGAAATAGCCAACCTATTTGTGGCTTGAATGCAAGCAGTTTTATTTTTACGGAGAGTCGCTGTATTTTCTCTAAGTAGAAATCATTATCTACCATAAATGAAACTCCATGTGCAATAATTCCTGCTTTTGTTAGGGCTGCCAATTAGTCACAAACAATTGGCGCCTTCCACCGCCCACCCGCGCCGGGGGAAGAGCCGCCATCTCTTCAGGCTCCCCGGCCAGCCGCCTCCCTGGCCGGCTGCCCCCGCGCGCCATCTGGCCCCGCCAGCTTCCTGTGGTTTGTTCCTCATTCACCTAGTGCTGCGACCAGTGTCCAAATTGGTAACGTGTCTCTGCCAGACTCCTCTGCTCTGCGAGGAGCTGGAAAAGCAAACCGGGGAGGCCCCGTGTTCTGTTGACTTAAATAATGACGCTGGAGTCTCCCCCCAGCCGGCCAGTGCGCGCAGGGCTGCAGGCCCCGGGGGACCAGGGGAAATGTTCGTCCAGTCTGGGCTCCTGAGACGGCACGCTGGGCAGCGGGGCCTCGTGCCCCCCGCTCTCCTTCCCCCCTCTCTTCCTTGGGGTCTCTGAAGGCACCCCTTTGGTCCACCTCGGGGAGCCTGCTCTCTGCCGGTCGCCCTGGCTCGGCGGGTCTGCCTCGCCGCCCCCGGCGCTGCTTCTCTCCTGCCTGCTTTGCCTCAGAGGGCCCAGCTCACGCTCCGGCTTCCGAGTGTGCCCTGGGAAGTGAGAAGCCTCAGGCGACCGACCTGCACCCTGGGAACCTGCGCCAGGTAATGCCCCTGTCCCGGGGCCCCCTCTCGCTGCTCACCTGCTTGCCTCGTGGCTTCTCAACCACCTTACTTGGCCTGCGGTGTGTGGGTCTTTGGGGAGAGCCCCCTGCCCCGGCTCCCTTTCTCCTCCCCTCCAGGGGGACAGAGCCGCAGGCTGGACTTCCCCGAGCGGCCTCTTGGCCCCTCTGGTCCTCCGCCGGGTCCGCGGTCTGCTTTCCCACACACCCTGGAGCCGCCTGCCCGCCCTGCTGGGAGCCAGTCCGCCCCAGGGGCCTGTTGCCACGCTGACCCGCTGGCGAGGAGGCAGCGCTCCTGTGGAAGAAGAAACGCTGCCGTGGGGGCGGGGGGCTTCCCCGCGGGGCCCTGCTGTTCCCACCACCCGGGCTCCTTCCTGCTCGGCCTGGGAGCCGTGACGCCGGGTCTGTAGAACCAGGGCCAGCGGGAAGAGGAACTTGAGTGCCTGGCGAGGAAGGGCCTTTCGCCTCTGGCATCTCCAAGCCAGGCTGCCAAGCACTGCCCGGGGTGCCCGCCGCCCCGGGGCCCGCTTGGGGGACCCCCATCCGCTGTGCTGCACTTACCGCAGCCCGCGCAGGACTCCGAGCCGGGTGCAGGAAGGGGGCGGTGTGTCGTCACGGAACACGGTGCGGGCCCCCTGCAGGTCTGCACCCACAGCCCACGGCCCGCGGCAGCCCCGGCAGCCCTGCGATGAGCTCCACGCTCCAGCTCGGGAAACTGAGTCTCCAAGACCCGCCAGAGGCCGCGCTACTTGCAGGCTGAGGCAGGCTCTCGGGCTGGTTCGAGCTCCCCTGCAGGCGATTCCGCGAGCTTTCCTGGGGCCTCTGCTTAGCCCTGGCCGGCCTGGGGCGGCCTGGGGTCTCCTCTCGCTCTATCACCACTTGTTCCCGCCGGGACCAGCCTGAAGATTTTCACCGGCGTGTGTCACCGATGATGCCATTTGAAGCACGGCTGCTGCCGATCAGCGTGGGACCATCTGCTTGGCACGTCTCAAATATTTTCAGCAGCGGGAGAGCGACTCGGGCTTCTTCCGAGAGGGGAGGCTGCAGCCGTCCTCGGAGGTGTTGGCATCGGAGACCCTGCCCCGCGCCGGGGCCGCCTCCCTGCCGCGCCCGCTGAGCCTCTCTGGTGAGCGGAGCGACGGAGCCTGCACCCCCGTTCTGAGCCGTTCGGCCGCCCTGGACAAGCAGGGTAAGACCCCCCCCTCCACCAAGCTCCTGGCTGGCAACTCCTTCTGGGCTGGGGGCCCCTGTGGGGTCCGGGATGCTCCGGCTGTGTGGGTGAAACCCAGTCTCCTCCTGCGCTTGTTTTGGGAAATTCGCTGATTGCTGGGCTCACTGGCCCCAGACACTTGTTCAACTTCAGGCTTGAAACTTTGCCGTTAGCTTTTGCTTTTGGACTCGGGGCAGGGGCAGCGTCTTCGGATCAATTCTTCGATCTGACGGTGGACTTGGAGGTTTGCCGGGTTGTTGATGAGCTAGCGGGGGCTGCGAAGGGTCGGGGCTTGGCAGGGCACTGGCCGGGTGCTCTTCCTCTGGGCGCTGTCTTGGCTGGATGCTCCTGGGCATAGCCAGAGGCAAGTTGCTTGATTTCCCTTTGCCTTCCCCTTGGGGGCACCGGCGCCAGCACCACCTTCGGCTTAGAGGTGGGCTGTGAGCCCCCGGGTGGCGAGGGGCTAGTCAATGGGACCCCCTGCTCCTTCGTGCTCGTCTCTGTGAGCGTCTTGGTCTGCCTGCTTCCCGGTGAGGGCACATGCAGGGTGCGGGCTTGCTGTGCGGGCAGCATGGAGGGGGGCATGCTGCCTCCCTGCAGCAGCCTGGGGACACTTTCGCCAGAGCGGCCCTTGTGGGGCTGTTCTGTTCACCTTGGGTGCCTACTGGCTTCCCTGCCTCCACCCGCTGGTGCCCCCCCTTGGTGAAAACTCAAACCTCCAGTTGTGCCAAATGCCCCTGACGGGACACAGTCACCCCCACTTCTACCCCCTGAGACCTGCACTTGGCGAGGAGCGAGTCGTTCCTGCTTCTCCGTGCAGATGGCGCGGGTTGGGGGCTGCAGTGACGTGCCTCAAAGCCTCAAAGCAGGACGGTTGTCCCTGCCTGGACATTCCCGGCAGATTCCTCAGTGCCATGGAAATTCCGTCTCACAGACGGGCTTGTTTGTCCAGGTTACTGCACACAGGGGAGGAATTTCCATTTGAGTTGTCACCAAGAGGGGTGCCCTTTCTCCGGAGCCCCACGCCTGGATGGGCCAGCGAGGGCATCACGCCCCACGCGGTTGCCAAGGAACAAGGAAAGGGTTCAGGTGGCCCGCTGGGACCCTGGTTTTGTTGGCTTTTTCTCTGTTCCCTCTCTCCCCCCCCCACCCCCTGTCTGCCTCTCCCTCTCTCCCTGCCACCGGGAAGCCAGGACCCGGGAGGACTGTGGCCTCGGGAACGGGAGCGTGGCAGGGCATGAGGCCTGCCTCTTGGTCTCTAGAGGAAACTGTAGCAATGTGAAGGTGCTGCATGTGGACCCCGCCTCCTGCCTCACAGGCCTGAGAGGGCCCCACCCTGTCTCTACCTTCTTTGCTCCTCTTGCTTCTCCGCCAGCTGCATCGTGCACCTGCTCCTCTCGCTTCAGAGAGGTGAATGTGGGGAGCACTTTTGCCTGGACCGGCCAGCCTGCAAAGCCCACACCCTTGCCTCTTTGGGGACCACCACACACCCTCTGCGCCCGCTGATTCTGGGGTTCCTGCTGGCTTTTCCTTGAGGCTCGTGTTGGCAAAGTGTTTTTCCTTCTCCAGCTTTCCTCATACCCCAGCCTTCCAGAAAAACTTGAAAATGCCAATTTTGCGATGCCACTGAGGGTGAGAGGGGCTGGGCTTTGCATGGGATCCACATCCAGTGGCCAAGTAGGTAGAGAGCGTGGCCCGGGGGCGCCCCCCTGCAGGGACAGCAGCAGAATCCTCAGACCTGTCTTTGCCACGCTGCCCGCAATCCTGTCCATTTTGGCAGGAGGGGCATGGGTGTTAACAACCCCCGCCCCCAGCAGCCTGCGTGGCGGCCGCAGCTTCTGTGAGAAGCCACATCCTGAGCAGGTGAGGTGGGGTGACCCGGTGAGATGCGGGGCCACTCTCCGGAGGACGAGGGTAGAGCTCTGGAGTGTGGTAGGGCCGTGACCTGACAGTAAGGCCGGGAGGTGCCCGGTGGGGTGGGAGGTGGCAGACACAGTAGATGGAGCAAATCAGTCAATATTCAGAGGGTCTCAGGCGCCAGTTTCTCCCCATCAGACAAGGCAACATGGACAGGAGAACATGGACTGACCTCTGGGCTGGGTCGGGAAGGGACATCCGGGTGTCAGCCACAGGTGGTGTGTGTACAGGGCTCCAGATCTGCTTCTATTCTGCTCAGTCCACGAGAAGGCCTGGGAGCAGTGACCCCAGTAGCAATGGGTACCCCAATGCCCAGAACCCGGTTTCTAAGAATCCTTCTTACTAAGAGGAGCCAGGGCTCATGGAGGGCCGGCGCAGGAACACACAGGGGGGCAGTGCCTGGGCAACCCCCACGGCCCGGCCTGGAAGGGCAGCAGAGGGCAGCCTGGTTGCTGGTTTGCATCCAGAGCCCCCCCACCCTGGGGACGGGGGGCAGGTCTGATATCCCTGAGGGGTGTCTCCCTTGGTGCTCTTGATTTGAATTTCGTGGTGCAGTGGGAGTGCGTGTGAGTGTGTGTGTTTGTACACATGTGTGTGCATGTGTGTTCATGTGCGGGAGGGTGCTGGGGTGTGTGTCCTGTGTGCATGTATGTGTGTTGTAGTGTGTGTTTGTGTGTGCATGTGTGAGGGGGTAAGACATAGCCGACCCCCTTGGAGGACTTGTGTAAAGGCACGAGGCTGGTGAGTGACAAGCACACTTCTGCTGTTTGTCTGATGAGCGGATTCCTGAATTTTCCCTTTGGCATCAGTCATCACCACCTAATCACCACCCTCCCCGGCCAGCAGCAGCCCCTGTGTGTTCACCATGGCGGTTGGTGCCTCCATTTCACAGAAGAATGGGGGACAGAGACAGGGTTTCTGAGAACAGCTCCTCCCTCCTTGTTTTGGCATCATTATGAGTTTGGCATTGGGTCGATAGTACCTTAATACAAAAAAAATATGTTCTGTAATAAATAATAACCAAATAAATAAACAAATCCACCCTTTAGCACACAAAAAGTCCATCTTTTGAGGCTTTTCATAATTACTGGCATCTGAGTTGATTGTGGCCATGGCTTTTGCTGCTATTCAGGCATTAAATGTCCCAGAAGGTGTCCAGTCTCATGCAAGGCTGAGTGACCGTCACA